TTGGTGCAGGAAGTTGTAGATGTTGTGGCCGAGTTGTATGCAGTCGTTCCCAGTCCATCACAGCATGCTATTCATGGCTATACTATAGTTCAGGGAGACAGTTGTTTCATCCTTGGGTCATCTCTTGTGCTCGACATGCAGTGCAATGGCTCCACTGCCGTGCATCCCTTTCAACAACTCAGAGCCATAACATGCCACAACGATCGACAGCAAGTTGCTGCAAGCTCGTGGCCATTGGTCTGTCCTTGTTGACGAAGTCAGAGTAGCTCACCGCTGTCTTCGAATGGTCAACAGCCTCGTCATGTGAGGTGATCAACACGCTGCCCCTTCGAAACCCCTTATGATTGATGTTCGTTGATTTATTGGTTCACGTTGGCCACTATGTGCAACCATAGATCGTCAGGCTGTGAGATTGCCTTTGGAAATATATAATGAGTTCATGAATGGAAGTGAGCTGTAAACATCATGCAGTAGACTTGAACCAAGATTCTTGATATGAACGTGGCTGAGGCCTGGACATCGCCATCTTTGTAGCAGTTGATCCATTCCTTCCAAAGATCAACAAAGGCGGTTTGAATTTTGATGGGCTCAACCGTTCCGCCACACTGCGAGGCATTCGGAGTGACAACCAAAACAATGAGTTGGGAATAAGCCGGAGAGGGTACGGTACGGCATGTCCCGGAACAATTGTATCTATGGACACACGCGACCGACACCCAGCGTGGTGGAATTGGCCTAAATCCTCAAAAACACAGATGGTCAGTGACACTCCGAGGACATGCACATTACTAGTTTCACGAAGGAGCCTAAAATGGAGATCTTTAAACGATTCAAATGGGCATCTACTAGAGGGTATGGTCACTGAGTGTGCAAGAGCTGTTTTCACCAAAATGATCCAAAATAAAGCTGTAAAGCGACCTAAAATCAAGTAATAAAGCGCTTCTCATCTTTTCGGTGTTTGTGGTTCTAATCTACAAAGGGTAAGCATCTGACGTCTGACCTTGAAACTGCTGTTTTGATCTGTTTTGAGTAAAGGACTAATAAGGACTACAGCACTGAAAGCGACACGAGTTGCTTGAGGCCTTTCGATCGTCTGCCCTCTTCTTGTTGAAGGCCAGGTCAATCAATTCGTCGTCATTTTTGTTGGTCCATCTGAAGACCATCCTCACCACGGAAGAGCGGTTGATTGTGAGTCATATCGAGCGACATGGTTCTGCAGAACTCTTTTGCCACAGCAGGCCATGATTGGCCATGCGCTCACACAAGGCCTTCAATATGAGAAGAAACATGCAACATGGTTGCTGCATTTTGCAACTGAATATGTATATATATATATATTTGTAATTATAATATGCATATAAATATATAACTCAATAACTATGTCAAAATCGCTTTTACGTGTCTTTATTTGGGGGTCTGCCTCTTGATCCTTGGATGGAGAGCATGACTTCATGGGCCCGTCCTGTGATCCTTGATGTTTTTGAAATACTCCTTGCCTTCTTTCGCGGTTGAGGTTCCCAAACCTGTCTGAAGATTTTGGGGGGAAGAGTAGTGGGAAGAGTTGAGAGCAAATGATCTATGAATCACGTATTGCCAAAGGGTCAGCGAGTCATTTGAAGTAGCTTGCTTTCAGACACGAGAGCCAGCGGCCTTTGTAGTACTTTGTGCTCCAGCCCTTGCCACCATTGTTTCTCTCCTCAGCTCTTGGTCCCTTTGAGATAGGTAGATTGACAAACGCATCACGAAAGGCAATGAATTCTCTCCGAATGTGAATTCTCTCAATGGGAATTTCAGGATCCTAATATGGAGGTACTGTACCATATAAGGCCATATTTTGTGGGGATATTCCCTTACATAGGCCCTATATAGGCCTTATAATGCCTTATATATGGTAGGTACCTCCAATTTAGGTTCCTGAAATGGCCATTGATTCTCTTCCCGTGTCGATGGACTTCCGGTATCAATCTCTGCAGGGGGTATAGGCCTCCGGCCTTCCAAGCTTCATAGTCTGCAACGCTGAAGAACTGAACCTCATGTTGACCTCGGCAAAAATATTCCATCGAACCCAGCGGTGGCAAACTAGAGGAGCAAAGGTTTCCAGCTTTGACTTGGATTTGCCACATCTCCATGCTGAACTTGTCACCGAGATTGTCATTGGCACATGATTGGCCCATCCCCAAAGTAATGACATGTCCTTCTGAGATTCTGGCCCTTGGACACCTTCACGATGGGAGTGATGAATTCTTTCCTTGGAGTTGAGTGAGCTGGAGGTAGCCGCTGCAATAGCACAGTATTTGCAGAGATTGGACTTCTAGCCGCTCTGGAAACCTGCTACGACAACTATACATGTCGGTAGGTGAAGGATCAAAGTTTGAGATCTACTATGATCTACTTAGATCATGAAAAGTCATGAAAATTCCGCATCTCGTTTGACTGTGAAATAGCTAGCAGCTAGAGCCTTGAGACCATTTGCATCATTGCTTTGCCTCATGAAAGCTGGCCAGCTAAGAGCAAAGCAGAAAGCCATCCTGAGAGGTGACGCGGGGCATTGTCTATTGTAGAAGCATTGTCTATTGCAGAATGGCCGAAACAAATCCAGACCGCTGAATATCCCTTGGCAAAAAGTTACAGTGTCCCGACCAAAACTTTGAGCAGCAGTTTGCAGCAGCCCAATCAAGTTTGATACCGCTTTCTGCAATCGACGCTGAGTCTAGCTCCATTTTGAAGAGAGAGGGCCACCAGTGCTGGATCATGTTGATCAGCAAGCCCTGGCAAAAGGGCATGAGATCACAGGTGGCATGGCTGGAGCAAGGAATTCCCGGAAGCAGCACAAGAGCATCATGCTGTCGTGCTCATGTCTTGTATCCGGCCTTGATGTGGGATCCATCAAAATCCTGACAGAGATGAAGGAGAGGCCAAACCCGCAGTACCCTGCGTTTCCAAAGATCTATATATTATCTATATTATATAATATATATATATATGTATATTGCTAATGAATACGTCAATTCCGACATTCTCCATCATACTTTTCAAAGTGGTGGCACAAGCGACAACGAGACTTTCCCAGCAAGAACATCCACAACGATACGGCGAAGTCCTGATCTGCCATGATCATAACACTCCCGTAGCGAAGTGATTTCACCGAGTCATAAACTTTCTGCTGCTCCAAACCTGAATCTCAATTGGACAGCACTGCTCGTGCAAGAGGGCTGATCAATGTGGGATCGGACATCCATCCTACGAAAAAGTTGAGGAATTTCGAAAGCCAGAGGAGGGATACCTCCTGTTTCTGGCCACCAGAAGTGCAATGGGTCAATTGATTGGCTCTGCCCGCTCGAACATGCATGATGACATGATGTACGAGATCGTCTGCGCATTATTCTTTGCACAATGAGGGCAACGCAGAAGTTTTCACAAGCACATGCTTCCAGCGGGGACAACATGTTCCGGGTTTGCACAACTTCTAGCACCTTGCAGACGTAGCATACGTAGCATACGTAGCATACGTAGCTTTGCACAATGGACTCTAGTGACTTTCGCTGGCAGTGGCGGACCCTGCGGACCCTTTGAGTGGTGAGATCTTGCTGAGGTCAAGGCCAAGGATTTGAATGATATTTTGGATTTCAGCATTGCCAACTGTGGCTTGAAAGGTGGCCTGAAGGGACGAAGCAAGTGCCAAGTTTGAAAGTAACATTGAACACGTCCAATCTTGAGGTGGCTGTGGATACCATGCTTCATGTCCAGCAGTGCTACAGTAGCGGATGGTTCAGATTCCTCCATTGCAGTCTGTCTGTAGTCTTAACATGTCTTAACCTTCCTACAATGTAAAATGGCAAGCCCCACAGTGCATCCTAGCATGTGAAGGTATCTAGTTTGAGTCTCGAAGAAATCATACATGACATCGACGGACTGGTGGCTCGAGTCTGAGTCATGCACATCTCTGACGTTCAAAGGCTTTCCTGAAGGGAGCGGAAACATATACTACCAACTACTAACTACTAACTACTAACTATGACTATAACTGACTATATATGTAATACTACGGCCAGGCGCTGTGGGTTGCCCGGAAGGTTCAAATGGCGTTTAAACATGTTTAAACATTCTCCTTCAACATGCTCAAACACCTGCGCAGGACCAGTGTTTTCAGATTTCCCAGACGACGAACCCTAAACCCTAAAACCCTAAACCATCCTAAACCCTAAAACCCCAAACCCTAAAACCCCAAACCCTGAAACCTAAACCCTAAAACCTAGGCTCTGAAAACTTTGAATCCTAAACTGGAAAACACTGCGTATACGCAGTATTTTCTGCAATCTCTCCTATCATATATTCAACAGCACGACATTCTCAATGTCAATGTCTGGGCAACACACGGCGTCTGTGGGTAATACTATGAATATACTAGGTAGATCTAGGTAGACTATTCGCTGCAAAGAGGGAGCCTAGGAAAGGCATGCAACGTTTCTCATCAATTTCTGTGTGTATGCGCGGTGTGCTATATCCAACAAAACAAGATTGCAACATCTTGCAACCATTCAAGGGCACCAAAGAATTCTCTGCAAGTGCATGCTGCAAGGGCAATATGAATTTATTCCAAACGTATAATATGCCCACTAACCAGATGTCCAATGAAATGAAACTGCTGGCATCAGACATGTTCTATGAATCTATGCATCAACTTCTCTATAATGTGACAATCTCTGGTCAACGACAACATTTGCTTTGTGGAGATCGGCAATTCAACCCGCCTCGCAAAGGAAAGACTCCAAAGCGATCTCGTCCTACAATGCTCAGCCCAGCCACGGCCAGTGCCTGCCAAGTCTCTATGGAGTCCTATGGAGAGCTTGCAAGCCAGACATCTTGCATTGATGGAGGAACCGTCAAACAAGTTACACTTGGAACCTGTAGTATTTATAATATTTTATAATAGTCTTATATATATATATGTATTCTACAATAATACCTAGGACCTACGAGATTTGCTGGACATGGCTGGACACTTTCACATGTCAAGGCTACAAGAGACAAGGAGATCACGAGGAGATCGTCTGAATGGAGCCTTTGCGCTATCACCTTCCGTGAGGATGAGCGTGCATTCCTGCTGCCGAGGCAGATCGAGGCAGAATGAATGCATTAAATCGGCATTGAACAGTGAATAAACATGAATAAACTGTGAATATGACCGGAATATACCACAATGACAAGTGAATGAAAAAATGATCACAACATCTGAATGACACGAATCTGTAACTGATTGTAACTGATTGTAACTGTCCATACTGTCCTCTGAGTGCTTTGTGCCAGCAAGGTTCGCATCTTCCAGCTTCGGAATCTTAGCTGAAAACATGTAAGCGGCAAAAAGATGCACTGCAAAGCTACTGCTGAGGTCAATGCGCCAATCAAACGATTCGCTCTGCCAGTGCCCTGCCCGGCTTCCGAGTCATGCAAGTGAATTCATGCAAGGTCGCTGGAATCCCCAAAATCTGGAACAGTGGACTGATCGCAAGAGAGCGTACCCCAAAATCAATTCAGAATTCAAGAGTGCTTGAACTAGAACTTTGATGAACTTTGTGGTGATTGGTAGCAGCCAAATTCCTCTGCAGCACTTTGCATTGCTCCCCTCTTCCGTCCTTCATTTTCCTCTTCATGTCAATGGTTTCTCTCGCTTTGGCCCATTGCCTCAGTCTGCCCCAAACTGGATTGCAACCTTTCTACCATAGTGACATTGATGAGTAAGACCTGAGAAACGGGGTCAGAAGACACCGTCTGGAAAAGTCATGAAAAGTCTCTTTCACATCTTTGGTCCTATATATATATACATACAAGTCATATAAGTATATATATAAGTATATATATAAGTATATATATATAAGTATATATATATAAGTATATATATATACTTATATATAATTATGTATATATATATATATTGTATATATATAGAGAGAGATAGTTATATATATACATATAGTTATATATATAATTATATGTATATATATATATATATTATAATTATGTAAGTATATATAATTATATATAATTATATATATATATTATATGGTTGTGCTATGTTTTGCTGGGCACATAGGCCACATATGGCCACATTTTTCTGAGAGGAAGCTCGCCTTTCCAATACCTAGCCTCATTTGAGCCCGAATGAATGCCCAAATAGAGCAGTAAATAGAGCAATAAGATTGTCTTCACCTCTGACAGAAATAATTATAATTATATTGACGGTGTTTTTCCCTGCAAACCTTGAAGAGCACCTAAATTCAAGATCTGGCCTATACGCGTCTCCGCTGCTTAAAGCCTCATGTGGAAAAACTAATCAGGTGACGGCCTTCCTCAGCACCCTGAAACAGCGATGTCTGCATTTCCATTTCTTTATTACATCGTTAACCCACCAAGTACTCCAAGTACTGGCTTCGTTTTCAAACCGCAACTGAGCATGGCACAAGACGGTGTCCACGACGCCCATGGCAACCAACCTGGAATCTGGAATTGTGTGCTGGCGTTCAACCAACGCAGTTCCCTTGCATTTCCGCGTTCACCTTGAATGACTCTTCGCATGTCCGATTCCAGCAAATGTCCACTGAAGGGTCAAGGAACTGCTTGATGGACTTGTCTTGCACCTCGCACTTGGAACCTGGCAGTTGCACAAGTTCTAGGGTTGGCAACATAACAGGATTGCTACCAATGATCGATCATTGATTTTCATTGGTTTTTGAGATTCGAAACCACTTCCGTCAATCTTCCTACCTGTTACTTCTGCACGATTTGCAAGATCTGTTGATCTAGCTTGAAAGTCTGAAAATCTTGTGCTGCATTCCAAACTCTGTAGACATTTGACATAATCTTCGTTATCAGTATTCCCAAATGCTGATCGACCCTGCTTTCATGTGAGATGATACATTGTTGATACTAAGTCTCCAGGTCTCTCCTCCATGCGGATCATGCGGAAGGAATCATGTCAGCTGCTCCAAATTTGCTCTGCTTCAAGGTCATTGTCTCCTGTAGCCGACAAATTTGCTCCAAATTCATTCAACATCGTCGAATTCCATGACTTTGCAGGTTGTGACTTCAGTTATAGAACCGAACCAAGTGGGTATCCGGCTCTGGGTCCCTTCTACCCATGGCCCAGCCTTTGTCTGTGAATCAAATGTAGGATTCACCACCAGGCAATTGACGAACACCCAAAGATGTGAGCCTCAAACCGTGCCAGAGTTCGGTTGGTGTTGATATACGTTGACTGCTGTGAATGTTTGTGATGCCCTGGAAGGTGCTCTTTTCAGAGTGAACGATTTGTTGGTTCCAATTCCAAGTGGAGAACCCAGGTCAACTCTGAGGCCCGCAAAATCTGGTCTTCTGCACTAAGTTCCACATAGTTCCACTGATTTTCCAAGTACCCGGCGGACATGAGCAGGCTTTACTTCCTGAGTTTCCGCACACAAAACTGTGCAAGGCGGCAATGAATGGTCCCTTGCCACTGTCACTGCTTGTGTCGTTGGATGATATCAATCCAACTGTTTCACCTCTACTCGCACTGGTTTTCTATTGCAGGGTGTTTATCTGAAGATATTGGGATAAGGGGTGGTGAAACCCTCAAAATCAACCCAAGGCCAAGGTCAAGCTGCCATTCCACCTCTGTTCTTCTTGTTGACTTTCTCCATAATTGATTCCTCGACTTGCAGACTCACTCACTGCCTGTTGCTCCAATGCCATCCAATGCCTAGAAACTCCCGGAAATGTATGATTGCTTGAAGAAAAATATGAGTCGATCCACTTTGTACAGCAGGTCCATTGCCTAAACTCCTACAGTATGCCAAACTGCTGAGCTAAGGGCCACAAACTGATCAGTGACGTGCGACACATGAGTTCCACCTCGAGGAAACAGCCGTGGCTATCCGTGAACAAAAAATGATGATTTCTGGCTCTGTTCTGCAATGGAAATAAAGGCCCTGACCTTTGATGGTGTTGATGGAGTTCACAAAAGACACCTGCAACAGATGTTGCAGTGCCAAATGCTTGCAATTGCAACATGCGTACTGATGACAAATTGAACGGAACGTGGAGAGGCAATAAATGCAATGACTGCATACGACATTTTATGACAGATTATGATGACATTCATGTGGACTTTAGAGGTCTGAAAGGCCCTTGAAAGACCCTTCACACCGCCCGCACAAGCCTGCTGAAACTGTCCCTCCGAGAAGGTGATGACGAATTCCCAGCCTTGGAAAGAGTTAGTCAGTAGCCAAATGATTTGGGAATGAAGGAGAAGAAAGGAGAAGGAAGAGAACAAAGTATGACACTAATGACACTATGACTGTTTGAAAAAAGGGCTTAAATCCATGGACTGAAGCAAGAGTCCATCTCCATTGCTGGCTCTCGGCTTCAAACGGTCCCCACATCTATCGTAGACTTTTTGCTGGTCCTTTATATGGGAGAGAAGCAGGGGTGGAAAGTCAGAAAATGATATGAAATTGATATAAATGTGTGTTCTTGATACTAAGTCTCACAAGACTGCAATGACTCCTCCTTCTCGAAGTAGAGGTCCACATAGTCCTTCAGCAAAGGTGATGCATTAATAATTTGATATATATAATATATATATATCCATTCACAGCAGATTCTACACATTCAACCTCACAATGACTTGCATCCCAATAAAGTGCAGAAGCTTGTGTGTCCAACCAGCTGCTTCATTTTCTGGTCGACTGGTTCTCATTCAAACATATGGACTAAGAGAATCCCCTAATGCTTTGGGCACTGTGACGGAAAGGCGGCCATGCCTTAAACTCCTTCACAGCGACAGGGCTGTCATTCAAGAAAACGCGGCACCTCACCACGTCACGGTTGTGGCACCGTCTCCATTTGGGTTGCCAGAACTTGTTGGCTTGTCACCAGCAGCTGTTCTGGGTAATTTCTTGCGCTTTCCGCAACTAGGAGGATCACTTGTGGAACATACGATGATACCATACAATAGCCAATAGCATGCCAATAGCTACGAAGGGCTTGCTGAGCTCTTGGCTTCTTGTTTGTAGAGCCACCAGCATCCTGCGCCGTGCGCGAACGAATGGATGATAAGTTGGTGCATAGTTGGTGGTTGGTCCGTAGTTGTATGATTCTGTATGATACAAAAGGTCATATTTGAATATATTTGACAGCGTTTTATTTACACAATTGATAGACAGCAGCGGAAGCCGCTAAAGGCAGCTGACCTAGCGCAAAGGAATGCAAAGATCTATACAATTGTCATTGTCATTCCCTGTCTGTGATTGTCTGCATAGGTAAATGCAGGATCAGCAGCTGAGGAGGGCAGTCAAATTTATAGCAAACGAATCACAGCTCAGCCCGAACTGTCCATCACGCGCTTCTTCATGAGTGAGACAATGTCCTCCCGGCAGCAACGGCACACTTCTCGACGGACAGCAGCTCTACAGAGGACAAAGCATACCCAGCAAAAGGAGCTCAATTAATTGCATGCCAGTACTCGGCACCAGTTGTATATTTGGTGAATCATGAACCAATCATCAAGCGACACGCGATGCTCAAAGTTCCCACATGTACTATCAGTACTATCATGTACCAACATGTTCCAACAATCACATGGAATCCCTGGAATTGGACCTTGCAACTTCTTGCAACTCCTTGAGTCTCCTTGTCCAGCTTTGTCATGCCAAAACGCTTCAAATCTGGGTAGAACGTGACCTTGGTGAAGTCCTGGCAAAGCAAAAGAAACTCAGCCCAACGCGACAAAAAAGAAACGCCAAATGGCCAAAAATATACAGTATCAAAATCTGCTGATATCAGAGCCAAATCAGAAAGTTAGAAAAAATGAGGAAAAAAACAATCTTTGGCGTAAAGTTGCTGAAACCACATCAAATCGGAGTCAGATTTGAAGCTAATTGAGCTTTATTGAGCCACCTTCCCAGAGTACTTTGTGATCTTTGCTTTGCTCTTGTCCTGATGGTGGCATCCCAACAGCAGCAACCATTGGCGATCCACAAGCATCACTCATCACTCAAACAGGGACTGTGTTGAGCATCACACCCCCATGTTGTTCTCCCAGCTTTGTACGTACTTGTGCCCTCTTTTGCCATCTGCGCACTCGATCACCTTTGGCCACGCAAACACTTTGACAGCTTTCTTCGGTTCTTGTTTGCTTCGAATTCCATCGACGCTAGGTTGGTGCTTCAGCATTACTCTGAACAATTCTAATTTTGCATAGTTTTTGCGATCCCCAGTCCATGTCTCCAGACACAAAAAATACACATGACGGTTGTTGGCACTGATTGTGTTGACACCAGGGAGCAAATTTTGTGGAGAAGATGTTGGTGAGCTTTGCGCCATAGCCGTTTCGCCCACCTGTGACCTGGAACAATAAGGTGTGTGAAACACAGCTCTCTGCTGTGTGCGCACGACATGTCTTTCTCAAGTTGAAATTCGAAGAGAGTGCTGTAAACATGATAAAAAGTTAAAAGGAATGCTGCAGCCATCTATCACCAAACGTTCAAATAAATAGGATCTAAACAATGCCTTGTTGTCGTCATCATCGTAATTGTCACTGGTGAGCAAGTGGCCAAAAACCTGAGCTGTGTTAGCAGGTGGAACACCTTCGAAGTACGAAAGAAGGGAGATTTGATTTAAAAAAATCACCTGAATCTAAATTGCATCCGAATCATCTAATGAATTTGAATGATCAGTCTGGTCCTTAGACGATTTGTTTCTCAATTACGTCGCTGTGCAATCCTGCTTGAGCGGCAGGAGTATTGCCTCCACTGAGGCCAAGCACCATCTCAGGCACATACATCTTGTGCTCCTTGAAACAATCGCTTTCAGGGAGACGCTCGTAGCTTTAGACAAGTTCTGGCCTCGTTTGAATAGTTGAAGCAAGAAGTGCTGTGAGATGCTGTGACCTACAATGTCTTGAATTTAAAGATTGAAAGTGTTCGGAAGTCCTTGTGAATCTCAACCGGCAATGTGGAGCCGTTGTTCTCGATAGAGACCCATCCTTCCTCTTCATTGATGTTCACCTTCACAAAACCAAAGAGAAAACGGAATCTGCCTTCAATCCACTGCCTCTCTGGAAAAAGCACTCAAAAAATAGTCAACAAGCCAAGACACCAAGAAAAGGCCAAAAAAGATTCTTTTCGGCACTTCCTCCTGCATCTTTGTTTCCAAAGTGTTTGCAAAGGTTCGGCCTTGATGTAGGTCATGTGATCTGGATCGCGCTGAAAGTTATCACAGGCATTCACCAAGATCTCATCAAAGATTTTGTAGAGGCCGGGAACGAAGTTGATCTTAGGATTCCATTTGATGCTGCAAGGGGGTGAAACGCTATCTCTGGATGACAATCAAGTTCGAGTCCCTCAAGAGTTCCATCCAAGGTCCTTGCCTCTCTCTGAACAATCTTCTGCTTGGCGTCATCCCAAACCCATAGCCTGCAACACAGCAATAACAAGTCCATCCAGGCATCCAGGAGTGACTTGTTCAATGACATGTTCAATGACATGTTCAATGACATGTTCAACGAGGACTGCAGTGCCTCTCTTTCTGCGTCTCAATGGACCCGACATAGGTGTCTGGTCCTTGGTGCTTCCAACAAGCAATTGCCTGCTCACAAATGTACGTTTCAAACCCTCGGCAAATGATATCTCAATAGTCTGGAGTCAGCAACCTGTGGGATTGCAAATCCTTTCCAAACACTGCAAACGCCACTCTACAGCTTTGCTGAGAATTACTTACATGCTAAGTAAAAATTCTAAATATATAGTTTCTCCGTGTGCATGTATATAATTGTATATATATATACATGTACTATCCGTTCTGAATGCATTCTGAAGCGGGCGCCACACCCACATGAGCCCCCGGCTCAAAAGGATGTGCTCCAGTTGGCTCTTCTTCCTGAAGGAGATCCAGTTTGCGATGACTGGTGGAACGATGCGCTGAGAGTTGCAACACATCCTGCGCTATCACAACAATATAACATCCTAAACATATTATGATAATATCTTAACATATCTAATCATAGCTGCAGCTAAACATATCTACAATGCTGTGCAATGCCGAGAGGCTGATAGATTTGCTCAATGGTTTTGCTCTTCCGAAGAGCACCTAGCTGAGCCAGCTATAGCCAGCTGAGACAACGGGGTAAAATCTAGCAGCATCTCTCAGGTGTGGCTTCTTGCAGTGATGTAGGCTGAGAGCAGGGCTCATCAGATTTGCTGCCTCCTCCAAGAAAAACAGGAAGGGGCGCTGGTGGAAAGATCATGAGGAAAGAATAACAACTCCAATGACATTGGGAACAGCAACACGCCAAACGACATGTTTGCAACTGTCTGTCCAGGTCAGAAATCGGAGGCGGAAAGGAGGAACGTCGCTCCCGCTCAGAAAATACGAGGTTTTGAGGTGTTCAACTGTTGGCTCTTGTTGGGAATAATCAAATGGTTCTGTCGGCAATGCTAAATCGATCCTTGCCATCCATGCTTGGCCCTAGAGCTAAAATGGTAGCAAAGCCAGTGCTCAGTGTGTATTTTGTTCTTTGTGCAAGCGATTTCTGCGAACAAACTGAGCAACCATGAGTGCCCCAAAGTCCTAAACTACAGCTGGAACAGCGCAAGCAAAAAGTCACCAATCACTGCAGAAATGCGATGCATGCAATTAGACGACAGTGAAGAATAAAAATCAAATATTCGCTGAATGTCGCAAAAACCACATGATCACATCCTGATCCTTTCGAGAGAATGCGATATGTCTGCGATTAGAGCGACTCAATGCAACTCACATCCCACATCATCCCACTACCCTGATGGCACTCTGAGACATAGAGTGCACCCTCGAGGATGCCCAGCAAACCTGCACATTGCAAGACTGGCACGACAACTGCAGAATTTTGTGCAGATTCCTCAAGCACAAAGGTTTTTGTACACAAAAAGCTCAAAAATGTTGAAGATACCTGAAGAATTTTGAAGCCACATCAGGCTCAGCATGGCTCAGCTGAGGCTGGGACCACGCTCCTCTGCTGTCAGGCGCAAGGGGATGTACTTCACCTAGAGCTGCCACGCTGCCGAACAATGGAAACTATATATATATCAAAATAACTAACAATATCAATATCGTTCAATATCCATTGAGAAAAGTATCATAGGATTTGAAAATCTTGACAGAAATCTACATCATGTTGCCCCATGTTGCCCAGTCAAGAGACGGCCGCAATGGCCCTAGCGCCTGACTCTGCACGTTCTGCGCATCCATGAGAGGCTCTACGTCCTGCAACTGCAAAATCGTGTTTCAATGGACTGTGGCATCGCAAACATCGCATCTCATGTGTGTATAGATATATGATATATATATAATATAATATAATATAATATAATATAATATAATATATATATAATTATGTGTATATATATATTATAAAAATATATAATATGCCAATTCAATCCAATTCATTCATCCATAAAGAAGGATTCGGACTCTCCTTTCTGATTCCGAGTACAAGGAATGCGTGAATCAGTTATGTATAAAGTATAAAGCGTGTTTCCAGACCAGGTTGCATCTTGGGTACAGTATAAATGTTGCTTTGATAAGTTTCTCAGAAAGGTAACCAGAAAAACAAACAAACCAGCTAAGTAGCAAATGCTATACAGCTGGTGGGAGGATGGCAAGCAATGGCCAAGAGTGGAGCCTCCTTTTTGCTGGCAGGAAGCATCGGCTCATCTTTGTCTTTTGATTCTTTCCAAGCTTTCTCCTTCCAACATCAGATCTCTGGCTGCTCTATACTGATCTGACAGCAGCGAAATGTTCAGAAAGAGGAAGCGGAACAACAAGTCCGAATGCGTTAGTGCAGCAGGATGTATCTTTGCCGTGACCTGTGCTTCTACGAAGAAAGCTTTCAACTACGTCAGTCCTATCGACCAAACCACAAATATCTACAATTGCTGTATATGATATAAAATGATATAAACATCAATACAATTAAATACATTCATATATATATATATACAAACGTATACAGGGTACAAGTCCGTCCATATCCATCTCCTGATTTTCGACCCAGTCTTGATGTGCACGGTCTTCCTGCCATGGCAAGTCCGCAGTACAAGATGCAGATATGCAGAAGAGCCTTGGGACGTCAGAAACTTCCGAAAGTCACTTGATGTCACTTGTCCTCTAGGACAATCTTCATCTGCTCGAGTGCCTGCCAGACGGGCTCCTACCTACGAGTACTGCAGTCATATCCGGGAATCGCTAAAGATATTATGTGTTCCCAATATGTCTCTTTGCCATTCTTTGCCCTGGTTTGTTGTTGCTCGGTTCAAGGTTTCTGCCAGACATTGCTGCTCCAGAGAACCTCAACAAGTATAGTTTCACTTTCATACGCTTTCTGCATCTTTCTGCTTTGTTTTCCAACATGTTCCAACCCTGTTTCGCCGACAGACCCTCACAAACCATATATATATAAGTTACAATACAATAAATGTTGTAAGTTGACACTTGACACCTTGAGTTGACGCCTAAGTCTGCTGATATTATATCCGGCATCCACCGGCGTCCAAAGACGCAAAGGGACATTCTTCCATGCCTGGCCGTTCCCAACGTCGAGCAAAGATTTCAGCGACGCCTTCATGTCTTCGATGGAAGCGACCTGCGATCAGCCGCTGTACCGTTGTTCTGGTGTTCAATTGATGTCAATCCAGAACATCAGATCTTGTAGCTGCACCATATGGAAGAACAAACAATAACATTCAATAGCATGAAACATACTAACATTGTCTAACAGTTTTACTAACATGTATTTGTTTTTGCTTTGTCGACGCAAAGGGCACCTGTAGCCAATCTGAGAACGTGCTAGGTTTACTGGCGGTCGGATCATCTTCCATCATGTCCTGGGAATGTGTTCTGCCAGTGCTGCGGCGAGGTCACTGCCCTTATCATCAATGTCGCAGCGAATGTCGCACAATCTGAAGGACCGCATAGTGTTGTTGCGTCTCTGATTGGAACTGTTCAGTGCTCAATAAGCACTCAAATAGCAAGCGTCCATGGAATGAAGCCCCGTTTTCAAGGGCAAGCCAATCCTTTTCTGCTGCATCCCTGCATAAATATAAGATCCATAGTAATGTAAAACTCTTAAGCCTCAGTTGCCGAGTATGATACAGTTGGCAAAACAGCCGGCAATGAAATACCCAAATCTGTCCTGTACATCTGCCTTGCTGAGATCAGCATCCTGCAACACAAAAGGATGAATGTCATTGGACCATGCAACTGCGTGGACTTGCGCAGGTTTATGTATGGCTAGTATGGTAGCTTTTCCTACGCGTTTTTCTGTGACATGTATCAGATATATCATATATATATATCAAGAAAAAGTTGGCTACCATCTCTGGTAGGTAAGGAAACACAAGGCCATTCTGGGAAATTTTGCCAGTCTTCTGAGTCTGCTTTGCATGATTTTGCATGTCGCTGGAGCTGTGCATTCTTTGCTGATCGGTGCTGTGCATCCCGGTCCAGCATGTCTGAGAGGCGTTGCTTGGTGGTGGCCGCCATGTTTGCACGATGAAGGCTCCAAGGCTCCGCAGTGCAAGTTGGCAAGGCGAGCGGTCCCAGTGGTCCTGGTGTGTCTACAGCATCCTACAGTCCTACAGTCTACGTCTGCGGATGGCGGTGAGAAAAAAATGGCTACAAATGGCTACAGTCTCAAAAAAAGTCCGGGGATTGTTAGGGCTGGAGGTGAGAATTGTTGAAGAGCTGCATGCTGGACATTGTGGATGGCCGATGCAGAATCAATATCCTGTTTCTGGGGCATCATGATGCGGATTCTTCATGATTGGGAAGCATTTTTGGCTTGCAAGCGAGTCTGCATCTGTATCGCGCTGTTGCTTGCATTCTTCAAATGACGAATTTGATAGCACAAAGCTGCAGGTGGCTGGAGAATGCACATCAAGCCATACAACATGGGACGGTCAGTGGTTTACATCTTGATGTGAGAAGGTAGAATAGACTCTGGATATCTCTGAATACAGAGCATCATAAATATTCATAAATATTGATATAAACGATGTACAGTAACAAAAGTAGAGAAATGAACCCTCATGATTTGACCTTCACGTGAGCAGTATCAAAAACTTTGACAGAACGTGACTGATCCACTGTCAAAATTGGCGGCTATTTGCTTGTTTCAAGATGTTTAAGTTCCAACTGGTCTTTGTGGCCAGGTCTTATCAAGTCTTCACAGTCTTGAGCCAAATGGAAGCTCCACGCGCAGTTTTCGTTCAGGGTCTGGTAGCACAGCCTCACTGGGCTCATTTGGCACGCATGGCGTGCACCAACGTGCTGAGGTGACGCTCGACTCTGTATGGGGACATCATGGGACATCACTGGCCCCGCGTCGCCAATGTTTGGAGATCCACTGAGTACAGATCAGCAGAAGTTGATGGTTGATCAGTCCCATTGAAGTGTTGCACTTTTGAAATCATGCGAAATCAAACAGTCTCAGAAACATTGAATGGCGTTGAACTTGCGGCGTTGTTTATTCCAGCTGGAAGTGGATGCTTCCTGCAATCTGGTCAAAACAATTTGTCTTCCACCTTCTTGGAGGTTTGACCAATGAAGTGTCCATTCCTGCTGCAACCAACAGCTTGAAACTCAACGTGTCTCTCAGAAGCACTGGCGTTTTGCTCTGTTTTTTGTCCTGTGGCATGTGAGATGAAACGTCAATTCATAGTTAATTCTAGTAGTGATACTAGTGTATACCGCATGACTGGTTCTATTCGTCGGCAGTCTTTTTCTACCTGCAGGAGGACAACTTCAGAATCTGCTGACTGCCAATGACTGCCATGCAGCCTTGCAGCCTGGTGCCTTCGTGCTGCCTTGCAGGCCTTGCATCAATTTAAAATTAACCTACTCCAGTCATGGGAGGCTCGCTGGCATTCGTTGTCTTGTTGGCTTGGCTGAGAATCTTGGAGACTGGCCCATTTTGAGAAACAAACGCAGAGTCTTCAGGAAACAGATCCTTTTATTATCTTTATTGAAAACCAGCACTAAAATCCTCAATGCTTTTATTGTCTCTGATCCTCGCAGTGAAACTCCCAGGCTGCCAAGAGTCTAACAACAACATGTCTTCCTCTCCCTACGGTACTTCTCCAAGTAGGTAAGATATAATATGATATAATATGATGATATAATATGTATGTACATCATCATCAAAAAGCATTTGGAATTTGGAATGTCTGCTCACCTCTTTGGTGAAGTGAATACAATATGTGGGACATAACAAAAGGGCGTACCTTCTCATCAGCCAGGTTGACGCAAATGTCTGACTCCAAATGGCTGCACCTGGGCCTGATAACTCAACAAAAAACAATGATGTTCGATGTTTTGAATGTAGCTGCGCTTCCGCAGATTCTGTCACGACTCTGCTTGCTGCCGGTCTTCATGGTCCTGAGGGGAAGGCCTGTGGCAGGCTCAAGCATTGCAGGCCGCTTCATAAATGAACAGCAGTGCAAGCAAGCACCACCAAATAACAATTCACACTCTTGTGTTCCCTTGCATAGATCTTTGGAGATCCCAAGACAAACGTCCTACTGTCACCTGACATATAATGAATACTAATATATCATATATATATGTCAAAATATGAACACACCATGAGGTGAGACCATCTGAAATGATCTCAGCATTGGCGCCTAGATAGGCGACACTATTTCGACACCCGATTCCTACCTCCACTGGAAGACCGACAGCAGGGGCATGCGAAAGGTGGGAAATTGGGCAGAAGCTTCCTGGAAAGCTGGCTAACAGAAACATACAGCAACATCATCAGACCGGCACTTCAGCACCCAACATCAACCCCAACATCAACTCTTCGCCGTTGGAAGCACGGAAGCACGGCTGCACCCAAAAGATATGAATAATAAAAACAATGACAATAAATAAAAAAATAGAAGAACAAAAAAGGTGATTGGGTATGGGGATCCGAAATCTTGTTTTTTTTTTGTGATTTCATTTGTTTGTTCTTTGATTTTTGGCTGACCCGGAAAGTTATAGGTTTGACATAGGACATAGGATGTAGAAACTTCAGCACTGGGGTCCTAAGATCCCCATTTGATTTTTGGGACTCGCCTACAAAGAGTGCCCTGGGCTTTGCTGCCTTCATTCATTGCACGGGTACCCTTCCAAACTTTAAGGTTCAAGACAACTCTACTTGTCTCAGACAAGGAGCACCTTGAAGTGTAAAATGGGCACATTTGTTGCTGCTAATACTCCAATAGAATACTACCAAGCAAACGATGCAGAAATGACGAGCTCTTTTGTCATCTCACCTCTCAAATCTGGAGCATGCCCTTAACATTGACTCATCATACAACAGCCAAATAATCAATCGGACTCGATTGAACAAGCCGTGTCCTCTGCGCCCATAGTTGTAATGTACATCGGACTGTGCCCTGCCAGCGTAGCAATCGCATCCTTAGCGGCTTCTCATCTGCATATGTAAATCCATCCGCACAGAGATCATTGTAGTTTGGGGTTGTTTTGGTATGTCTTGTCTCTTGTGACCAAGAGAAGCTGCCTCTGGGCAAAAATTAAACGGTAGAAGTAGGAAACGTTCCCACCAGTCCATTGGTCCGGGACTCCAGACAAATGCATCATGGTGATCACAATATCAGGTTCTATCCGTGCATTTCGTTCTCCTATTTTGATTATGTTGCATGTGCTCACTCGGATCATTCAAATGAAAAAGAGGCACAATTACAGTGTTTCAGCATGCGTGAAATCATTACATCGCATGACCGCATGACTATATCATCCATATCTCCACCTGGACACTGTGTCGAGCGAGTCGAGCTGTTTCCATCTCTGGGATCCACCACCACGGCACCGCTGTACAAAATGCAATCTGGGCTGTGCAGCCTCAGCTACGATGGTCTCCAGCCCTTCACAATGAAACAAGAAAAATGAAAAAAAAAATAGAAAAGGTCGAAAAGGTATCATTATTTTTTCATGAATCATGATGTATCATCCCTTCACCATCTCTGTATCATGCCATCATGACCTTCACCTGCATCCAAGCGGACTTGGCCATGGCATGCGTATCCTCAATGGTCGCTGGATACCTTTACATCTGAGTTGCTGACTTCAGAAGTCCACTTGAGCCGTCCAAAGTTGGGCCTGTCGGGTTGCAGAATCCGGTGTTCCTGTTCTTATTGCAAACAAGACATTCCTGTGGTCCCAGGTGCAAGTTGGCTTGAAGCCACTTTGAGAAAACTGGTGAGTTCAAGATTCATTGAAGTTGCGGTATTCAATCTCTAGCGGTTTGAAAGACGGTTGAAGCCTTTTCAACAACTCCGTCATGACCTTAGCGTCCAACAAGCTGACATGATCTGGCAGGGCTCACCTATCTGCTCTGCCCGTTGGCAACCGGCTACAGGATCCCATTTTCCCACTGGCGCATAGACCTCCTGAACGCAGCCGTAGAGTGCGCATTTCAAATTTGAATGTAAACGTGTGCCGTGTGTAGTCGTACCATGCGGTTCTAGTCAGTCCAAACTCTGTGAGAAACAGCCAGATCAAAATGATCAAAAACAAAAGCAATTTGAACAAAACTTGATGAAGAATGCAAGAGGAATGCAACAGAAAGTTTGTTCCTGAGTCGATTTCTAGCCCTGTCCGCAATCTCCATCCCTGAAGAAGCAACCTGGTGCTGGTACCTCCTTCGCAAGCTCCCTATAAGCTGAGCGCAACTCTGCAAGTTCCTGGTAAGACAAGGTTTCTGACTCACAACTTCAATGATGTTGCAATCAACTGGGCACTAAACAACACTGGCTGTGGTTTTAGAATTCATACTGTACAGTAGATATTACCTGTGATCCGACAATGTAATTTATATAATTATATATATATATATAATGATAGACATGGTGAAATCTTAAAAAGTCAGGCGCATCAATTGCTGGTTGGACTTCACAACATGTATTTGTGGCGTTCTCCACAGTGACCCTTCAACCAGGACATGTAGCTTCCGCATGTTACCAAACCTGCCAAATTCCCCCACCAATCCGGACTACCTGCACCATGTGTAAAATTTCAGCACCTGATCCGAGCATTTGTGCGATTCAAGACTGTATCATGAGAATTCTGACAGACTTGATTTTGAACATGTCCACGATCGCTTTGGCGGGTCGGTCAGGTCATGTCAGAGAGATTTTCCAGAGCAACGCTGTATAACGCTGTGTATCAGACCCTGACTCAGTTTTCTTTTGAGTCGATCTCCAAACGGCAAATCAGCGAAACAGAAGCGAAGCTCTTTCCAAAGCCCCCTGACAGCCCCTTAAAGCGCCCCCAAAGCCGGCCTCCGATTGGCAAACAATCTGCTACGACGACCAAGGCTTTGGCCTTTCGCCACAGGAATGCCAGGTGCAAATGGCGTCTCAAGCCTTATCCGCTAAACTGTCTTCCAAACAATCTGTGCCATGTCACAAACAATGTGAATGAACGGAATGGTTTTCTTCCGCCATAAGAGTACATCTGAGAGCGTTCAATCCGAAAGCGCTTAGCTTCAACACAATGCGTAAAAACAAAAACAGCATCGTGTACATAACCTAAAGCAGGTAGGTCCGGTTGGGTCCGGTTACGTTTTTGATATCTTGCGTCGCGTATCAAAAGACAATAATGCCTGAACTTAAGAATAAGCCCAAAGAATATCCCCAACAGCCAGAAACAAAAACAGTTGCCAAACACGCAATGACTGAAGTATGTTTATTGCCCCGCCCTTCTTACTCTAGAGGTCGGGCGTGCATAGCGCAATCACAGCACAAACACGTTATGAAAAAAACGTTTTTCCAAAAGCGTTTGCAATACCGTGGCCAATATTCCCGAAGCTCGTGCGAAGGGTTTTTTCCCAAAGAACTGCTGTCCGCCTCACTCTTCACTTCATCTACCTAACATACATCATCCACATCTCTTATGTCCTTTACTACTACTACTACTACTACTACTAGAAGTATTAATAGTACATCCCCCCTTAAGGGGGGGGTGGGCCCCCCTTAACACTAAATATATTTAAACCGACGTCCCCAAAACATTGATGCTTGTAGACCTAAGATTCTGGGGATTTAGATGGATCTAGACATAGTGCATGTCACCAGGTACATGTCTCTTATACGCATGGCACTCAGGTGCAACTACACTTACGTGATTTTTTTAACCTCATGTTTTCATGCTATACCGCTTTTTTAATGGCGCTTCGCTTTTGTCGCTGGTTTTTCAAATGCGTTTGCTTGAAGTGTTCATACAGTGTTCCATGTGATTTTATTTGAATTGCGATCTGGCATTGCATCTCGCATACATTCTGACATCTAAACAACAGGCTTAAAGTTTGCCGATATTTTCTGTATTATCGTTCTTTACTTGCGTCCTTTTCAAAAATTCGGCGCGATTTGCGTAAGGTCCGAAAATTGTGTTCTTCTTGGTTCGTATAGATAGTAATCAACAAAGCAATAAGATAGATTGTTCACTACTAGCAATGACCGCGTTCAATAAAAATCAAACCACGATTAGATATTTGTCAGATTCTACGTTTTCATGTCTTGAATTTAGCTATAGATGTTTGTTTTTGGATAAAAATAATCGCGGATTTGGATTCCTGCATCTGGGTCCCGGGATCCGGGTCCCGGGATCCGGGACCCGGATTCCAGAATCCACCTGTCCATTCTAGGTAGAAATCAAGGTTTGAAAAACTATACATATTTGTTTCGTCTCTGGACTTTCTTTAGATCAGACCTTATAGATGTAAATAGTTTTGGTATGAGTTGTACATTTCTCGCTTGTCTACACGGATGTATTTTTCCCCACCTGCCAGGTGAGGGTTGTTAGATTTTATGTCAGTTGCCTCCTCCTCCTCCTTCTCCTTCTCCTCCTCCTTCTCCTCCTCCTCCGCCTCCTCCTGCCTCGTCCTCCTCTCCTCCTCCTCCTCGTCCTCCTCGTCGTCCTCGTCGTCCTCGTCGTCCTTGCTCAACTGCGACCCGCGATCCACAGTGTTCTCTGCCGGACCTCAACCACGACCATCCACGCCCAGTGTTCCCTGCCGGACCTCAACCACGACCATCCACGCCCAGTGTTCCCTGCCGGACCTCAACCACGACCATCCACGCCCAGTGTTCCCTGCCGGACCTCAACCACGACCATCCACGCCCAGTGTTCCCTGCCGGACCTCAACCACGACCATCCACGCCCAGTGTTCCCTGCCGGACCTCAACCGCGAGTATCCACGCCCAGTGTTCCCTGCCGGACCTCATGTAGGAAGATATGGGACAAAGAATGTGCAGAAGAAAGATATGTCAGAATATATGCCAGAAGATATGCCAGATAGAATGCCAGATAATATGCAAGAAGATATGCCAGATAGAATGCCAGATAGAATGCCAGAAGATTTGCCAGATAGAATGCCAGAAAATATGCCAGAAGATATGCCAGATAGATATGTAAGAAGATATGCCAGAAGATATGCCAGAAGATATGCAAGAAGATATGTCAGAATATATGCCAGAAGATATGTCAGATAGAATGCCAGAAGATATGTCAGAATATATGCCAGAAGATATGCCAGATAGAATGCCAGAAGATATGTCAGATAGAGTGCCAGAAGATATGCCAGATAGAATGCCAGAAGATTTGCCAGATAGAATGCCAGAAGATATGCCAGAAGATATGCCAGATTATATGCCAGAAGATATGCCAGATAGAATGTCAAATAGAATGTCAGAAGATATGTCAGATAGAATGCCAGAAGATTTGCCAGTAAGAAAATGTATAAATGTCATGGTGGGGATCACACGAAGTAAAGTAATTGAAATATGCTCTTTTTTTGAAAATTATAATTGCATGAAGACACAGGTAATCGATGATGGAAAAAATATCCTGCATGTCTTGGCATGGATAATGATATGTATATTGTCACCAGGTACATGTCTCTTATACGCATGGCACTCAGGTGCAACTACACTTACGTGATTTTTTTAACCTCATGTTTTCATGCTATACCGCTTTTTTAATGGCGCTTCGCTTTTGTCGCTGGTTTTTCAAATGCGTTTGCTTGAAGTGTTCATAAGTGTTCCATGTGATTTTATTTGAATTGCGATCTGGCATTGCATCTCGCATACATTCTGACATCTAAACAACAGGCTTAAAGTTTGCCGATATTTTCTGTATTATCGTTCTTTACTTGCGTCCTTTTCAAAAATTCGGCGCGATTTGCGTAAGGTCCGAAAATTGTGTTCTTCTTGGTTCGTATAGATAGTGTTCAACAAAGCAATAAGATAGATTGTTCACTACTAGCAATGACCGCGTTCAATCAAAAAAACACGATTAGATATTTGTCAGATTCTACGTTTTCCTGTCTTGAATTTAGCTATATATGTTTGTTTTTGGATAAAAATAATCGCGGATTTAGATTCCTGCATCTGGGTCCCGGGATCCCGGGACCCGGATTCCAGAATCCACCTGTCCATTCTAGGTAGAAATCAAGGTTTGAAAAACTATACAGATTTGTTTCGTCTCTGGACTTTCTTTAGATCAGACCTTCTAGATGTAAATAGTTTTGGTATGAGTTGTACATTTCTTCCTTGTCTAACACGGATGTATTTTTGAAATATGCTCTTTTTTTGAAAATTATAATTGCATGAAGACACAGGTAATCGATGATGGAAAATAAATTCTGCATGTCTTGGCATGGATAATGATATGTATATTGTCACCAGGTACATGTCTCTTGTACGCATGGCACTCAGGTGCAACTACACTTACGTGATTTTTTAACCTCATGTTTTCATGCTATACCGCTTTTTTAATGGCGCTTCGCTTTTGTCGCTGGTTTTTCAAATGCGTTTGCTTGAAGTGTTCATAAAGTGTTCCATGTGATTTTATTTGAATTGCGATCTGGCATTGCATCCCGCATACATTCTGACATCTAAACAACAGGCTTAAAGTTTGCCGATATTTTCTGTATTATCGTTCTTTACTTGCGTCCTTTTCAAAAATTCGGCGCGATTTGCGTAAAGTCCGAAAATTGTGTTCTTCTTGGTTCGTATAGATAGTGTTCAACAAAGCAATAAGATAGATTGTTCGCTACTAGCAATGGCCGCGTTCAATCAAAAATCAAACCACGATTAGATATTTGTCAGATTCTACGTTTTCATGTCTTGAATTTAGCTATAGATGTTTGTTTTTGGATATAAAAATAATCGCGGATTTGGATTCCTGCATCTGGGTCCCGGGATCCGGGTCCCGGATTCCAGAATCCACCTGTCCATTCTAGGTAGAAATCAAAGTTTGAAAAACTATACAGATTTGTTTCGTCTCTGGACTTTCTTTAGATCAGACCTTATAGATGTAAATAGTTTTGGTATGAGTTGTACATTTCTTCCTTGTCTAGACGGATGTATTTTTGAAATATGTTTTTTTTGAAAATCATAATTACATGAAGACACAGGTAATCGATGATGGAAAATAAATTCTGCATGTCTTGGCATGGATAATGATATGTATATTGTCACCAGGTACATGTCTCTTGTACGCATGGCACTCAGGTGCAACTACACTTACGTGATTTTTTAACCTCATGTTTTCATGCTATGCCATTTTTTTTAATGGCGCTTCGCTTTTGTCCTGGTTTTTCAAATGCGTTTGCTTGAAGTGTTCATAAAGTGTTCCATGTGATTTTATTTGAATTGTGTTCTGGCATTCCATCGCGCATACATTCTGACATCTAAACAACCGGCTTTAAGTTTGTTGATATTTTGTGTATTATTGTTCTTTACTTACGTCCTTTTGAAGACCCGGTGCGCTTTGCGTAAGGTTTGAAAATTGTGTTCTTCTAGGTTTGTTTTCTCCAGTATAAAAGCGTCTAAAAGAGCAAGAAGGCGGATTATGCACCAGTAGCAATGAATCAGCGTTCGAAAAATATTGCCTTGTTTTTTTCAATTTTTTTTTGCGTTTTGTATTTACATCTGTTTTTGTATTTACAATCTTTTTCTGCCGATCTGCAGCTGACACCGGCTCCTTCACGACCATGACAGGCACAGACTGGGCCATAGACCGCATCCACTTCGGAAGCTCCAGCTGCAAGTCGAAAGCCATACGAAGATAGCAATACAAGCTGCACGTCCTGGTGTGCCCAGACACATAGGTGAAGGTGTCGCTGTCACCCTGCCGCACGACCTTCATCGGGCCAAGCCACCCTTCTGATTGGAACATTGCTGCCAGCTTCTCCTTCCAGTGCGCGCCGTGAACGTTGGGAAATTACAGTGGGAGCATGCAAACTTTATGCTCCAAATCTTCCAGAAACAACAATGATTCGTGCGATCCCCATCTTGACCGATCTCTTTAGAAGTTGAGGTCCGGTGGAAGAAGGAGGAAGAGAAGAGATAACATATGATCTAACAAATCTCACCTGACAGGTGGGGACTTAGTTGCTCTGCTCGCGTGCGTCAAACAGAGCAACCAATCGTTTCATAGAGCAAATAGCTTGGAAAAGAGTGGTTTTCGGTTGCTAGTTGCTTTGTTCGACTCCGAGTTGCTCTGTTCGCCTCCGTCCAACAGAGCAACCAAACGTTTGGCATGTGTCGGTTTTGTCTGGCAGGCCGATATGGGTGATGAGTACGACATTATTACTACTACTACTGCTGCTGCTGCTGCTGCTACTGCTACTGCTACTGCTTACTGCTACTGCTACTGCTACTGCTACTGCTACTCCTACTACTACTACTACTACTACTACTACTACTACTACTACTACTACTACTAGAAGTATTAATAGTACGCGCGGGTTCCGCACGTTATCCGCGTCTGCGTTTCGCGCGGGTTCCGCCCGTGTTGTTCTGCGTGGGTTCCGCGCGCGTGGTCGCATTCAAATTTCTTAAAGAACTTAAAATATTACGGCGAATATTAGTACTACTTCTACTAATTGTTATTTAATCAATATTACGATTAGTATCATTTCTACTACATCTACGATATTTTTATTACTACTACTACTACTACTACTACTACCACGACTACTACTACTACTACTACTACTACTACTACTACTACTACTACTACTACTACTACTACTACTACTACAAGTATTAATAGTAAGCGCGGGTTCCGCGCGTCTACGTTTCGCGCGGTTTCTGCGCGTTATGCGCGTTATGCGCGTCTGCGTTTTGCGCGGGTTCCGCGCGTGTTGTTCTGCGCGGGTTCCGCGCGTGTAGCCGCATTCAAATTTCTTAAAGAAATTAATATATTACGACGAATATTGCTACTTGGGAACCTTTACATAATATAATAACCTTGGGGACCTTGAGAACATTTACGTGGAAAACTTGGGAACCTTGAGGGAACCTTTACAATACAACCTTGGGAACCTTGACAACCTTTACTTGGGAAACTTGGGAATCTTGAGGGAACCTTTACAATGCAACCTCGGAAAGCTTGAGGAAACCTTGACAATATAACCTTGGAACCCTTGAGAACCTTTACAATGTAACCTTGGGAACCTTGAGCGAACCTTTACAATGCAACCTCGGAAAGCTTGAGGAAACCTTGACAATATAACCTTGGAACCCTTGAGAACCTTTTACAATGTAACCTTGGGAACCTTGAGGGAACCTTTACAATACAACCTTGGGAACCTGGGAAAACTTGGGAACCTTCAGGGAACCTTGAAGAAACCTTGAAGGAACCTTGAGGGTACCTTTTGGGAACCTTGAGGGAACCTTGACAATCTAACCTTGGGAATCTTATAGAAACCTTTACAATGTCACCTTGGGAACCTGGACCACGTTTACTTGGGAACCTTTACATAATAATCTTGGGAACCTTGACAACCTTTACTTGGAAAACTTGGGAACCTTGCAGGGAACCTTGAAGGAACCTTGAGAGAACCTTTTGGGAACCTTTTGGGAACCTTGAGGGAACCTTGAGGAACCTTGGGAACCTTGGGAACCTTGAGGGAACCTTGGGAACCTTGGGAACCTTTACTTCGGAACCTGGGAACCTTTATTTGGGAACCTGGGAACCTTTACTTGGGAACCTGGGAACCTTTACTTGGGAACCTGGGAACCTTTACTTGGGAACCTGGGAACCTTTACTTGGGAACCTTTACTTGGGAACCTTTACTTGGAACCTGGGAACCTTGGGGGAATCGGTTTTGGAGCTGCCCCAGCAGACCCGAAACCTTTACTATGGCTGAAGACCCCAAAGCATTCTGCTGTTGGGGAAAAAGACATCGCAGTGAATGAGACGGCCCTTCCTTTGAAGGATATAAAAATAATTAAAAATACAGATCATTGTAGACTGTAGAGTCAGAGCCTTGGTTTCAGAATGTTTCAGATACAAGCAACATGATACAGTCAACTGTAATAAGCTTCGTCTGGAAAGATGGCCTCTGAATTTATACAGTACCAGAAGCTCTTTTTGTCGGACATGATGTTTGTGTTCACTTGCAGAGCTGGATTCACAAGTCTAGGTCTTCTCTGTGTGATCCAGGAGATGCCCAGGTTCCAATTTGACTATGCCTATGTTTTGTCTTGCATGGGCATTGACTATGAACAGTTTTTTAAAGAAGAGATCTATTACACTGAGTTCAGAAACTCAAACTATCAAATTGCTGTAGTGCGAAACATGGCGGGAACCCTGGAGCGAATAGCGGCAGAACTGAAGCTGGGAACACATGAGACAATTCGGTGGATTTTTCGAGTTCATTCCGAAGGAAATTGCGAAATGTGTCAATTGTCTCATGCATTGATTAAATTGCAGAACTCCAAATGTCCAACATCTCACTGGAAATTCATCTCCGTTCTTATCCAGTCTCCATCAGTCTCCATTTCAATACCTTCACATGGATTCCCATGGATTCTGCCGACTCCCATTTGCTTCTTCCCAGCACCTCATGGTTCAGCAGCTTCTGGAGGTCTATTGATGGAGGCACCTTCACGCTCCCGGTTTTGCGGTTGGCACAGCGCCTACATGTTACATATCTACATTATCTACAGGAGGTTAAGCTGAGATGGATTCTGGATCAAGAGTTAAACTATTCACGTCATTTCACATATTTTCCACGTCTAGCTATTGCGGCCCAGGCATGTTCAGACAACACAGTGCTGTCGTCTGTGGGTTTTCCACATGAAAAAGCGCCTCTGCCCGGATGCAGGCCACCCGGAGGGTCGGAGCGTCTGCCTGGGGGTTACGGCAGCATTGGGAGGTGGGTATTGGGCATCACTGGGCAAAATCTTTCAACAATCAGATATCATGTTATAATATGTTCAAATTGCATAGGGGAACTGCGGAAAAAAACTGAGCCGCCTGGAAAGTGCTCTATGTGTTCTACGATGTATGGTTATCCATGTAGCAAGACATTCTACGAAGACATATTGCTGTCCCATATCTTCACATAAATCAATCCAAAAAAAGGTCTGCAAATTCAATCCACTCACCAATCAGCCCATATCAACAAGAACAAAAGCAAGTCCGTCTTCAATTCAATAATATCAAACATCTATATAAGATAATCTGCTTCTAAGGTACACTTCTTTTCTTATAAATTCACCTCCTGCAAGACCTGAAACATCAAATCAAATGCTGCAAAACCATGGGAGAGTCCCTAGTTCCCCTATGTTTTTGCATGTTAAGTCTTGAAGCTGGGATCTTGCGAAATAAATAGGGGAAATAGAGAAAATAGGGACCCCTCATGGTGTCAGTTTTCCTAGTTTAAGGTGAAGGAAATAGAGGCCCTCTCATGGTTTCAGTTTTGCAAGTTTCAAACAGTCGAAGCAACTCGTTTCATGGATATCGTCAGATAGCAGAAGAATACCCAAAGAAGTGACGTATGTTTGTCGTAATGTGTATATATATATATATATGTATGTATGTGAGTTTTGTAACTTGCTGCTGCCGCATACACCTTCGATTGTTTCCTGTCAGGGGAAAGCATATTCATCATGTGCCTTTTGACTCGTGGCTCAAGGCCAATTTCAGCGAGATAGGGGAAAAATCTCGAGTGCCGCCATAGGATTGGTTGGAAGGTGAAGAGTGGACTCTTTTGGGATTTGGTTGGATAGATATACATTTTTGGTGTTGTGGACAACACTGTTGGAACGACTTTACTTTGGTTGAACATCAACTACTTTCTGGTGATCAAGGAGGACCTTGAACCATTCAGGTGGGAACTGTTATCAGTGGAGTTGTGATCTACGATCCAACGACACTGGTAGCGGAGCCGAGAGGCTATTGCTACTTGCACGCAAAGCCGGCCCGCTAGTTTGGTGGCTTCTGGATAGTGAGCAATGCCTCCTAAAGAGTCTGCCTCAACTGATGGGAACGGTGACTCCCAGCAGGGTTCCAATTTTTGGAATTTGCTGCCCAGTTTTGACCCGAGTGAAGATGACATACGAGAGTTTTCACAGAAAGCCAGGTTCATCCACGGTGTCATGCCCGAGAAGGACAAGCCCAACTTAGCTCCCAGGTTAGCTATGTTGTGTAAAGGGACAGCTTGGTCCCAGGTGCGTCAGTTAGATCCGAAGAAGCTCACCAAGGCCGACTCAGGTGTTGAATACTTGTTGGCCGCTTTGTCAGCTTGGGAAGAAACATCAGAGATGAAAACGTATGAACTGTTTGAACGAGCACTCTACAAGGTAGTACAGAAGTCTGATGAGGCCTCCCATAGTTTCTCACTTCGCCTTCAAGCTGCATTCAATGAGATAGGTGATGATGTCACTGTCAAACAAATGCAAGCCTTCGTGATGTTGAGACAGTCAGGTTTGTCGTCGGAAGACAAAAAGAAAATCCTGACGATGACAGGTGGTAAGCTGGATCTGACCGCAGTTGACCAAGCCATGAGGTCGTTGTCCACACGTGTGTTGATGGGTCCTGGTGAAGCCAAGAAAAAGATTTACCCGATCAATTTCTCAGAGGTGGAAGACCCACCTACCCAATCCGATGAAAGCCTTCCGGTTCAAAGCACTTACGTTGCATACCATGAGGAAGAGGATGTTTTGACAACCGAGCATCTGGAATACCTAGTGTCTCAGGGAGATGAGGATGCCAACGTAGTGCAACAGTTTGAGCGTGATTTCGAAGAGATGCTGCAAGAGATTCCTGACATGCAACAAGCAATGGTCTCATACAATGAGGCTAGGCAGAGGATCAATGATCGCCGTCGCAGCCGAGGGTTTTGGCCCACTGGAAAAGGAAAAGGGAAAGGTGGGTTCAAAGATGGCTCCCGGCCATACCGCAAAGTTGTTGGAAAGTCTGGAAAAGAAGAGTTGTTGGCTCGCATTGCAAAAACGCATTGCAAGCTCTGCGGCGCCCTTGGTCATTGGCGCGCAGAATGCCCTCAGAGGAAAGAAGCCCGTGAAACTGCCAACGTTGCCTTCTCCTTGCCTTCCGAAGCATCCGATGCCAAAGAGGAGACCAGCCAAGTGGTCTTTGAAGAGTTGAGCGAACAGGAGTGCACCCGTTGTGAAACATGTTTCGTTGCCTCATGCTACCGAAAACCAGTTTTCTGCGAGCAAAATGTTGAAGACGTGAAAGCCTTTTGGGGTAAGAAACTGAATAAGCCGGGGTATAAGCGGGGTAATAAAGGGGTAATTGAGGATAAAGGGGTAACCAAAAACAGTGGTCCAGAAAACAGCCTGAAACCAGCAGTGGTGACCTCAGCACCCAACACCCGTGCCGCCAGGAAGATGCATCCGAGACCAACCAATAGAGCCGATGGTTTTGTCAGCCAGAATCACTCAGATGCCATGCAAAGTCAAGGAATGGTGATACTGGACGCAGGTGCCAGTCGCAGTGTGATCGGACAAGACCATGTCCCCGCGATGCTCCAAAAACTGCCAGCCAGTGTCCGTGACCAAGTCGTGGAGAAACCCAGCAGAGTAGGTTTCCGTTTTGGAAATAACCAAGTGCATATAGCTACAAGCAGTTACGCATACCATTGGTCCACAAGGGAATCTGAATTTGGTTGCTAATTGAAGTAGTGCCGAAAGCCACACCTTTCCTGCTGTCAATTAAGACCATGAAGAGTTTAGGAGCTATGATAGACCTAGGGCAAAACACATGTTTCCTCGAGACGTTGCAAAGGTCACTGTATTTGAAAGAAAACAAGAATGGGTTGTTCATGATTGACATGTCCGATCTTTGTCAATCTGATGTCAAGTCCAATGCAGCAGCTTTTGTCGCATCAAGTGTCTGTGTCCCGCCTCCAGGTCTGGAAAGTGAAATTCCTGCCAGTCATGCCGACCCGTCAGGAAGTGCTCGATGCTCTTCGCACAGTGGCAGAGGAAGTGTTAGCCAGTCTGAAGCTCCTAATGACCATCGTGTTCACCATGACCAGTGCGATCGATCCGAACCAAGAAGCCACGGAGCTCCAGATGAACCCTGTGAATCAGTTGATTCACGAAGTGGCCCAGCAACGTCGGACGATCGACCAGTTGGGGAATCTGATTCAAGCTCAGTTCCAACAGAAGCCACCCACATGTCCAGGACCTATAGTGAGCCCTGTGAACCACGTTCCAGGATCAGAAGATTTCGAATGGGAAGCCGAGATGGTGCCGTCACAAGGCCAAGCTGCATCAACGGTGCCAAATTCTTCCCAATCGATGCCTGCTGTGATGATGAATGTCAGAGCTCCCAACAATCAGCCTCCTCCAATGCCAGTGAGACAGCCCATGCCGCACGTGTCAATGACACCAAGTGCCCGACCACCAGCTGCAATGATGGGAAGCCCAGGATCGTCTTACGCAGCTTCCGAGATTGGAAGCCAATTGATGGTGACTCAAGCATCCCTCGAAAGCTGGGGAAACAAGATCGTGGGCTTTGGCAAAAAGCACCTGAGGTCTCGTTACGCCCATGTGTACGAGTCCGACCCAGGTTACATCAAGTGGATCTTGGCCAGAGCCGACAACCTTTCCGAGGATGTGGCGGATTTCGCAAGCTATGCCCGAGCCCGCAATCAACTGGAGCAATTGGCCAACAACCCGGTTCCATGAGAGGCATTTGGGAGGGATTTCAAGATTCTAGGATGTCACATAAATCTAGCTTTAAAGAAAGACAATTGTGGACTGAGATGCAACAGTCAGAATGTGGAAAGAGCTTGCACAAGTCAGAACAGTTGGACATCCTAGAAGTGTATGCGTTCCCTAACAGCATGTTGACCACTGTGGCACAAGAACATGGTTTGCGAGCAAGGAGGTTTACATATGAAGATGGGGATTTATCGACAGCTACTGGAAGAAGAGCTTTGTTTCACATCATCAAGACACAGAGACCAAAACATATTTGGCTTGCCCCGGAATGTGGTCCTTGGTGTGCCTGGAACCGCTTTAATTCCATGCGAAGCCTTTCTAGTTATGAACAAGTCATGCACCAACAGCGTCTTGCCAAAGAACACTTGGTATTGTGTAATGTGGTAGCTCAGATTCAGCATGATGAGGGTCGACACACCCATCTCGAAAGCCCCAAAACCTCCGGCGTTTGGAAGCAGCAGGAGATACAGCCGTTTTTGAAGCGTTCCATTCCGGCCCAGCTGGACCAATGTGCTTTTGGCCTGAGACATCCAAGTGAAAATCAGTTGATGAGAAAATCCACTCGCATACAAACCACCTCAGTTGAAATGTTTTCTGTTTTGGACTGCCGTGTTTGCAATCGGGAACATAGTCATAGTACCATAGCAGGAAGATGTCAGTGGAAGGGCCATAGCATTTCCGTGTCCAGGTTTGCTGCTTTCTATCCACGCAAGCTTGCGCTGACCATTGTCCGTGGAATCATGCAAACATCCCAAGGCCCCTATGAGGCGCCAATTTGCCATGTAGATGAAATAGAGCCGCCTGCCAAAAGGGCACGTACCAACTCTGGTGAAGCCTCTGCACCACACGACACCACGAACGTGTGGAAACCAATGTTTGAATTTCTACAGAGAAAACTTCCCAAATCAGGTGTTGTCACTTGGGAAGACCCGCAAGATGAAGTCTTCCAGGAAATTCAGAAACTGTTTCCACATGAGAACATTGGTGCAGTCAAAGCAGGAAAAGGCCTAGATCGTCTTTTGTTGGGCGAAGAGGCTTGGAGAGATCAGCTGCCGAAAAGACATAGCATAGTACAGAAAAGATTCACTCATGAAATAATTGACCTAGGACTTGAAGTTTGGAGTGAATTAACTCGGAAAAGGGCTTGTCGAAAAGAGGTGCCAAGCCATATCATGTTGTGTTTGTTTTCCAGAGATGACAGCCGACCTGATACACCTATAATGCCAGCAGTCGATCCCGCCAATAGATCAATTGAGACAAAAGCCGCTGAATCAACAGCCAGTCCACCAGTGCAGGTAGATGTGCCCAGCTGGACTCCTTTAAGTGCCACTGTTTCAGGCCCAAATTTCCTGAAACTTACTCGAGAGCAACAGTCCATGTTGCGCAAGATTCATAATAATCTAGGACACCCCACAGCCGAAAGACTGGCCCGACATCTAAAGGAATCCAAAGCACATGAACACCTGGTGGAAGGTGCTGCCGACTTTGTGTGTCCGTCATGCGCTGAGAGACACCCACCACAAAAGACTACTCCCGGCCAACTCAAAGACCCGAAGGATTTTAATGAAAGAATTCTTTTGGATGGTTTTGACTGGTGTAGTAAAAGGGGTATTCAAATCTATGTGTTCCATATCCTAGATGATGCTACCCGTTTCCATTTAGGTCAAAGGATAACCCGGGATACCCAAGCCTCCATCCGTACAACGAAACAGATGTGGATTCAATGGGCAGGATCCCCACAGGAAATACTACATGATCAAGGTGGAGAGTTTGTATCCCAGCCATGGAAAGATTTTTTGCAAGCCCACAGCATTCAGCCAGTGCTCACTGCCGCTCCGTGGCAACGTGGTCGTATCGAGAGGCATGGAGGTGTGATCAAGGAAATGCTTGAAAGAATGGACCATGCACAGAACTTCAACAGTCTAGCTGAAATAGATGAGGCTCTTAACCAGTGTTTCCGAGCGAAAAATTCTATGATAGTGAATAACGGATATAGTCCAGAACAAGCTGTACTAGGTAAGGCCTCTAAACTTCCTGGGTCACTACTCTCAGACGAAGAATCAACTGCTCATCACATGTGCCTTTCACCCGACCCAGCATCCGAGCAGTTTAAGCGAAGTCTTGAATTGCGGACAGCCGCAAGAGCAGCTTTCTGGCATGCTGACAATCATGCTGCAATTCGCAGAGCAGCCCTTCATAGGTCACGAGGTGTGATACATGAATGGCTGTGTGGACAGTTGTGCATGTTTTGGGATAAACGAAAAGCCCCGAACATATTGGAGAAAGGACGATGGTGTGGTCCAGCACAGGTAGTTTGCCAGGAATCAAGAACAATCATATGGATCACTCACATGAATCGGTTGTTAAGATGTGCCCATGAAAATCTCAGACCAGTTTCCATGCGTGAATTTCAAAGACGCTCCACTTTTACAACTTCAAATACCCAAGAAGAATTGAAACAAATGGCACAACGTTTACAGACACAGTTGAAAGAAAAGAGTGGCATGTTTCAATACTCCGATTTATCTGAGGTGAATCCTCCAACAGAAGAAGAGGCAAACGATGGCAATAGCGAACTTTCGACCTCTCGACAACCAGAGGAAGAACCAATCAGACGCCAACGAGGTGAGATCGAAATTCCTGACGAAACCATGCACGACCCTGCGGTCGAAACGCCTGTTCCAGACTCCCCGTTTTCTTCCAATAGTGAAGAAAGCCCTGAATCAATGGTTCCAAGCCCGAGCCTGGCACAATCTGCTCCTGACACTGCATCATTGGACACAGATCAGTCGGAAAATGAAACTCCGAGTAACATGGAACCTGTGTATAATGCTGTTATCATCGAGAAGAATACCGAGACGACAGACTGTGTTCATGACGATGGCGCTCTTTGGTCAATGCCCGACCCTTGCGAAGCAGCGTGTGTGTCTTTTGAGTTTGAAATGCCAAAACAACAATTCCATAAGTTCCTCAAATCTCCCAAAGAGCACCTGCCAGAGGTCAATGCCGCAGCCCGCAAGTTTGGGAAAGAACTTGTTTACAGTGACTTGACACCCCAAGAGAGAGAGAGGTTCAAGCAAGCCAAGTTGAAGGAATTGAATTGTTGGTTGGATACTCAAACGGTAAGAACCATAGTTCGGGATAAAATTCACCCCTCCAGAGTTTTAGCCTCTAGATGGATACTGACTTGGAAGGAAGATGAAAATAGCGAAGATGGAAAAAAACCAAAAGCACGACTTGTGGTAAAAGGTTTTCAGGACCCCGACATTGGGGAATTAGCATCCGACAGTCCCACTCTCACCCGAGATGGTAGGATGTTATTACTCCAGACAGCTGCCAGCCACAAATGGTGTATTGAAAGCTTTGATATCACTACTGCCTTTCTACGAGGGAAATCCGATGATCGTCAACTAGCAATGGAACCCCCAAAGGAGTTGAGAGAACTGCTTGGCATGGAAAAACATCAGATCTGCCTACTAGAAGGAAATGCTGAAATGCTTATGGACGGGTAGATGCCCCTTTGTTATTCTATCGCGAATTTCGGAAATGCTTAGAAGAAGTAGGTTTCACCGCACATCCCTTGGACAATTGTTTGTACTTGTTAAGAGACCCCAAAGATCCAAAGATCCTCAATGGGATAGTGGGTGCTCATGTGGATGACGGTTTGGGGGCAGGTAACCACAAATTTAGCTATGCCCTACAACAACTTCAGAAAAAGCTTCCTTTCGGCTCACATGAAAAACGCAAATTCCGTTTCACAGGACTTGAAATAGAACAGTTGCCGGATTTTTCTATCAAAGTTAGCCAAGAAAAATATGTCCAAAGAATAACTCCCATAGACATCCCTAAACTCCGTAGAGCAGAAGTTGATAGCCCTATCACTCCACAGGAGTTAAATAAACTAAGGGGGATTTGCGGGAGCCTACAATACGCCGCAGTGCATTCCCAGCCCGATGTGGCCGCAAAAGTTGCGCACCTGCAGAAGGGTATTACCAAGGCGACCGTGCAAACTCTGCTAGATGCAAATCGAGTACTCAAAGAAACCCAAGAGTTTGCCAACACCTCTGTGATCGTACGTCCGATCCCCATGACGGAGCTCTGTTTCGCAAGCTTTGGTGATGCAAGCTTCGCTTCGGCCAAACAGATGTCAGCCCAGCAAGGGATTTTTATCATGGCATGCACACGGAAACTAGCAAACAATGAGACGACAGACTTCTCTCCAGTTGCATGGCATACCAAACAGATTGGTAGGGTGGTTCGTTCTACTTTGAGTGCCGAAGCATACGCTATGTCCAGTTCACTAGATAAGTTAACGTGGATTAGATGCATGTGGGGTTACATAAAGGATCCCTCTTTTGCTTGGCATAAACCTGAAAAGTCTCTTTGTGTAGAACCACCAGGGTTAATGATCACTGATTGTAAATCCTTATATGACTTAGTCACGAAGACTGCAGTGCCAAATTGCCAGGAGTGGCGTACCACCATAGAAGTCATGTTGCTGAAGGAACAATCAGCTAACCATACCCAATGCCGCTGGATCAGCACTGCTATCATGTTGGCAGACTGCCTAACGAAGTCCATGGACTCAACTTTCTTACGCACCGTTTTGCAGTTGGGAAGATTCAGAATCTACGATGAAGAAATGACCCTCAAACAGAACTCGAATCGAAAATATGGTGTCACATGGGTGAAACAATCGAACATAGAAAAGAGACCAGTGTGAGTTTTGTAACTTGCTGCTGCCGCATACACCTTCGATTGTTTCCTGTCAGGGGAAAGCACATTCATCATGTGCCTTTTGACTCGTGGCTCAAGGCCAATTTCAGCGAGATAGGGGAAAAATCTCGAGTGCCGCCATAGGATTGGTTGGAAGGTGAAGAGTGGACTCTTTTGGGATTTGGTTGGATAGATATACATTTTTGGTGTTGTGGACAACACTGTTGGAACGACTTTACTTTGGTTGAACATCAACTACTTTCTGGTGATCAAGGAGGACCTTGAACCATTCAGGTGGGAACTGTTATCAGTGGAGTTGTGATCTACGATCCAACGACATATGTATATATATATGAAACATGACAAAAGAAAAGAAAGACAGGAAGAAAAATAGAAAGATAGAAAGATTGATATGAGACAGATAGATAGATAGCAAGTAAGAGGTAGATAGACAGAAACTGCCCGTGCAGCCAGGTCCCCGTGCAGCAGCTATGGTTTCATGCTTTCACGGGGCGCGGCTCGGATTTTCCGCCAATCAAATTAATTGAATTCAATCTGTATACCATATTCTCGATGTTCCTTGCTGAATAATATTGATCTGATTTGCTTTTCATATGTCAAATTTTTCAAGTACCATCAGATACCACCGTAATGAAATTACCAAAGTGGTCTCTGTCAACAACGCATCGCTCTGTGGACTTGCGCAGGCCTGAAGGAATTTCAGATCAGCAACTGCCAAACCTCTGGCGCTGGACACCAACCTGAATTGGCCCCAACTGACAGCGTTGAAGTTGGGTGGTTACATCATATCAGTACAAACCCTGCAGGTTTCTCCCAGTCTAAGAAAATCCAAGAAATGTATCTGTGGGATTTGTGTAAGATTTGACTGTCTAAGCACACGCATTGAAGCCCTTGTTGACCCTGTGAAAGCTGACGCGATTTGAACGGGAAGTCTACAGTATGTTCGCTACACAGATTCTATCTTGAAACACAATGGAGGTGTCAGAGACGAGACATGATGAGACTGCTTTGGCCTGTCTTATTTCTGTGTGAATTTTCATGAACTTCTCTGCGAGGCTGCGATGGCCCAAATGGCCCAGCTGAGCAGAGTCATTTAAAAGCTTCGATCATGGCGTGCACTTCGTCGCTGAATCCGCCACAGCTTTGATCGCCCCATGTAACAACAGTTCCATGTGCCAGAACAGCTGCGAACGCCGCATATGTGGCCTGAATTCGGCGTACATCTCGGAGCTGAGTGTAAACTTTAGAGCTATCACCACCTTTGCTTGGATTGCCCCAGGTAATGACTGATCCATCAGCCAAGATTGCAGCGAAGGCGCCATGTGAACCTTGAATACTTTGCACACCTTTTAGTTGTCCCTGAACAGCTGAGCTGTCACCGCCACAGTCAGATGCGCCCCAAGTGATGACTGTTCTGTTCTCCAAAATCGCTGCAAAAGCGCTACTGGAGGAAGAAATTGTCTGCACACCTCTCAGCTCAAACTGCACCATGCCGCTGTTTCCACCACCATCTGGACAGCCCCATGTAACCACTGTTCCATCTTTTCTGATGGTGGCAAATGCATCGTCAGCAGAGTGGATCCCCAATACGTTTCGAAGCTGAACGCTGACCTTGCTGCTATCACCACCTGACTCAGGACTGCCCCAAGTAACGACCTTTCCATCTGCCAGTAGTGCGGCAAATGCACCCAGTGATCCCTTAATCTGCTGGACATTCCTGAGCTGATCTTGGACGCCACTGCTGTCGCCACCCCAGTCCGCATCACCCCAGGTAACCACGCTTCTATCTTCACGGATTGCAGCAAAAGCAGCACCAGTAGATGAAATCTGCACAACCTCTTTCAGTTGATCTTCCACCTCGTGGCTATCACCACCATGCTGCACACTGCCCCATGTGACAACCGTTCCATCTGCCAAAGTTGCTGCGAAGGCATACAAAGTGGCTTGAAGATGTTGTACATGCTTAAGTTTCTGTCTCACAAGCTGGCTGTCACCACCGAAGTCTGGCATCCCCCATGAAACCACAGTGCCATCTGCAAGGATTGCGGCGAATGCACCATCCTTTGTGGCATGCACTTGCTGCACATTTCTGAGTGTCGATTGGACACTGCTGCTGTCCCCACCAAAATGTGGGTGACCCCAGGTAACAATTCTGTCAAATCCAGGGGACCAAACAGCGAAGGCTCTCTCTGTAGCAGCAACTTGTAAGGTCGTTTCGGGCTGAGCAACAGCACATAGGCTTTCCCCATCCTGAAGCCCTGTATCTTGCAAAGACTGCAGGGGATCTAAGAAGCGTCCATCAGGAGAGACAAGTCTCAACAAACCTGCGCCATGGTGACAAACATGTTTCGGCAGGCAAGCACAAAGCAATCTGATATCTGCATCTGATGTGCTTGAAATGATGTGTGTGTGTGCAGGGGATATCGTGTGCATTATACACATGTTCATTCATATTTATATGTTAATCGTATTTTTATGGCCGACTGGAACATACCCGTTTGAGGCCGACCTGGTTGTCCCAAGGACTTTTGCGCAACGTCACGGACCTCGCCGACAGTGGACGAACTCCGAACGGACACTGCGACTGAGCGGCCGCTTGGCAAATTTCTTGGAGACGGATGTGGACGGATGTGGACGGATGCGTACAGTATGGAGGTGGATGGGGGTGGGTTCGTCCAAAAATTGGGCAATATTTAGTATAATTTAGTCAATTTTAGTAGCAAAAAAAGGTTTAAAATATTTTAAAATGACAATAATGACAGTAACAGTTCAGTAACAACAATAATAAGAAAGCAAGAAGAAGAGGAACAATAAGAATAGGTTCTTATCATCCGTTGGAATTGGGGTTACCACATTTTCAGACAAACCCATATTCTATATTCTCTTTTCCAATGAATAAGTTTCTTGGCGGGGACCAATAAACGCTAATAAACACCAAAGCAAGTCAAGCATCACCTCAACATGTAAGATGATCATTACCCGGATGGCAATGGCAGGAACAACGCACCACTCTAGGCTCAATCGTGATCCACGAAAATGGTCTGCAACACGCATTTCTGTGCTGTGGTAACTTTGCAAATCGGAAAAAGTCACTGTTAGTCGGTTCCTCACTTGCAGGAACTTGTGGCCGAACAAGCTTCTCACAAAAATATCCAAGTCTTGCCGTCTTGCCCTAGAGGATGCATGAACCCAAGGTGGAAAAAGGCTGAAGTGGATCGTGTCCCTGAGTACTACTGTGGAGCGATTCAGCCCTGGTCAAACCTGATCCCGGTAGCCACTGCATGGACCGGATGCTCCAAGCATACCCTAAGCATACCCTAAGCAATACCTATAAGCGATAAAAGTTCAGTTTCTCCGCCGCATAAAAGGTCCAAAAAGCGACGTCCTATGGCAATCTATGGCAAATGTCTCCCTTCAGCTCAGCGTTCCTCCGTTTTGGAGGAAGGTGCACAAGCATCTCACAGAACACAACTGCTGGGCTCATCATCTGAAATCTCCACACAGGAGACTCCAGGTCCTGCCTCAGAAGTGGCACGCACTCAGCAGCATATGTCTGGCTTGGGTGAAGATTCTGATACCAGGACATATTTAGACTCTCACTCAAATCAGCACGTTTAACCACGTGAAAACTGACTGTATATCTAGAATCTATACAAATGTTGGAACGGCTACTGAATAGTCTATCATTTTTGCTAATAGTCTATGACTCTATATCACTGACTTTTTGCTTGATCTCTTGATTCCCCTCCTGTTAGTGGAAGATGCATGATCGCAGCAGCCAAAAAACATGTTGCATTGTTCTGCAGGAGTTGTCTGCAAGCACTGGAAAACATGCGCCAAGGCTAACATCGTCGGGGTGCCAGCGGCTCGCTATCAGCTTTGATGTCGAGCACCATAAAAAGCGCATCCAAAGGTTCCTGGCGGTGCGACGCGCGGTACGAGGTCAGAATTCTTCTAGACCCGTGGCTGTGCCCTCAAAATTTCTTCAGGCATTGCCGCCGAAAGCATAGGCTTTTGATGGTTTTTGTCAACTATATCGCGACCAGCCAGCCAGCGATCTATCTGTCCGTCTTTCCGCGTCCGTCCACGTCCGTCCGCGTCCGTCCGTCTGTCTGTTTGTCTGGGCCCACAAAGGTACGGCGTCGAAGTCTGTATGGCAACAACGACAACAACGATTCTGACAATGACACACTGAACAGAAGACAGATTCGCCTCCAAGGTTGCAGCCTCAGAGTTAGAATATCTAGAACGGTGTGAGAAAAAAACAGAAAAAATGTGGGTGTTCAACATGAACTACTAATCGACTGTCAACAGGCGCATCCTCTGAGTTGAATATTCAATGTTTGAGCGTCCGACACTGCGAAAATAGTAGTTTGGCTTCCGTCGCTCAGTCCTACCATCGGAGAGATGACCGCAGGGTCACTCTCTCTCCCCGTTTGTCTTCAGAGTCCGCGTTGCCGCTGTCAGAAAGAAAATCTATAGTTGAAGGGACATACATGAAAAGTGATTGAATCTTATTATTGAAAGCTCTTGCTTCAATGTTTTGAGTCTTGAGTCCTGTTCGAACAGAAAGGTGTGGTTTCCCTTCGACATGCAGCGAACAATCTGTTTCACTTTGGATGAGTCAATTCACGTGCGTCTCACAACTGACAAATCAACCTGATTTGACTTGCCTTGCTAGTTTCAATCTCCCATTGGCAAATAACCTACCTGAAACCCAGCATCTTGTAGAGTGCAATCGCCGCTTCGTTCCTGTGGGGTTCACGGAGAGGTCTTTGTCATCAATTTGAGGTGGCAGAATGTGGCAGACGGATCAACAAAGAGATACCAACAGTAGGATTTTTTTCATGCGTTGCGCTTGAAAAATCCTAGAGCTGCCGGTCAAAGCTTCAGAGGGGGCACAAGACTTCGAACATTGTCCATTGCAGCGCATCAGACCTGGTTGCCTAACACTCAGCAGCCAAATCAGGTGCCCCCATACACACCACTCTGCTCACTTTTCGAGCCTGACATGGACGTGAAGGCCTCAGGGTAACCGCGGGCATTCATGTTTGACAAATGGATTTGTTCAAAATTGGCGGCCCTTTTTCCATTGGATTTTCCACTAAACGACATGCTTAGGAGGATTTTGAGGTCCCAGTTTTGTGGACACACACCCAATGACCTCTGATTTCCTGCACTAATCGTTTAGACATGCTCAGCCTATCGACGTCTATTGACCACGTTTGTCCGCGTTGTGGTTCCAAGATGTTTCTGCCTGTTTCATGCCTGGACACCCATGATTCATGCTGTCGAACAACCAATTTCCAGCACACACTGCTTTCTGAACGCACAAAGGAAGGAGACCGAACCGCACCCACCACATCCAAATCCAAATAGCTGAACGCTCAAAGCGGCAGTTCAAGAGTAACTTCAAAAGCACGTTGCCATGAACCACAGGAAGCCACTAATATTCTCGAATGCAGGACCAAGGTACTAAGCTTTTGTATGCCAGACTTCTCTGCTTCATGGCAGAGGTTTCGCAACAGTTTCGAGCCAATGCCTCGTCGCCTCGGCCCAGAAGGAAGATCTTCAACGCAGGGGCCGCAGGGGGACAATATTGGGACAGCAGAAGGACGGCAGAAGGACACAGGTTCGATATGTCTCGATATGTCTCGATATGAACCGGGCCAAACAATCTGCTACCCTGTACGAATCAGTCAAAGTTATATATACAGGTTGGCAGGGGCACCAGTGCGGCTCAAATATGCTCAAATCTCACTGCAAAAGATTGTTAAGCAGCGTCAGCTGCCAGTGCTTTGTCAAAAAAAAACTTCAGCTTTAATTCATTATGACACCCAACTGGGGTCCAGCACGGAACCGCAGCTACAAGGCTTTGGACTCGAAGTCCTCCGTCCATCTCCTGCACAGGCTGACCCAAACTTGAAAACTGCCTGTTCCGAATTTCCTGCGTGTGAGGAAAGCCCAAGTTGCCAAGGCTCCTTGCAAATCAAAGCTCCCGCGATGGTACCTCAGCATTTAGCTCCTATGTCTATGACTCATATGACCTTGTGGAGCAAATACCAACCTCCACAAGCCAACAGGATCTAAAAGGAATGGAGCTCAATCTAGCATTCACATTGTGTCACACGCATCGTGAAGGGTTTGCCGAATCCTTGACATTGTTGTGACAAGTTAGACATTGCTGCTAGATAATGCTACCTAGACATTGCTATTGCTGCTGCTGCTGCTGCTGCTGTTGTTGCTGTTTTCGTAATTGCTGGCAAAATGGACGGGAAAATCTGCATTGAAAGACATGCCCAAGAGATCCTACGGGTATAAAGATACTACTTACAGTAAAACATAAGCAGACACATAGCAGAAGACTCTTTGCAGATTTCACAGTTCTCTGTCTTCTTTCCAGCCCAGTCGGTATGATCAGGAGTCTAAGCCCGCACAAAGCAGGCAACCCATTGGCAAGAGTTTGGTGCTGAGTAATCGACCTTCATACATGGCTGCCCGGGACCAGCTGCTTTGCAGAGCTTCGTTGAAATACTGGTCGCTGTAGCTGACTGGAAGCCGGGCCTGCAAGCAGACGAAGTTCAAGAATAGCCATTTCCAAGAGCTAGTATCCGATGGTTTAGGATGAAAGCAGTGTGATTCTCAAGCACTACAGTACTACATGGTGCTTGGAAGACATCTTTTTAAACTGGGGCATCGCTGAAAATCAAGGTCTGTCAGTATTTCCAGTAAGCAATTTAGTTTCTGCCCACAGTTCCAACTACTGTGACCATGGCTGATAGTAGCTGCAAATCAAAAATATGCGCAATCTGCGAATGAGCTGTTAATTCAAAAAGAGGAAATGTTCATTTTTGGTTGTCCAAACCTTGTGCAAGCGCTTGATGTGCGGCAGCATCTCGGCTCTCAGTGAAACTAGGGATATACCTGGCAAACCAGAAGGCAAGCTGACCTTCGCTGTGGTTGATGACAGTGAAAGGTCTCCAAGCAAACATGTTCAAAGACTGTGTGAACATGTCTGAGGTGTTCCATGCCTTTGACTGTCATGGACAAAGCGTACACTTGAGGGTTTACTGGTAATTGTCTTCCTTCAACGAGTCAACATATGATTTCTTCCGAGAACTAATTATCTGTGAATAATTGTGGCGGACGTATAGAAATCATGAATATGGCATATGGTTTGGATGTCTTCGGGATCGGGATATTTCACACTGGGTCACATAGACTTCAGACATCTTCAGGCATCCAAAGTTCTCTGCCAAGGCACTCAGCCGATTCCCCGGATCTAAACACTCGACGGCCGTTCTCAGCTTCTCCTGGCGGACAGCTGTCGAGAATTGCTGACGGATGCGGCTGATATTCTGAAAGCTTCTGTTGTTTCCCCTCAGCTCCTCTGTCATCCTGTAAATGCAGGAAATATAATATGAAAAGGTCAATATAGATCAAAAGTTGCTGAGACTAATTAATATACGTACATTAATGTTGTTTTCTTTCAACTGCGTTTTGTTCCCGAATGCGTAGCGAAGGGTTCTTGTTTTCTTTCTTGGGGTCTGGGGGTGGTGGACTGTTTGCGGGTCGTTTTGGTTTTGCGGTTCTCTAATCGCGTCGTCGCGCTGTCTATGGGGAAAGTGAGAAAAGGTGTTTTGCGACGTGTGAAAGTACATTTCGCGTGGCAGGCGTGAGGCTTTGTGGCACTCGGGCGAAAGTTGCTCCTGAAGTATGAAGTGTGAAGTGTGGAGCGCGAAGTGTGGAGTGTGAAGTGTGGAGTGTGAAGTGTGGAGTGTGGCGTGTGAAGTGTGGAGTGTGAAGTGTGAAGTGTGAAGTGACGAGTGTGAAGTCTAAAGTGTGAAAAGTGAAGTGTGCAGTGTGAAGTTGAAGTGCGCAGTGTGAAGTGTGAAGTGTGAAATCTGAGTGTGGAATGTGAAGTGTGGAGTATGAAGTGTGAAGTGTGAATTGTGAAGTGTGAAGTGTGAAGTGTGAAGCATGAAGCATGAAGTGTGGAGTGTGGAGTGCGAAGTGTGGAGTGTGAAGAGTGGAGTGTGAAGTGTGAAGTGTGAAGTGTGGAGTGCGAAGTGCGGAGTGTGAAGTGTGATGTGAGGAGTGCGAAGTGTGAATTGTGAAAATCGAAGTGTGAAGTGTGAAGTGTGAAGTGTGAATTGTGAAAAGCAAAGTGTGAAGTGTGGAGTGTGAAGGGGGAAGTGTGAAGTGTGGAAAGTGTGGAAAGTGTGGAAAGTGTGGAAAGTGTGGAAAGTGTGGAAAGTGTGGAAAGTGTGGAAAGTGTGGAAAGTGTGGGAAGCGTGGAGTGTTGACTGTGAAGTGTGAAGTGTGCAGTGTGCAGTGTGCAGTGTGAAGTGTGAAGTGTGAAGTGCAGCGTACTACTGGGAAGTACTTTGCGCAAGCTTTGTAGTACAAAGTATTACTAGGAAGTACTTTGTGCAAGCATTGTAGTACAAAGTAGTAATGGGAAGAGCCTTGTGCAAGCTTTGTAGTACAAAGTAGTACTGGGAAGTGCCTTGTGCAAATTTTGTAGTACAAAGTAGTACTGGGAAATTTCTGTGCAAGCATTGCGGTACAAAGTAGTACTGGGAAGTTCCTTGTGCAAGCTTTGTAGTACAAAGTAGTACTGGGAACTACTCTGTGCAAGCTTTGTAGTCAAAATACTGGGAAGTGCCTTGTGCAAGCTTTGTACTACAAAGTAGTACTGGGAAGTACTTTGCGCAAGCTTTGTAGTACAAAGTATTACTAGGAAGTACTTTGTGCAAGCATTGTAGTACAAAGTAGTAATGGGAAGAGCCTTGTGCAAGCTTTGTAGTACAAAGTAGTACTGGGAAGTGCCTTGTGCAAGCATTGTAGTACAAAGTAGTACTGGGAAATTTCTGTGCAAGCATTGCAGTACAAAGTAGTACTGGGAAGTTCCTTGTGCAAGCTTTGTAGTACAAAGTAGTACTGGGAACTACTCTGTGCAAGCTTTGTAGTCAAAATACTGGGAAGTGCCTTGTGCAAGCTTTGTACTACAAAGTAGTACTGGGAGGTACTTTGTGCAAGATATGTAGTACAAAGTAGTACTAGGAAGTACTTGGTGCACCTATTGCAGTACAAAGTAGTACTGGGTGAAGTTCCTTGTGCAAGCTTTGTAGTACACAGTGGTACAAAGTAGTACTGGGAAGTGCCCTGTGCAAGCTTTGTATTACAAAGTAGTACTGGGGAGTTCCTTGTACAAGCTTTGTACTACAAAGTAGTACTGGGAAGTTCCTTGTGCAAGCTTTGTTGTACAAAGTAGTACTGGGAATTATTCTGTGTAAGCTTTGCAGTACACAGTAGTATTGGGAAGATTTTGCTCAAGCTTTGTAGTACAAAGTAGTACTGGGAAGAGCCTTGTGCAAGCTTTGTAGTACAAAGTAGGACTGGGAAGTACTTTGTGCAAGCATTGTAGTACAAATTAGTACTGGGAAGTGCATTGTGCAAGCTTTGCAGTACAAAGTAGATACAGTAGTGTAGGGAAGTACTTTCTGCAAGCATTGCAGTACAAATTAGTACTGGGAAGTTCCTTGTGCAAGCTTTGTAGTCCAAAGTAGTACTGGGAAGTACTTAATGCAAGCTTTGCAGTACAAGGCCGTACTGGAAGGTATTTGGCGCAAGCTTTGCAGTACAAGTGTGAAGTGTGAAGTGTCAGGTGTGCAGTGTGAAGTGTGGAGTGTGAAGTGAGGTGTGGAGTGTGAAGTGTGAAGTGCAGAGTGTGGAGTGGAGAGTGTGGAGTGTGGAGTGTGAAGTGTGGAGTGTGATGTGTGGAGTGTGAGGTGTAAAGTGTGAAGTGTGGAGTGTGAAGCGTGAAGCGTGAAGCGTGAAGCGTGGAGTGTGAAGTGGAGAGCATGAATTGTGGAGTGTGAAGTGTGGAGTGTGAAGTGTGGCGTGGAGAGTGTGGAGTGGAGAGTGCGAAGTGCGAAGTGTGAAGTGTGGAATGTGGAGTGTGGAGTGTGGAATGTGGAGTGTGGAGTGGAGGGCGCAAAGTCTGAAATGGAGTGTGGAGTGTGGAGTGTGAAGTGCGGGGCGTGAAGTGAAGTGTGAAGTGTGTGAAGTGTGGAGTGTGAAGTGTGGATGTGGAGTGGAGAGTGCGGTGTGAAGTGTGGAGAGTGCGGTGTGAAGTGTGGAGATTGTGAAGTGTGGAGATTGTGAAGTGTGAAGTGTGCAGTGTGCAGTGTGGAGTGTGGAGCGTTGAGTGTGAAGTGTGGAATGTGGAATGTGGAGTGTGAAGTGTGGAGTGGGAAGTGTGAAGTGTGGAGTGTGATGTGTGGAGAGTTAAGTGTGGAGTGTGGAGTCTGGAGTGCGAAGTAATACTGGGAAGTGCCTTGTGCAAGCTTTGTAGTACAAAGTAGTATATACTGGGAAGTGCCTCGTGCAAGATTTGCAGTACAAAGTAGTACTGGGAATTACTCTGTGCAAGATTTGCAGTATAGAGTAGTACTGTGAGGTACTGTGTGGACGTGTTGTAGTACAAAGCAGTACTGCGAGGTGTTCCAGATGTGTCAAGCAAGAGTGTTCAACAAGAGTGTCTTACAAGAGCGTTTCAGAGTATTGAGAGAGAGTGTTTGACCAGAGTGTGCCGCAAGGGTGTCGAGCAAGAGTGTCAAGCAAGAGTGTCTCACAAGAGTGTCCCATAAAAGTGTCCCACAAGAGTGCCCCACAAGAGTATGCCACAAGAGTGTCACAAAAGAGTGTCCCACACGATTGTCCGAGAAGAGTGTCAAGCAAGAGTGTTCTGCAAAGAGTGGCTTTTAATGCGATCGAGCATCTCCTGTTCGCTTTTCATTGTTCTGTAGGAACCCTTCTTCTACGTGAGCTTTAAAAAAATGCATTCGAGTTCGTGGCTTCCATCAGGTTTCATTTTTTTCGGCATCTGCAGCATCCTTCAGGGTTGAAAAGGTTTGAGCAAGGTGTGGAGAATCTCTTCGGCACGTCGTAAACTTGCAGGTGCGCCTCTCGTTTCTTCATCCGCTGCCGAGCATTTCCCATGCGACAAGGCCCAGGTACAAAGCGAACCAAGTGATTTGGCTGTCCCACATGCCCCCAATGGATTTGGCATAATTTGGCTGGTTGCTGCTTCCAAATTGCGCTGTTCCAATTGGAGCCAGGAAACGATGTGGAGTCTGTACTGATGCCATCAATTGAGCCTGGCCAGAAACTCTACTGTCAAGTGCTCAAGTGAACACCTACCAGTAGGTTGCAGTGGCACCCACCCACCTGGCTAACTAAGACATCAGCTTGAGAGGAAAAAGCAGGCGAAGGAACTTTCAATCTGTCAGAGCTCCAAGGAGAAAATGACAATCTCAGGAGTCAAGACCAAAGATCTTCGGTAAACAAGCTCTACGCAAGGTCCGTTGAACAGCTTGCTTATCGCGCCCTGCAAGCGATGCCGAGCTGCTCAAAGCGCTTCTCGTGGTAGAAAATGGTGCTGGTCTGGCGTTCGGGCCCAGGGAGATCCGTTCAAGAAAAGGGCATCGACAATAGAAAGGAAAGGGACGAAAAATACACAAATTGCATTCCATGTTGAGTCTTTAGGACTGAGTCCGATCAGGAAGCATGGCAAAAATACAGCATAGCATGACATAAAATTTTCATGACAGCTTGAATCACAGTGTGATTGGCTTGACGTCTTCCTTGTGCAGTGCCTGATCTAAAGTAGAAATCTGGCAAGGGTCGAAGGGTATATGAGTGGTGCTGTCCAAAGCAATCATGCTGCTTCAACGACCTTGTTGGAAATTTTTGGAATGGACCCAGCGCAACCCCCTCAAGCCTCACTGGGTTCACCCCCAGAAGCAGCGACGTGATAGCCAGTCTCCATCAGTGAGGAAGCTAGGCCAAAGCCGACCTCAAGTTTGGGCCACATTCGACTGTTAATCTTGTCATGGTGGATACGATGGTCATCCGACTCTGAGAGACTTTCCAGACTGGCTTTCACAAAATGCATCTCAATCGGACATGCCCATTTCAAACTGACCCTAGTTCCTTTGTGTTTGGTGATTAACCCCTTGGATCCAGTTCTCCGGGCACATGGCGCGTCCCTGCCATGGGTCAAGACCCTGGCAGGCGCCAACAAATGTATACCGTATACTGTACACAATGCGACAAGCAGCAGCAAGTGCTTAGCTCACTGGAAGCTTCATAGCCAACCACTTGTAGAATGCTTTCTGCACCAATGAACAACAAGGAAGTCGAGGCATGTCTCTGGAATCCAGCAAGAGTCAGAAACTTTGCAAATCAAATGCAAAGTAGTAATCCGAATCAGATAGAATCAGACATATCAGCCATCCCTTCAGCACAAAAATCTGCAAGGCAAGCCTGGATACAAATGAGGTCCGGCTGATACAACCTCGGAACGCCGATCCACAATGACATGAACTGCTGACATCTGCGGAAGTATGAGTCAGTATGAGACTGCAGAAACGCACCGGTCTAGGCATGGACTTGTCAGAGCTAACTAAGGAACTGCTCTGAAAGCAAAGCCTAACTGCGCCTAACTAATGAGGAGAAAGAGATATGAAAAGCCAAAGAGCGACGAAGAGGGAAAAGGAAACTCAGCGCTCAGCTGAGCTGAGGCTACACAAAAACGTGATGAATCCCCAAGCATACTGAAAGGAGATGTGAATAACATCCATAACATCTTGGAACATGAAAGGACAGCCCTTGCTTCCAGGCTGAACAGTTGATACTTCGGTCTGTCTGAAGGTGCTGGAAGCCATCAGTTGTTGTATCAAATATCCTGCTGTGACTTTGTAGGCATCCCATGGTGAAAGAAGCAAAACAGAATGCAGCAAGTCCATGAGTTTGAACCATTGCTGAAACTGCCTCGCATGCCTAGGCTTTGGGCTGTCTAACTCTGAAATGCCCTGAAACTGGGGAGCAACATCTTTGTGTCGCTTCTTTGGAATGGGCCTCCTTTGGGCCACAGTCGCCCCAGGGTCTGCACCGTTAGTCTTCACTGCTTCATGAAGACCAATCGGCCAGCACCAACTCGCCTCAACACAGCCACAGATCGCCTTGGTTTGCTTCAAGAAGACGTGTACGACATGAACAACCTTTTTGAGCTGTCAACAAGTGGCTAGAGTTGCTGTGATTTGCACACATAACACACCAAAATTCACAAGATTGATGGTCATGCTGGAGTCATAGATTGGATTCTGATACCATTGAAATGTACAGGCTCAGGCAAAGCCCACTAGAAGCCAGCAGCTGAAACGCGAACCAGGCAAGCATCACAAGATGTCAGACCCGTCTTGTTGGGGACTGCTGGCAAGAGGCTTGATGCCACTAACTGTTGGTTCGACCATAGCCTGCAATCGTCGTATGCAAGATGCCAAAGGTCATGGTCAGTAAGGTCAGCAAAAACCTTTTGAATTATACGCCCGGTGACTGCGCGACCTTTGTGGGACCTATTTACGTCTATTTACTCGCCATGCCAATCCAAGCCAAAACTCATCTTAGTACCAAACACGCTTTCTAAGTCGCAGAAAACTTTGTCTTTCAAGGTGTCCAGCACGTCTTTCTGTCCTAAGGATCGTACGGTAAGCTCCCAGGGGTCTTTACCTTGGCGGATGACACCTATGGACACGCATGGAGCGGGGGGGGACAAGCACCCAACAAGTCTACAAATTGAACGCGAAAAGATGTTGGGTAGGAGGCCTCCAACGATCTAAGACCGAACATGGCCGACATGCTTAGCGTCAGTCCCCTACACATCCAGACACCTTTTTCGAGAGTGTTGGAAGGTTTGTTCTGAAGCTAGGTCACGTTGCATGATACTCCCCGAAGTTGATCTTCATTTTGCTCACGCCAAGCAGCAAACTACATCAAATCAAATACTACATCAACATCATCACCGTCATCATCATCATCATCCTCGTGGTCGTCGTCGTCGTTGTCATCGATGTCATGCATCATTGCGTTCCTCTGATGTTCCTTCTGCCACAGTGCGGAGGCGTTCCGCTGCAGCGGGCCGGTCGAAGGTCCGTTGAAGCCAGGGCAAAACGCTGCTGCTCAGGACTGCCTTGCCAGCAATAAACTGAATCAATTTGAAACAAAAGAGATTCATATGTGCCCAGTTTCGCATGACCCTTGTAAGAAACTCTGTTGCGCAATCATCATCTACATGGCTGCAGGCACTACACTCACTTGCGCACCTGGAAATAGACTCACTTACGCACCTGGGAAATTCACTCACTTACGCACCTGGAAATAGACTCACTTGCGCACCTAGCTGGAGGTGCCTCCCCTGCGTTCCACCATACTGTGGTCTCCATTCTTATCGTAAATTACCAGGAAATTACGCTATCACGCAATGCAAAAAAAAGGTCCTGAGAGCAACCTGTCTGCCACGGCAACTTGAGGGTTTCTATCTTGTTGCACTTGATGCAAGAAGAGCCACGACACCTTTAGCCTTTATATCTTGTTGCACTTAATGGAAGGAGAGCCACGACACCTTTAGGGACTATATATTGTTGCACTTTATGTAAGAAGAGCCACGACACCTTTAGGGTTTATCTTGTTGCACTTTATGTAAGAAGGGCCATGACACCTTTAGGGTTTATATCTTGTTGCACTTGATGTAAGAAGAGCCACGACACCTTTAGGGTTTATATCTTGTTGCACTTGATGTAAGAAGAGCCACGACACCTTGAGGGTTTCTATCTTGTTGCGCTTGATGTAAGAAGAGCCACGACACCTTTAGGGTTTATATCCTGTTGCACTTGATGTAGGAAGAGACACGACACCTTTAGGATTTATATCTTGTTGCACTTCATGTAAGGAGAGCCACGACACCTTTAGGTTTTATATCTTGTTACACTTGAGGTAAGAAGAGCTACGACACCTTTAGGGCCTATATCTTGTTGCACTTGATGTAAGAAGAGCCACGACCCCTTTAGGGATTATATGTCGTTGCACTTGATGTAGGAAGAGCCACGACACCTTTAGGGTTTCTATCTTGTTGCACTTGATGCAAGAAGAGCCACGACACCTTTAGGGTTTATATCTTGTTGCACTTGATGTAAGAAGAGCCACGACACCTTTAGGGTTTATATCTTGTTGCACTTTATGTAAGAAGAGCCACGGCACCTTTAGGGTTCATATCTTGTTGCACTTAATGTCAGGAGAGCCACGACACCTTTAGGGTTTATATCTTGTTGCACTTGATGCAAGGGGAGCCACGACACCTTTAGGGTTTATATCTTGTTGCAATTGATGTAAGAAGAGCCACGACACCTTTAGGGTTTATCTTGTTGCACTTTATGTAAGAAGGGCCATGACACCTTTAGGGTTTATATCTTGTTGCACTTGATGTAAGAAGAGCCACGACACCTTTAGGGTTTATATCTTGTTGCACTTGATGTAAGAAGAGCCACGACACCTTTAGGGTCTATATCTTGTGGCACTTGATTTAAGAAGAGCCGCGACCCTTTTTAGGGATTATATGTCGTTGCACTTGATGTAAGAAGAGCCACGACCCCTTTAGGGATTATATGTCGTTGCACTTGATGTAAGAAGAGCCACGACCCCTTTAGGGATTATATGTCGTTGCACTTGATGAAGAAGTAGAAGGAGAAGTAGAAATAGAAGTAGAGCTGAAAGTAGAAGTGGAAGTAGAAATAAAAGCGAAAGTAGAAGTAGAAGGAGAAATAGAAATAGATGTAGAAGTAGAAGTAGAATGCACAAGTAGGAATAGAAGTAGAAGTAGAAGTGGAAGTAGAAGTAGAAGTGGAAGTAGAAGGAGAAGTAGAAATAGATGTGGAAAAATAAGTAGAAGGACAAGTGGGAATAGAGCTGAAAGTAGATGTGGAAGTAGGAAGAGAGGTGCAAGTAGAGGTAGAAGTGGAAAGTTTTAGGTGCACAAGCGAGACGATTGTCAGGTGCACAAGCGGGAAGATTCTCAGGTGCACAAGCGAGTACCATGCCTGGCTGCATGCTGTTGTCTTTCAATGCCTCTGAACACATCTGAACAGTAGATCTACGAAAGAAACCATAAATGCCATAAATGTATATAAATGTGATTAATATTGTAGATGCTTGCCATATCTTGCCATAATTCCATATATTTCATTTATATTTCATTTGTATTTCCATATTTTTCCATATATTTGCCCTGATCATTTCAGAACTGTGTTCACCTGTACCACCTGTGCCGGCACCTCCGAGGTGTCCCACCGAAGCATCGATGCCAGGGCTTTTCCACGCCAGCGGATCTTCACAACGACAAGGCCGCCCAGCAACAGGAAGTTGTCCTTCACGATTTCAAGTGATCTGGTGATACAAACTTCTTGCATGCGAAATCTGCCGACCCCAGCCGACAGCAGGGGGAGCGCGTCAGCGAAGAGGGGCACGACACAAGCGTCCATGAGGCCAGCATTCGACACTTGCACGGGCACATGCACCCGAGCCTGGCAGCTGCATTTGAAGCTCATTTCTTCTCCAGAAAGCGATGTTAGGCACTGGAGTCTCCCAGCGGAGCACCTGGTCCGTCCTTCAGGGGCTTCAGGGTAAGCCTCTGCGAGGCACAAGTTTTCCGAACCTGGCACCTACATCTAAACCTAATTTCCATTCAGAAAGCGACGTTAGGCATTGGAGCCTCCCAGCGGAGCACCTGGTCCGTCCTTCAGGGGCTCTGCGAGGCACGCGTTTCCTGAGCCTGGCAACTGCATTTCAAGCTAATTTCTTCTCCGTTCAGAAAGCGACGTTAGGGAGGACCTGGTCCGCCCTTCAGGAGCATGGGGGTAAGGCTCTGCGAGGCACGCGTTTTCCGAGCCTGGCAGCTGCATTTGAAGCTAATTTCTTCTCTGTTCAGAAAGCGACAACTGGAGCCCAGGTGCATCTGAGCTAATTTCTTCTCCGTTCGGAAAGCGCCGTTAGGCACTGGAGTTTCCCGGGAGTTTCCCAGCCGAGCACCTGGTCCGTCCTTCAGAGGCATGAAGGTAAAGCTGCGTGGCAAGCGTTTTGTCACTGGCGGCTAGGTTTGAAGCTAATTTCTTCTCCGTTCAGAAAACAATGAATGTTAGGCACTGGGGCCTCCCAGCGGAGCACCTTGTCCGTCCTTCAGGGCATGGGAGCAAGGCTCTGCGAGGCAAGCATTTCACGGGCACAGGCAAGCCACTTGAGCACCTGGTCCGTCCTTCAGGGGCATGGGGGTAAGGCTCTGCGAGGCACGCGTTTTCTGAGCCTGGCAGCTGCATTTGAAGCTAGTTTCTTCTCCGTTCAGAAAGCGACGTTAGCAGTGGAGCCTCCCGGCATGGGGGTAAGGCTCTGCAAGGCAAGCGTTTCACGGGCACAGGCACCCAACGGTTTGTTTCCGGAGCGTGGCAGCTGCATTTTAAATAAGCACCTTTCCCTCACAAGCAAGCCAAAGCCAACCCATCTAAACCCAGAAACCCTTTGCCATATGGAGAGCTTGCAATCTTTTATTTCAACAGTCATGGACTTCCCGCACATTCATACCTGAAATGAGCTGTTCACATTTTCACGCTAGCTTTGCCACACTTGATAGAGTTCGGGGCCCATACTTTCACATTTCACGTCATGAACTGCCTCCCTTTTATCCTTTCCCCCAAGCCAGGCTTCTCCCAATATTTTTTTCTGACAGAATTCTCGCCATGAAATTTTCTGGGCTTGGTTTCATTCTACTCACTGACGTTCCTAAATGTCATTCAGTGGTCGCTCTTCTTTCAAGAGCCGAGCTTCAAACTACTGTACAAAAATGTGGATGTACATATACATATGCATGAACATAGACATATCATGTTCTAGAACTGGGACCCCAAGAGGTCCCCTTAACATCTTCAAACAAAACGCGGCCCTGTCTCCCTTCTTGCTGCATCAGCATTTTCCATCACTGTCTTAACTCATTTGCAAGTGAAACATGCGCCATAAACAGCAGCAGCCCAAGCAACCAACCAGCCTGCAAGCATCGACTGAGACACTTACTTCAAACAATATTAAGCTTATACGTCCAAAATACAACATTGACAAGTTTTTCCTTTTTTTGAGTGACCACCATATTAACATCTCACGGTCAACGTTATCACTGTGGGGTCGGCGGCAGTGGGCGGCAGCCCTTTATATGCTTTGAACGGGAGGAAAGATTCAATGAATACAAGTCAATCATTCTGAAAGGCATGGCTTGGGGCCTGAATCCCTTAAAACTTAAAACTGTGTTTTCTCATGCTCTCTCTCTCTCTCTCTCTTTTGATGTACCATTATCATTGCAGTTTCTCTTCTCTTGCGGCGAAGCGTGAGGGACATGTTTCTATATGTTTCTTGCGATTGCAATCTGTCCTCCAGTTCAGCAATTTCTCCATCTACCTGATGCTGGCTGATGCTGGCTCGGCTTTAGCAGGTGCATCCAGGGCAAAGCACTCGGGGAAAGAAATCACGTGGGAAAAGCTGCACTCACACCTTGCCAGTTTTTCCTGAAGTGCTGAAGTGCAGCTACACTGCCTCAATGCGCTGAGACAATATTTGAATAAGAATAAGAATATGATAAAATATGATATGAATAATCTATTGCTATGCCTTGCCTGTAAAGAGGTGCGGTTGGCGGGGCGCAGCAGCAGCTGCTGTAGTCCTGCCGAGAGAACTACAGTCCTCCAACAATTCTTCTGCATGTTTCTGCTAGCGTCTGTCGCATCTTTTTCACTGGTCAATCGAGAAGAGTTGCATAGCCTCAAACATGTAGGAGTAAAATGCTTTCAAGTGACCCTATTTCTCCTCTTCCCCCCCTCACTTTAGGATTGAGGAAAAGTACTTAAGACGCGGAGAATGAGTTGTGCACGAAAATGCACAGGACAACATAATCTGGTGAACTCATCTTTAGCACAAAATAGTATCAGATTCTGTCAGGGCTCTCGCCTGGCTTTGCAGCCAGCATTGCATTCAGTTCCTGCACAGTCTGGCCAAGATCAACTTCAAAACATCAAGTAATTGCTCACTGAGGAGTTTGAACCAGAAGTACCAAATAAAGCGTCTTCATATCTCACATTTCTATCATTCCGCGCATATCAGAGTGGCAAAGACTGCTGTCCGCAACGTCTTTTTCTAGAAACCTGAAACATGTTTGTCTTATGTCTTTATCAAACTGTATCATCCCGCTCAACGATCCAAACAAATGTCCTCCTGGTTGGTGTAGGATCGGAATTCAAAGGCCCAGGTCGACGTGCCCTTGGGCCAGGATGTTAACGTCGATGTTTTGTTGGCCTTTGACAGTGACGTCAGTCAGTGAAGGAGGAAGCTGAAAGCTTTTTTGCTCACATTGTGTGGAATCTTGACCCTGAACCATAACCTGGACAGTCCTCAAAAACATCTCAAAAGCAGTGTTTCTCAACGTGTCTCATCGTTTCTTAGAATTCATAATGTTTAATAATGTTTAGAGTGCAATGCAGGTGCAGGCACAGTTCACCGGAGAGGAGGGACCTGACATTACCTGCTTTTCAGATTCTTTTGGTGTCCTTCTGATAACTATGACTACAATATACTACAATGACTACAACTTGAACTGTCTGAAGTTGAAAATGGCAGAGCGCACCCATGCTGATGGAGACAGTGCCTCTGCCTTTCGGATCTCACGCTCCCAGGCCAGTCGTGCTCCGGTATCGCTGACCACGCCACCAGTCTCTGACCAACGCCTCCGCAGCTACGCTGTGACCAAAGCTCTGGGACACACTGGTGCAGTGCTGCCTTCGTTTACCTCCCGTTGTAACAGCATGGTCAAAATAAGTTTGCCAAAGAAACCTATCTAACATGTGATTCAAATGAAGAGTCTTCCTGCTGAAAGTGGTCCTAGGGCGACTTGACACTCAGTAGCTTTTAACTTCTGACCGAATGTCAGAGAAGCCCTCGTGGCAGCAAGTCCACCTTTTCTCAAGACGTTTTTCGCACAGTCCCAGTCACACGCACTCCTGCAATCTAATTTCTAGTCGTTCCATTCAAACGAGAGCATCACATCTGGATGTTTGGAACAAAGCACTGATCGAATCTAGATGCTTGCCCAACTTTCTGGCAAACCTATCACATTTTTGAGTAGGAACAGCTTGCATAGCTTGGGTTAATTAATTTGTTTGCATCGCAACATGGCTGGCTGATGGAACTCACTTCCCTCAAACATGGAGATCTGCACGACCAAGATCCATGGACAGGCAAGCCCTTTTAGAAACCTCGAATGCCCAGGAGATAGTCAAGGCTCTCATGAAAATACGTGGGTCCACTGCATGTCACTTGGCCTTTGGAGGTGCTGGTTTGAAAGAGATCTGTCAATAATGCGTTGCACCCTTATCTCTCACTTTGTTGATCAAAAAAGTTTAGATATGTCTATATCCATATATAATTGTGTAATATATATATATATGTGTGTGTGTCTTGATTTAATATGCCTGGACATGCTAGACGGCCACAAACTGACATAAACGGATCAAACAAGAGGAAGAAAAGACAGAGAAGAAAAAAGGTGCAGTGCCCAAACGATAGCACTCATTGGTTAAGTATCATTCAAAGTCATTGCAGTGCAAATGCAAGAGACTTCAAGCACCGGCGTCTTCACTCGAAACCCTCCACCTGAACATGGCAATGTGCACGAATTGCCGATGCACCGTGGCTATGCATAGGATCAAAACATATCAAAACCATCCTAGCATTTTCTTCCATTATCTTCCATATTGTTGCCCACTGCCCATCCTTTTTTGGTTTCCATTTTAGTGTATAGATGATCTATAGATATACGTATGCTATATATATAGATACAGGATTATATAGTTCTATCTGTCTGTCCTTCCATACATCCATGCACAGTACATCTATGCATTTAAATGCATTTAGAATGTATATGAATGCATACAGCATACACGTTTTAGTGATTTTTAGTGTATGTATGCGTACCATATTGTACAGTGTACATATGTGTACGTCAGTATGATACTTAAATGTATTTCGCATCCAACTTCCTGTCACCGTGCACGGCACCTTTGGAATTGTACCATCCCGATGGTTGCATGCGATGCTCCTCGTCTGGCACGTGATCAATTGTTTCGCCCTCGATCTTGATCTCCTTCGCTGGCTCTGAGGAATGCACCTGCAAGTGTGTGCGAGGCTGGCACCGAGAATTCACAGGGTTGTTTGGCCAGTTTGGCAATGTGAACTCAAGAAAATCCAAGAATATCTTTTCAACTAACATCATACGGAACCATATCCATGCCGCACTGCCTCTATGGTGTGACATTTGAGCGAACCTGCACACCTGTTTCATTCAATGTGTCTCAGATTCTGACAAGCTACCAGCCTTCACTGCAGCAATGCAAATTGAATAAATCATACATACTGCAAACATGAGTAAACTCAAAAGAGGCAATTCACAAAAGTGATCAACATGTATTGAAAGCAAACCAATGGGACCAGTGCGCCTGAAGCCAGTAAGACCTTCTGGAAAGTTGCCCCTGATAGCTGCCCTTGCTGCGTCCAATGCAGAACTCCAGCATGCCATTGCTGGCCTCAAGCAGCATCAAGTTTCAGCCCTGAAGAACTGCATGGAAGTGCATCGAAGTGCATGCAACTGCAACCTGTTGTCCAACTGCATCTTGAACTGCTGCCAGCTTGCTGTTCTCATCTGGAAGGTCTGACTGGCCACCGCACCCATACCTTGTGCTGAAGTTCGAAGGAAGGAACTAGCAAAGCAACCGCAGTGGTGTTTGGTGTCACTTGACGATGGCGTTTGCTTTTTCTACCATGTCCAAACGACGCATAGATTCTCTTGTCCCTGTACCAATGCCCCCAAAAGCCGAAGTGAAGTAAGAGCAAGCTGTCTGATCCAGGAGTGCGGGCATAATTTAATCTCTTGTTTTACTCCAAGCATGAAGCCAAGATGTCCAGATTGATGATTGCCCTTAATTGGGGTAACAATAAAGGTGGCAATTGAAATGACGGACTTCCTCTGGCACTGGCAATGTTGTAACTATCAACAAATGCATATTATGTAATTATACGTGTATATATATATAATTGTACATTTATATATATAATATATATACAATGGGTTTGCAGTCAGTTGCCTCCATACAATGATGGTCTACCCGGGAAGACATGCAAGTCTATCTGCAACTCAACCTATTCCACCCTGCTTCAGGAGGAGCACCCAACCCAAACCCGTTGAGGAGCAAAGTGCAGAGAACAATGCACAAGACGGCAGCAATAGAAATAACCAATGTCGTTCAATGTTTATATAAATGATATACTGGAGTCACCAGCCCAATCTCTCTAATGCCTCTCAGTCCAAATCCATAAGTCCGTGCCGAGAGTCTGTAATTCCGAGTTAAGCCTCAAGTCAAAGGTGAATTGCACGTCGAGAAGTCAAATCCACAATGGACTCAAAACCCGTCTACTACATTCGGATTGAAGGGACGCTCGTCTTCTTCCAAAAGATAGAGGAGTTTGAGATTGGGTGCAAACAAGGTGACGCAAGACTCAGAGAGCACGAATTCTTGTGCAATGTGCAGTGGGAAATCCTAGTCGTGAGACAATTTGTTTCAAAAATCCAAATGTATAACATCACTGATCTGCTGAGTTTGCAACCATCATCCTCATACAAGGTGAAGTTGGAGGTGCTGGCGGTACTTGGGGGGAACAGGTCCAGAGTCCTCAGCAAACGGAAAGTGACATCGCGATAATGTCACAAGCTGCACTCATACGATCTCAACACATTGATCATCCGGTAGATAAAGGAAATGGATATTAATCTAATATGATCTAATATCTATATTCATTGCCATCACACAGGCATACTGTATACCTGCAGATGTTTGCAGCATGTAAAAATGTGCAGTAATACAAACTGGGACGAAGCAGTAACAGCAACCCGGAAGCAAAGTGAATTGTGGACTTTCAGAACTCGCCACAATTCATCGTTGCAGAATCTGAGGTTTGGTCAAGACATCTACGGTCTTTTGCCCCACATAGTCCAGTTGAGGCCACATTGGAATGATGGCTCCGGCACGAACAAAGACTGGGAGGTTCTCTAAGGGGCACGGGTAGGAATCCAAAGTCCTGCACGGAGATGCAGTGCAAAGGCAGTTTGGAAGAAACCATAAGAAACCTTTACAGCAAGTTGGACAATGTAATACAGTAATATATGCATATATAGGTATATACATGCATTTTATATTACTATTAATATATATATATATATACAATTCAATTTATATTACAGTAGTATAATGTAATATTTTAAGATATTACTGTATTACAATTTAATATAATGTATAATGTACTGCAATATGATGTAATATATATATAATATACGTATATTTACATTAATTAAATTTAATTAAAACACCATGTAGTAACATAGTGCATAATGTTGATCACCTTCAGAAGTTCAGAGCCTTCTAAATGAGCCGCCGTGACACTTGAGTTCGCAGGATAATTACAATCGTGTTCCCTTATACTCCTTTACGCTCATCTTCTAAACATCAGATACATCAGGTTGCACAAGTTATCCACATACAGTTTGGTCCAGCCTTGGTCCCGAGTATCTTGTGAAGCCGTCTGAGTAGTCTATCCATTCTCCACTTGCCAGAAGAATGTGGTCACGATGGGTCTCGTTCCGGAAGACTGGTGCAACCAGGAAGGATGGCCCTGACCTTGGGAATCTCTTTGCGAAAGTCGTGGCAGCATGGCCAACAGCAGTGGAACATAGCGTCTTTTCGCTGAGGCCCTGACATGAACTGATACTGAAGTGCAGACTTGTTGGACCAGATCTCATGAGGAAACTCTAGCTCCATGGCACGGACAGGAGGTTCTCCAGTCAAATATGCTTGGAAGGCCAAGGAATACAAATACGGCGTCAAGGATGCCTTCCTCACTGCTTGAATGAATGGAAAATCGATGGTCAAGTCCAAACCTTTCGTGTGAGTAGCTGAAATCTCAAATAGCAATAGCTCATACCAAATATATCCGATCATTCAATCATGCTATCAAGCAAAATGGTCATTCATTCTATTAGAAGCCCCAGCTTCAGTTGGAGCCATTTTCGATTGTAGCTGGTGTACGGCTCGCCGAAAGTCCATGGCTGCTTGTCATACTTGGCCCAGCCGCTCATGGTCATTGCCACAGTTAGGAAGGTCTTCCACTGCAAGTCTCGCACATAAGTCTCTGGCGATCCACCATAAATACCATCTACCTAAATGTTTATCTGAATATCACCCTGGCGCAACATTTCAACATCATAGACACACGTTTCAACATTTTCACCAAACAGTGGAAAGGTACCATCTGCACAAGAAAGCATTTGCAAATTTGGGCCAGAGTTACATCTCCAGTTGCATGAGCAAATCCACTCAGGCCACTTCCAATAACTGTGGGAATCTGCATTCGGATGTACTCCCAGCTGCCTGTATTGTCACCTGTCCAAATGACTGCATACCTTGATGGACGGACGGGCTGCAGGCTGTTTCAGCTACTGAAGCTACTGTTTCACAGTGCAACTAGAAAACCCCCGAATTTTGGGATGTCAGTGGCTAACCAAGGGAACAAAATCACTGAGTACAGAAACTGGGCGGACAGGACTGTACCCAGTGGCCTCTTCAAAATGTCCATGGGTAGAGACAGCTTGTGGGTGCCCGAACTTTGATCTCAAGGAGCAGTCCTAACGATACAAGACGTGCAAGCAAGTTGCTTCTGTGTGCCTGCCCATCCGCACACTGTCCACGTATAGGGTCTTGAATCACTGCTGTTGGTCATCAATCGAGCCGCTAGCTTGACAGCTTCCAGGCCAAAGCGGTAACCTCCAAGGGCAAAGGGTCCAAACTCGGCGAGGAATGGCCCAAAAAACATCCGATTGGGAAAGATTGGCAACGGTCAAAGGTTGATCAGGTTGATCCCAAAACGGTCATTTGGTCAATCACTGCCTGAACCCACCCACGCCACATCGGTTTTGATTACCTGACGTGAAGACCGAACAGATGGATCACAAGCGACATCAGTGAAGGATGCGACTTACTGCAAAGTGTGAAATGCCATGGAAGGGCGGTCTGCAAATCAAAAATCTGCAAGAATCACACAGGTTGGAGATGGTTGATGGAGATGGTTGATGGAGATCTGTGGAGATCTGTGGAGTAAGCTGCGGAGCGGCACAAATGACCCAAGGACGACCCAAGGACCAGGCCCTTGACTTGGCATTGCCGATCTCCCAGCTCGCATTCGCTAGACCAGTGGAAGTCCAGAGGCCCATGCCTTGGAACGGATATTGGAGCCGTGGTTCAACCAGGACCAGTTAAAACTGCGAGGAAACTATAAGGAAACTACGTGGAAATGATTGAAAATCCGTGAGTCAACAAAAATATAGAAGCATCTGGCAGTTGTCAACAAAAACAAAAGCAACACTAAGACTAGATGATCTGATTAGACCCTTATTGAACCCGATGAATGTATCCGCAATTATGGACCAACTTCTACTCAACTGCACAAGACTTTTGCAGGAGGCACACCTGCTTCAATTTACTTGCCAACAACATCCATGTCGGTAAGGCAAACATGCCAGTAGCAGTATGGTAAACATGTTTACATCAAGGTGCGTAATCACATTCTATGCGCACGGAAATTCAACGTTCCAAAATCAAAGAAACTTGGGGAGCACTTGAAAACACTGGACAAATGAGATTTAACAGCTCTACAGACTCTACAGAATGGATCGGAGCTTCTCCCCCGGCAAAGCGCTACCTCTATTCCAAGACCAGACATCTCTTCAACACCTGACAAGAAATACAAGAACACATTCATAAAAACATGGCAAAACATGAAGCCATGAAGTGCCATGGAGCTTCAAATTTCATACTTTGGCACTTTCGCAAAAGTACTCCATCCATCTCCATCCCGCCTCCAATTATTCAGTGGGAGCTCTGAAGCTACAGCAACCGATGTTGGAACCGCCCCCAAAAGGAGAACCGCTTTGGCTTCAAACTTATCGTGGGGTTTAAGACACTGAGAATTTTGCTGAGATTCGAATGCCAACATTTCCCAAGCCCTTCTGCGTGTCCTGAAGACAAGACTTGCACATGATTGAAATGGACAATTCATTGATGATCTGCTTTAAAGCAATCTTGGATTTCCACAGGACCTGTCACAGACCTGGGCAATCTTAGGCACTGGCCGGGCTAATAAACTGGGTTGCTTGTTGCTTGTCAACGAGCTTACTATGTAATACCAATCATGAGGAGAGCAAAGTTAAAGGTCAACCCAAAAGGCGCCTGGAGCATGTCACGAGAAGTGTAGCCACAGCCATAGCCATCGTTCACTAGCATCCACCCACGAGGCATGTTGTAGTAAGAGTAGTTCTTGGCGATCAGCCTAAGATCAGAGAGGGTTTAGCAGAATTTCATTTGTTGAGGGCCGTAGTCTTAATCATTCATGGTTTCAAATGAAAGGAATGTCCCCTAGTGACTCTGCTCTGCGAACATGTATGGCCGAGAAACTCTTGTTGCAAATTGTTAGTGCCTGACAGACTTAATTTCATGGATTGTTGCAAGTGACAATCTCCGAACACCAAGGAGCAAGGCAGTTGAAGTAGTCATCTTGTGACGGGCATTGTTGTAACAATCGGAGTCCCCGAGGAAAAGGCCCCAAAGTGGTGGCAACATTGGCCTACCCGCCACTTTGGTGTAGAGATTTAAGACATCTTTCATGGAATTTCCAATGAAATAGAAGCTGTCCAAGACTGCTTCAAAGTGCGACAGCGTCACCTTGGCGTGGTGTCTTAGATGATGAACAGTATATATACATATATAAACAGATATCTATATATATATACCGTAGACATAACCGCAAATAAGGATGTTCTCCCTGAGCTCTCCGTAAAAAACAGGAAAACAAAGATAATGGCCCTGCGAAGCATGCTAAGCATGGGCTAACTCTCCCGCCAAGTCTCTTCCTTTGAAAAATTGTAGCTCCCAGGTTTGTAGGTATTTCGCAGTGCCCCGTATCCTCGAGATGACATCCAGAAGGGAGCCGGATTGGCTCTTCCGCCTGCGTCCCAACCACCTCCTTCACGGATCAACACGAAGCGCCCGGTGTGATCGTAGAAACCATTTTGCATTCCGCAGCCGTGGAAAGACTCTGACCTTAAAATCACAACCGAATTTTTTGAAATTGAAATGATTCGAAGAAGACAACAATTTGCCAAAAACTGCCCCTTATGCGATATGACCGGGCCCTTACACAGACGTCGAATGCTCAGTTCCGAGCTGCCATTCTTCTCCAGGAAAAGACACAAATCAATTCCAGACAAATGGTACAACTAGACGGCGGATGGCCCGAGAGCGTAAAGGAGCAGAGTCTTCTGTTGTTAGTATGGAGACACTATATTACAAGCCATTATTTTAAAGATGTATTTTAGGCAGACGAGAAGAATAGTATCAAGACAATATATCACAAACACAAGACCATAGTTTGCATCGCAAATTTCGTATAGTTTTTCACACACAGAACTTTTTAGAAACAGACGCTTTTGCACACAGAGACTTTTACACACAGACGCTTTTGCACACAGGCGTTTTTATACACAGGCGCTTTTACACACAGACACTTTTTCACACAGACGCTTTTACACAGACACTTTTACACACAGACACGTTTACACACAGACATTTTTACACACAGACCCTTTTACACACAGGAGCTGCTTTTACACACAAACGCTTTTACACACAGAAGCTTTTACACATAGACGCTTTTACACACAGGCACTTTTACACACAAACACTTTTACACACAAACACTTTTACACACAGACGCTTTTACACGCAGACGCTTTTACACACAGACGCTTTTACACACAGACGCTTTTACACACAGACGCTTTTACACACGGACGCGTTTACACACAGACGCTTTTACACACAGACGCTTTTACACACGGAAGCGTTTACACACAGACGCTTTTGCACACAGACGGCTTTACGCACAGACACTTTTAAAAACAGACGCTTTTACATACAGACGCTTTTGCACTCGACGCTTTTCCACACAGAAGCTTTTACACACAGACGCTTTTACACACGGACGCGTTTACACACAGACACTTTTACACACAGAAGCTTTTACACACAGACGCTTTTACACACAGACGCTTTTACACACAGAAGCTTTTACACACGGAATCTTTTGCGCACAGAAGCTTTTACACACGGACGCTTTTACACACAGACACGTGTACACACAGAAGCTTTTACGCACAGACGCTTTTACGCAGAGACGCTTTTACACACAGACGCTTTTGCACACAGACGCTTTTACACACAGACGTTTTTACACAGAGATGCTTTTACACACGGAAGCGTTTACACACAGACGCTTTGACACACAGACACGGTGACACACAGAAGCTTTTACACACGGAAGCCTTTGCGCACAGAAGCTTTTACACACGGACGCTTTTACACACAGACGCGTTTACACACAGAAGCTCTTAACACACAGACGCTTTTACACAGAGACGCTTTTACACACAGACGCTTTTGCACACAGACGCTTTTACACACAGACGCTTTTGCACACAGACGCTTTTACACACAGACGCGTTTACACACAGGGTTACCGCGGAGGTTCTAAATTTACAATTTTACCTCAGTTTCTGGCGATCGAACCTCATTTCGCGCGAAAGAGCTCTCGCGGGCATTTCAAAATCGCAATTTTGCCTCCGCTTTTGGCGCTCGAACCTCATTTCGTTGCCGCCGAGGTTGTAAAATCGCATTTTTACCTCAGTTTTTGGCGCTCGAACCTCATTTCGTGCGAAAGGGTTGCCGCGGAAGTTGTGAAATCGCAATTTTACCTCAGCTTTGGGCGATCGAACCTCGTTTCGTACGAAAGGGTTGCGTTTCGTGCCGTCTCGTTGGCACTGCCCCGCGCCTTCAAGAGAGAAATAGAAAAGAAGGAGAGAGCAACAGGGCAAGAGAGCAAGAGGGCAAGAGAGAATATGAAGATGTGAGGATGTGAAGATGTGAAGATGAGAAGATGTGAAGATGAGAAGATGTGAAGATGAGAAGATGTGAAGATGAGAAGATGTGAAGATGAGAAGATGTGAAGATGTGAAGATGTGAAGATGAGAAGATGTGAAGATGAGAAGATGTGAAGATGTGATGTGAAGATGTGACGTGAAGATGAGAAGATGTGAAGATGAGAAGATATGAAGATGAGAAGATGTGAAGATGAGAAGATGTGAAGATGAGAAGATGTGAAGATGAGAAGATGTGAAGATGTGAAGATGTGAAGATGAGAAGATGTGAAGATGAGAAGATGTGAAGATGTGATGTGAAGATGTGACGTGAAGATGAGAAGATGTGAAGATGAGAAGATGTGAAGATGTGAGGATGTGAAGATGTGAAGATGAGAAGATGAGAAGATGTGAAGATGAGAAGATGTGAAGATGAGAAGATGTGAAGATGTGAGGATGTGAGGATGAGAAGATGTGAAGATGTGAAAATGTTTGACAGACCCCCACTATTAGAAGAACCCTTCGCTCAGACGCTCTCGGGAAAAAGAGCCAGTGCCATTGCCCATTGCTTTTCTAGGATGATAGAAAATATCAGAAATTATTCAGAAATGTCTCTTTAATGCTGCATATCAGAACAAAGAAAATCGTCAAACATACTCAAACACAAGGAAGGCGACTCATCTTTGGAGCCCTGCAAAGTCTGCCACGTTCTGGTATAGCCCCATGACATGGGCTTGGTCTCACTCCACAGAACAGAACCAGAGCGGAGAAGTGATAATTTCAAAGGCTTCCGCGAGCCCTCGACCACAATATTGCCTGAAGAAAACCAAAATCCTGTTGAATTCTCCACGAAGCTTGCAGCTGGCGGATCGCCCGGCATGCTCACAATTTCCTGGTCAGTGGGGTCAGAAAGATTTCCAATGGGTGACATCCGAATACGAAGTATGTTCGGTGAGACGAAGGTAAGGCTTACCAGGCTTTCACCCGAGCTGATATTCAACTCAGAGCCATCTGGTGAATGCCACGAAAATCCGGTAACTGGTCCCAATGACCCTGGTTTGGCCAGGACTTTCTCCGGAACGTACGCACGTTCTTTGGCATGTGGAAAGCGGGTACTTCTTGGACCCTCTAATACTTCTTGGCCTTGTTGGCTGGCATGAAGTGTGGAAAATTGAAGTGCCAGAATCGCAAGCTTCGCGAACATTGCAGCCTTCGCGCCGCCTGTCAACAGCGGCCCTCTCGCGAAGCTGCTGAGGTCTTGAGCCAAGTGAAGCAAACAGTCGAATGGCATGGTGAGTCCTTGTTAATCATGATTCATGATGTATGTATATATATATTATCATATATATATATTATTCATATATATATATATGAATAATATATATATATATTATTTATATATTTTTCACTCTGGCACACAGATGCAATAACGCGGCGGCCAAGCATGTCAATTCGCAAATGGTGAGAAGCCAGTCAGCCACCCTGTGCAAAGTCAGGTCCAATATAGTCCCCTTGAAAGTCTTGTTGCATGTCAATGCAACGTGCCAAAAACTCTGAATCAATCTGTACGTCATCAGAGGCAGCACAACTGACTGCGTTGAACGTCGCCTGTGCTAACGCTCCGCAAAACGCAGGGGGGTACTCTTTCAATTGGGCCGTACAAAACTGACCAGAGGCGTCACGCCCAATGTTCGCACGCTTCGGAACATCCGGGGTGACACGCCACTGAGTGATGGCTGCTGGCAAAGTGGGAAGATTGAGAGACAGTAGCTCAGTGGGCTTCATACTGTCAGCTCCTAGCAACCCTTGCGACAAGCAGAGTCTCTGCATGCCCGGAAGACCTAAGAGAACCTGCACTATTGGCAGCTTCCAAATGGACGGCATGCTCTCATCATCTGGTTCCGCAGGATGTTCAAGAATGCCAGCCCGAGCTTGTAGAGCAAGTTCACCAAGCGCTAGCAAGCAGAAGCCCAACAAGACGTTCCCATCAATGACTTGGTCGATCTCTCTGAGTCCCAATGATGGCAATCCCCATAAGTCGTGTGCAGAGCGCACAGGGCGCGGACCGCGACGACCTTGATGTGCAGGAATCGGCTCCTCCGCAAGGTCAACAGCTCGGGCTTTAGACCATGTGCAGCAGGGCGGCCCTCCAAGGAACGCATGGACCCAGCCACTGCGGATTCCATGCAACCAGTACTGCTGTATGTCATGGCGGGACAGGTCGCCAAACTTCTCATCGATAATGATGTCGAGGGACACGACGTGAAGAGTGATGCCTTCAACCGAAGTCATAAGCTGCTCCAGATACCACTGGTAGTCACCAACACGGCGACGGCCAGCGAAAGCATGTAAGACCACACGTTCCCTGCCGACAGGCAACGGAATACTCTGCGCAGTCCAGACATCACAAGCTCCAATCGCACGGAAACACCACTCTGTGTAATGAGTCAAATCATCAACAGGTCTGGTGACATCTCGATAGTCATCTCGCAAAAATGGCCAGTGTTCAGCATCAAGCAGATTATCCACAGCCCTGTGAACAGTGTGCTGTGAAACTCCAGTGATCGTAACAAGTTCCTCACCAAAACCTTCACGAAATGCACGAAGTGTCTGCTGGCATCTGGTCCATGAAATTGCAAATTCTTGGATGGTCTCTTCCATAATCCGTTGGAGAGATGCAACATCAAGCTCCGATCGGAGGCGATCAATCCAGAGATCAATGAGGTCAGTGTGTTCAGGATCAGGGTCGACCGGTGCACGGGCCGGTAGAACTGGTCCTTGAGCTTGTAGTGGCGGAACAAGGCCGTCATGCGCACGTTGCTCTTGCTGCTGTTCAATGGAGCCAATCCCAGCTTGAATATCACTCTGGAATCTCCTGGCATGTAGTGCTCCACGACAAGCACTGCAACGCTGCAGATGCTGCTGTAATTTGCTGCGTGTATGGTACTCTCGCAGGCAGTGGGCACATTGCGTGCCATGGCACAAATTCCTGACACTCGCAACAACTGCATGACACTTGAAAAAGTGAGCCCCTTCACCTCCACGGCTGGCACATCTCTTTTGGCAAAACATACATCCAAACTTCATGGGCGCATCAAAAGCCGCGGCATAGGAAGGAGCATCAGCACCAATACGTCCATGTTGCTGCAGGCTAGCAAAGAGATCTCGATGAATTTGGCCAACAATCTGGCGATTTCTACGCTGTTGAATCGCATGTGCAGTGGCCCGGTTCACCAGCCTCTTCCAGTATCGGGGATGATACCGCAGAATGTACTCCCATGCACCAGAATGACATCGAGGATCCTGAAGGCCACTGCTATGTTGAAGTTGCGTCCAAAGCCATCCACAATCATCTTCAACAAGACGCAGCCAGGCCGTGTCCTGATTGATGATGCCCCAGTCCATGGAGTCAGCACCATGGTACAAAGTGCCGAGGTATCGAAGACGAGCACGTCTCAGAACTTCAGTCGGGCTTGGTGTCATATTGCGCGTCAAAATCTCATCATCAGAAAGGTGCTGATCATGTGCAACGTTGAGAAGGCGTCTATACAGCCGAATGAGACCAGCATGCACAGCAGCTTTGCTCTGTTTGTCTGGAAGCGCCCACGTTTCACTGCCATAGTTCAGCCCACTCATGACAAGAGAGTCAAAAAGCTGTCCACGTGTTCGTTGATCAATGTGCTTGTTGCAAAACAGCACCCGTCGATGACGTGTAAAAGTCTGATGTGCGGCAGCAATGCGTTGCTTGGCCTCAAACTTCAAATTTCCTGTGTGATGAACAACACCTCCGAGATGCTTGTATCTGCCAGTCACTCTCACGGAGAAACATTGGTGTTCACCGATGGCAGTGAACAAGTTGGAGCTGTTGGGCCCATGGAACTGTTGCTGCCAATAACGGGAGCGTGGCCCTCGAAGTGTGAGCATCACTTCTGTCTTGCCAACTATTTATATATATATTATTTATATATATATATATATCTGTGTGTGTCATATATATATATATCACATATGATACATATATATATATATACATATGCTTCGAAAATTTTTGGACAGCTTTGACCAATGCTTGCCCTGCACTTTTGATTGCCATCAAGGCACACATACTACATGGCGTGCGCCGCATGGACACAGCGAACATTGCATCGACTTTGTCACGGTCCCAGCTGTCTACAAGGACCAATGCACGTTGTCGAAGGTTGTTGAGGATTTTGACCTTCACAATGGGGACGGTGACCACTCTTTGGTCGCTTTGCAACTGGCATGGTCAATATTTTCCACCGCCACTACCACCGCAAGTGCTTTTCATGCAAAGATCAATTTTGATCGCAGCAAGATCAAGCGTGATTGCATTCTCGATGGTGTTGCGGCAGTTCCAGCACCCGCATGGCATACTGATGTTCATACCCATTTTCATGTTTATAACCAAGCCCTTCGAGATTGCTTGACCAAGCATTGCCCCAAGAGCCGCAGTAGCCCGAAAAAGTCCTTCATCACGAAGGAAATTTGGGACATTCGCAAGCGCAAACTGGCGTGCAAGAAGCAATTGCGAGCGCTTGGACGCAGAACCAAGCAGGAGACTTTGTCTGCATTTTTCCAAGCATGGGCAAGGGGTTTGAAGGAACAGGAAAATGACCATGCAGAAAGCTACCAACACTACATGGTCACCATTTCATGTTGGCGTCTCAAGCTTGGTATCAAAGCAATTCACTTGGCCGCCCATATGAAGCAGCAGCTCCAAACCGCCAGAAAGTATGCCCTTTCAGCATCATTGCAAGAGCTCCCAGACTCGGCATCAGCCAATTTGATCTTGCAGACAATCAAAGAGCACATTGGGCCCACCAACTTGCGTCACCTTAAACGCAAGACGCTTCCTATCATTGAAGATGAGGATGGAGAAAAGTGTGCCCTACCTGCTCAAGCTTTGGATCGCTGGATTCGATTTTTTGGTGACATGGAGGGGGGCACCCGCCTTGATGCGTCCACACAATGGCAGTTGTGGCGCGCAAACCTCCAGAATTTTGCTCGCTTACACATTGATCAGAATATCACTGACCTCCCAACTCTGACTGACCTTGAAATGGCGTTTCGCAGGGTCCCATGCAAGAAGGCCAGCGGTCTTGATCAATTGCCGTCAGAGCTATGTGGTGCCTGCCCAAGAGAGCTCGCTCGCCAGAACTATGGTGCTTTGCTCAAGCTCTTCCTGCACGGACAAGAAACCCTGTGGCATAAGGGCGGCATCCTCTATCCAGCGCACAAGGGTAAGGGACCTCTTTGTGACCCGAAAGCTTACCGAAGTCTCCTGGTGAGCTCACATGTGGGAAAAGCCTTACACAGGACAATCCGTCAGACACAAGCAGATTTGCTGGAGAAGTACATGATGAGATCCCAGCTTGGTGGCAAGCGGCATGTGCCGGTTACACTTGGCTTGCATGAGGCCCGCGCATACCTGAGAGCTGCTGCTGCAGATGGGCACTCTGCAGTCCTGCTGATGGTTGATCTGGTTGAAGCCTTTTATCGAGTCTTGCGGCCGTTGGCACTGGGCAATGAGTACAGTGATGAAGAGATCGCGAAACTTGCTCACAAGCTGCGTTTACCTGATGATGCCCTGCACCAGCTATATGCACATCTGGCGGACCCATCTGCGATTGCCAAGGCTGGCATGACTATGACAGCACAACAGGTCTTGCAAGCGATTCATTCCGATACCTTTTCCCAAATGCCTGGGCAGATTGACATTTGCCGAACGACTGTCGGCACAAGACCGGGTGATTCGTTTGCGGATGTGGTTTTCACCTTCCTCTTTTCCCGAGTTTTGGAGAACTTCCACAAAAGACTGCAGCAGCAAGAATTGCAAGAATATGTCCAGATTGACCCGCAATTTGATCCTTTTCGGCGTTTTTGTCCTGATGAAGGTGCATGGGAGATCTACTCAGGTCCTGTTTGGATGGATGACCTTACAGTGGTCTTGAGAGCGGACAATGCCGACGCTGCGATTCAGAAAGCGGGTGTGGTGTCGTCCATCTTGCTTGACACCCTTGAAGAGCACGCCATGACGCCGAACTTGCAAAAAGGTAAAACAGCGCTCCTCTTCGCTCTGAAGGGAAGGGGTTGCAGAAAGAGGAAATCCCAGTTCTTCGGGCCGAATAGCCCAGGAACCATGACAGTCATTGGAGAGCACAGCACTCGACAAATTTCTGTCGTTGGCGAATATGTTCATCTTGGAGGTGTCCTCCATCATCGAGGAGATCATCGCAAAGAAATGAGAAGGAGAGTCGCCATGGCTCATCAAACCTTCAATGCTCATAGACGCCATATTTTCCAAAACGCAGTGATACCACTGGATCGACGGGTACAACTCTTCCAGTCATTAGTGCTCAGCCGTCTGCTTTACGGGAGTGAATCGTGGCATCTTTGTGATGTGAAATCCAAAGGGTTCTTGCACACCTCCATTATCAAGCTCTACAAGAGATTGCTGAAGCTGCAGCCTGCAGCCACATGGACTGATGACGAGATTTGTGTGGCACTCCAGCTGCCCACACCCACTGAACTCCTTCGAAGAGTGCGTTTGCGATATCTAGGGACGCTGCATCAGTGTGAAGACACGGTCTCATGGAGGATCCTCCACAACGACAAAGAATGGTGCACTTTGATCGTGGATGATTTGCAATGGCTCTGGCGACAGATTTGCACTTGCACGTACCTCCCTGATCCAGCGTCAAATTTGGAACCATGGCGTTATCTATGGCGATTCCACCAGCCTTACTGGAAGGGACTGATTCGACGCGCTTTTCTTCATGCAGCGCTTCAGCGACAAAATCAACTCCTTGTGCGGCAGAATTTTGTGGCTTTTTTGCATGTATTGAAAGAGGAGCAGGTCATTCGTGGACAGATCTCAGAGCCCCGTGTTTGTGGTGCACAGAACTCAACAGTGGTTTATGGCTGTCTTTGCTGCAAAAAGGCTTTTCGGAGTCGAGGTGGTGAAGGGGCGCATATGTTTCGCTGTCATGGTATGATTTCCACCCTTCGGTGGCTATTCGACACTACGGCATGCCCAGCGTGTTTGAGGGAATACCACACTTTTGGCAAATTGAAAGTGCACCTGCATGTCAATTCCCACTGCAGATTGCGCTTACAAAATCGACCCAGTCTGCCAGTTCCAGCTGCTGGGGCGGGATCTCTTGAGAACACTGCCCTTGAACACAAGCATGATGGACTTGTTCCTCCGCTACCAGGACATGGCCCAAGTTTGCCTGATGATCGTTTGAGGGAAGTTGAGCTCTTTGACATTGAACTGTATGCGAAGGTTACTGAACTCTTTTTACAAAGCGATCCAGAGACCCACGCGCAAGAGCTCTTTGATCTCCTCACAACCCAGCCCATTTCATGGACGGCGTGTTGCGGTACACTGCGAGCCATACAGACCAATGCGACTGTTGACGATGCGAAAGCTTTTGGGTATGACCAGCTGCAGCAATTTCTTTCTTTTCTTGATGGTTTTTGTGACCCCAAGACATGGGAATTTCTGCTGACGCACACCCAACATGATCACCAACCAGACATTGAAGAGCTGGAACAGGAGTTAGCCTATGCGGAGGTTTTGGAGAGTGCTCCGCGTCCAGCAGCCTTCGGTGCGCATCGCCTCGTCCTCCATGCGTTTTCAGGAAGGAGGCGCCCAGGGGACTTTCAAGAGTACCTAGATGCGATGGTTGGTGATTGCTCAGGCATTGTGGTTCACGTTGTGTCAGTGGACGTCATTTTGGACCGCAATTGGGGTGACGTAACACGACCTGAATGTCAGCGCTTCTGGTATGAAGGAGTCAAGAGCAGATATGTCATCGGCTATCTAGCCGGCCCTCCTTGCGAGACTTGGAGCAAGGCTCGTGCAGTTGCTGTGCAATCAGCGCAAGAGGACAGGCATGGGCCCAGAATCCTACGCACTATGACGGAAATTTGGGGAATGAGCAGTCTGGCAGTGCGTGAGATCCGACAGGTGCTTGTGGGTAACCAATTGCTCCTTTTTTCCTTTCAGATGATGCTCTTGCTTTATGTGGTTGGAGGATGCGGAGCGCTCGAGCACCCGGCACCACCTCATGATGAGCAACTTGCTTCCATCTGGCGCACGCCCTTTGCGATCCTTCTCTGTCAGCTCCCAGGCGTAGTGAGGTATGAAATTTCTCAGGGTTTGCTTGGTGCGAAGTCACCAAAACCCACGTCAATTTTGACACTCAACATGCCAGATTTTGTTGAGCATGTCTGGCAGGGTAGAGTAACATCCAATTTGCCGCAAGCTGCATCAATTGGAAAGGATGCCTTGGGGCAGTGGCGTACCACTGCTCTCAAGGAATATCCGCCTGCGCTCTGCAGAGCTTTAGCGCGTAGTTTTGCTTTGTTTGTCACCACCAGCACAGTAGACTCATCGCATAGCATCTGTCCAGATTTTTGGTCCAAATGTGAGGCAATGGTGGCAGGATATGGCCCGCATATCGGACCTGACTATGCAGGATGAGCTTTGGTGACAATGAATTCAACTGAACAGGCCGCAACTTTCGAGTTACCATGAGCCTAGAGGAAAAAAAAAACATATATATATATATATGATATATATATATACATATATATACATATGTATATTGATATGGATATATATTGATATGGATATATCGAGGTTATAGTTATAGTATCGTATTGTACTATGTAAAGCCAAAAATCTCAAGCTGGACACAACAAACAGCCAGTTTAATGTGTCTCCCTTCGCTCACAACTGTCAGTTCACAGTACCGGCTCAATACATCCTGGATGTCCTCGAAGATGAACTGTATTGGCTGCTTAGGCCTCTCCAACAGTTCTCCAAAGCTTTCTTCCCAAGGCTTGCCATCAATGACAAGATCTGAATCCTCAACGGCATAAGCGGCAGAGCCAATTGTCACGCAGTGTACCAAACGATGACATCAGAACACAATTCGCGCCGCTCTGAATTCAGAATGGTTATGTACAATATTTTATATTACTTTACAACATTGTACAACTAGCATGGAAGCGTGGCAGCTGGGACCATGGCCCTTCCCAATCCCTTCCCATCGAGAGCAGCCTCTCCAGAGATCCGCAAAGCCTCGCTCTGGTAGCTCGATTTCTCGGGCGGTGCCACACCGTAGACGCCATAGACCCTTGACCATCCAGAGCCAGGATCGCCAGCGCGGCCTTCACCTTCCAAAACAGTGAGAGCTTCTACCCTCCGCATCAACTCATCACCCTCTTCATTGATCGATGCATCCACCACCCGCATTTCCAGATATGGCCTTTCAAGTTCCTTTCTAGAGGCCCAGTCATAGCCTAAGCTGCCACTGACATTACAGATACCAAAGGTCAAGCAAATTAAATCAGAAGACGGGTCGAGCTTGGCATCCTTTCCACAAAAAGAAACTCTCTTTCCACAAAAATCTTTTTTGCCTTGCAAGGGGCCGAAAATCAGCGCAACGGATGTGCCAAAGACGGCCCCTCCCATCGTGGCCACATCCATCGCTTGTGCTTGACATGTGTCGCCACGTCGCCTCTGCGGCCAGGCACCCACAAAGCTTGGCACAGGCACGGCCAGCAGCAAACACATGACCCGAGTCACATTCCTCCTGGCAACGAGCTTAAGGGAGATTACATGGGGCGTTTCATGAGGATACTCATCTGCTGCTAATGCGTGTAGGATCACAGAAATGCACTGCACTGCACTCGTGATTATTGTGCATATCGCAACTTGCAGCGGGCCTCGTTCTATGTGTTCGACCAGACTTTCCAAAGGTCCCACAAGGATGTTTCAGCACCAGCCCCATTGTCCAAGCAGTCTATGTTCGCTAATTTATCCTGTTCCCAAAACACTCCGCTTGAAGTAAACTCATGGAGCGAGGACTGGACCACTACTTTCATTTTTAAAAAACATGTCACTCTATTTCATCAAACATGCTGTGCCTTCGAGTCCAGTGGAGCTGAGCCAAACACAAATCAGACTGACATGGCGTGACTGCTGAGGATATAGATCAAACTTGGCCATTGTTTGTATATGCATATAATGTATATATATGTGTGTGTACTTTGGCCAGCTTGAACTTCAGCTGCTTCCATGAAAGTATCCTCGGACTGTATGACATCCTTTAGCATTTCGAAATTAATCCCCAAAGCCAATCTCTGGCAGTTCTCGAAAACTTGACTTGAAACACTTCAGTTCGAGCTTCAAAATCCTCCTGTGAAATCATGGCGTCTGCTGAGGATCCAGCATGACTTGCCGCCTGATGCGGCCCTCAGCAATGGATCATGGTGGATCTGATCTTTCCACAACTCTAGTATAGTCAGTAGATTGGTCGTCACAGCACGAGGGCACTAGGTACCAAATCCAAGTGGGCAAAACGATATGCGGTTGCCAGTTTCCAGTTCTTTCACCCTATGTTCCCAATTTGTGAGCAAAATTAAGTACCGCCAAAAGTGGAAAGGCAATATGGCAATGCTTGGTTTCACCACTGTCACAGTCACAGCATAAATTGCCTCCATTGATTGAAGAGATTCCTCAGCCAGACCTCGAATCGGCTCTGAGAGTGCCACCACTCAGGCTTGGGCAATGGCAAGAACATGGGAGGATAAAGAAAACGCAGGAGGACTCTCAAGATCTCTCAAGAACCGGTCTTCCAATGTCTCCATCTATGGCTGGGAGTCATTCCCAAGAAAAGGCAATCCAAAAAACATCAAAAAACAATGGCCTTTTGGCCAGACCATGTTGGTTCTGGTGAATCTCCCATTTTGAGATCCTGAAACAACCACCTCGGCTGAGGTCCCAGGGTCCCAGCTCCTTTCTCTTACTCCACTGCAATTCAATGACGCTATGACAAACTTGTTCTTTGGTGCCTGAGAATGACTCGAGAATGACTCGATTGTCTTTGGCCACCCGTGACAACATGATGGATAGCCAAGGAAGAATCGGGCATACTTCCTATAACTTCCTATTGTCCCATGCATTATTCAAACTCCGCTGAAGCGGGACAATTTGGGTGTGCGAACTGGTCACAAACACATTGTCATATCATCATATATCCATATAAATACGTCATAATGTGCAAATATCTTATAATATCTTATAATATGTCTCCGATATAAATACATGCATGATATTGGATGGCATGTAGTGATATATGATTTGTGCGCCTGTTCTTAACGTTATTGTCACTATCATCTATAAACTGATAGGATCTGATAGGTAAGGTTAAGGTCATTCTTCACAATTTTGCTTTTCATGCTTTTTCTGTAAATCCATCCTCTCCCAGAAATGCCTAGCTGCCTCCTCCATGTCGACCGGTGCGCTCATGAAGCGAGCGAAAAGGCCTTCGACGTCCACGTCCTCCTTGACGTTGAAGCTGCGCACCTGGAAACGCATCAGTGGATATTAGTGTATAATATTGTATATTTAGATTTAGTTCATAGATTGATGGCTGAACTGGTTCACGTCTGAAGCTATTTAACATTAAATTATCATCATTAATTATCTAACTATTTTGACTTGTTGTGGCAGATCTTGTATGATCTTGTGTGCTTTGCGCCCGCAGAATGATCTTTGGATTTGTTTTCTTCGGAAGAGGCGCCTCGGCCAGCTTCCGCAACATGAATTCGCCACTGCGCATAAAACGCAAATTGGTGAGATGGAAATCCTCAGGGATTCAAAGACATAGGTGACATAGGGCCACAGGTGGCCACAGTGGGCCCTGGATGCTGCCCTGGATTCTCTGTTGGGCCAATGAATCACTGGCTTCCAGAAGCTGTGCTACTTGCAAGGATGAAACTAATCAAGACTCGCTGGCAAAAGTTATCAAAGTTTGATGTGTTTCCACCAAGTTCTGCTGAAGATAAGTCTACCTAAGCATCAGAAGCGTGCATAAGTGCCTTCTAGATCCTTCTAGTGTATCCCTTGCAATGCTCAAATGCTTCAACACCTCAATCATACCAAGGCAAATGAGACCATTCACCTTCAACGATCAGCTTCCGTCATCCCAGCCAAGGCACAACGCTTGGTCCGCTTTGTCCTGGTTTGATCCAATGGCGTTGCAACTTGAAGCCAGCACCTGACAAGATCTCATGGTCGGATGGGTGGAATGTAGACCCAAATGGACGTTGAAAGCCTGTCCTACCAGGAGATGGACTAGGGGAGTTTAAGCGAGCGAACTGTGGGATGAGGAGTCACCGGAAAATACTTGTAGACCTACATCCGCATCTTTTCTGACCAAACCTCATCACGGTCAGCCCTCAAAATCCACTTTTCGGATCGTTTTGGTGTCTTGACAACAGCTCCACACAATGAAGCAAAGGTCATTCAAGCACAACCAAACATATCTTGAGACGCGGACCTACAAGGACAACATTTATGGAAACTTGCCAAACCGGAGCCTTCTCACACTGACCCGGGCTACCAATGCAGAGCCTTCAGGATCATCAAGCGCAACCATCTCAGCAACGAATCGCGGTGGGTGGATCAGCTGCAACTAGTTGGATTCTACTGCGCACAGCACACTGGCGGTTGCGAGCGAAATCAAACATCAGGAGGTCCCGCTGTTCGCACAAGAGTTTATCGGGTTTAAGTATATAATCAGTACATAATCAGTATACAGTATACAAGTAAAGTACCGCAACCCAAAATCTGGTCTTAAGCTGCTTTAGGTTACTCCCCTGGTTGAATTGTAGCAACATGTAGGGCTCTTCAGTTTCTGCACTTCTCATCTCCAGATTCTCCAGTGCCTTGCAGTGACCATACTCCACGCGTTCAAAACACGAGTAGAGCCGATTGAGGCCTTTCAACTCCTGGGATTCAGTGGACATAAAGTCATGCCATGTCATGCCATGTCATGCCCGTCGACGAAGCAAAGGGTGCACTCAAACACCCACTTTTTCACCCGGCTTTCTATCAAAGGTATTCAAAGATATTCAAAGATCAAGATAACATTCGAAATGAGAGAGCCGCCACGCTTGCATACGATTTTTCACTGCAAACCAATCAATGCACAGCCCACAAAGCCCAATGTCTCAATGGCAGGTGCCTCCAGATCAAATCGAAGCTCTGCCAGTGTATTCTTGCTCAACAAAGCCTGAGGCTCCAGTAAGTGATCCGTGTGCCCTTTCACGTGTAGAAGAGGGTATGAGAAATGAGAACGTACAAGATGTTAAGACTGTTAAAAGAGGTTACAAGCTCTCAATGGCAGAGGATGTTTTTCCTGCGTCGTAAAACATCAATGAGTATGATTCAGTATGATTCAGTATGATTCAGTATGATCATGTTTAAACATCATGTCTAACTTTGTTGGCAAAGTCTTGGATGTCAGGAGACTTGGATCCTCGATTTTGTGCCTGGACGTCGACCAAATTGATCTGGTGATGTCAAACATGTCAAACTTTAATCTTATCTCGGGGAGAAAAAAAACGCCCTGCATCCCTGCATGCACCCTGCATCCACTGAACGCCTGCCGTGGCATTCCCACTTTCGTCATGATCAATTCCAGCATGAACCTGCTGCACCATGCTGCACCATCTTGCATAGCTGTGAATTCATGCGTTTGGTGCAAAGAGACCCTGGTATTTGCTTGGTTCATGCTTGGCCGCCTAGCCTTTTTCCCTGACAGTGACTACTAGTATGCAATGACTGGGGGGAAATGATAAAAATCTACCCTTCGCTTGGAACTTGCAATCACAGATATGTTTGCACATGATATGGCTGCAGTCAGGTCACTTGTTGTGTTGCAGGTTGAACGGCTCGTAATAGAAGTCCAAAAGGGTACCTCAGTTGGTCAACGAGGAGTTGTGCATGTTGTGGAAAATCCCATGTCTTTGCATCAGGGAACCGGTGGTAGAAGTTGGGATCCACGGTGAGGTGCTCTGAATAAACCCTTGATCAATCCAACAAAGGCCAAAGGACTATGGGATCACTTCGAGAATAGATTGAGCTCAGCAATTCGCCCCGTCCAAAAAGATAGATTCATATAGATTCCCACAAGTGGCAGTGTGGTGGACACTGACATGCATGGAACCCATGTCACTGACCATGTACTGACCCCGTTGACATCCGTTGACCCCAAAGATCCCAAAGGCTCAACGGTCATGGACTCCATGGACTCCATGGACTCCATGGACTCCATGGACTCCATGGACTCCATGGACTCCATAGACCGCATGGCCTTCCGAGGACCACACGCAGCTCCTTTCCAGCCTTTGCTGCCTGGGCAAAATCGGCACCCAGGGTCGGTGACCAAACAAAGTCTGCGGTTACCGGTGTTAACGGGATGAATGTCGCGCCAAAGTCAGTTTTCACACGGCCATCTGGCCATCTGGCCATCTTCTTTGCTCGAATGTGTCAAATCCTGTGGTCAATCTTTAGCCCTCCTAGAAGGTTCATTGGCTGAGGACTCGGTCATCGCCTTTTTAATGAAAGATGTGCCAGCTTCTGTCAGGTCACCCTTTGTTTCCACATCCACACTCCCAAAATGCTCACACCTTGTAAGGAGGATCATCTTTGGAGGTTGGCTGAGCGGCAAATCAGGTGCAGGGAGCTTTAGGTTGACATGCAATAGATAGACACCACTTGGAGCAAATGAAAATAGGTGGAAACATGAAAGCATCACAGAAAAGCATGTTGTAGCATTCCAAACAATAGTAGAGCCGTGTGAACCTGTGCTGATCGTTCACCTCTGCTCTTCATTTCCACGTCACAATAATGCAAATCTCGGAGGAACAAAAAAGTCCAGCTGGACAAAGCGTGAAAACGTGAAAATGTTTAATTATCTAATTGGCTGAAGATATTTGAAATGAAATGAAATGATAGGTGCATATGGCCATATGAGTCCCTAGTGAGTCATCACCCGCCTGCCGATACCACTGGTTGTTGGAATACCAACGCTCACGATCCCGGCGCCAAGACTGGCACAAGTAGAATGCTTGCAACCAAGCGTGTCTGCCCACTGCCCAACACGTATGATACATCAGAAAAGAACATACATTTTTAGAAAATGCAAATGGATTCAGATTCGGCTGAAATTGACCCTCAGCAGAAACAAGCTTGAAAGCTAGTTGCGCTTAAGACCTACAGTAAGAGCTATGCAGCTATGAGTGCGTGATCAAAATCAAACGTGTTAAGCGTGGTGAAGTCCAAAGAGTCGATTTCCAAAGGTGCTCAGTTCAACGTTGTTCACCCGCAATTCTCTGCAGGGAAAGCCTCTTCTTTTTGGTTACCACGACGATTCCATGAAGCTGCCTGGGCCTAGCAGAAATCTGCTGGCGCAACCAAGGTACAGCTATTGTATGTCCCAAGTAGCTGGAAATATTGAATTGATTTCTCAAGGTGTCCACATTCTCTAGAATGTGTGTGTGTATATATATATGTGTGATGTACATACTTACATATCATTGGCATTATTCATATAATTACATTACTTCAACTGCAACTTACTGCCACAGCAGGAAATTCAGCAATTGATGCGGCTCCCTGCCATCAAAGCGATCACATCACCTTCATGTCTACCCCCACGGCTTCCAAAGGATGTTTTAATTCGAACCCGCATCAATTGCGACAACTCGCAACTCGCATCGATTCTTCGATTCTTCCAGCTGCCTGCATCTGAAAGAATGCAGCCATATCCATCTCTTGCATCGCCATCTCGGAGCCTTCGCCCTGAGGGTAAAACTCCTTCCACTGCAGCCAATGAGCAGAGCAAACAGAGCGATCTTCCGATTAAAATTTGCTGTACACTGTGCATTCAAGATCTTTCTACATAATATATATATATATTATATAACCTCTTTTAGCATCCTCGAGCCTCGTTGGACAGCCATGAAACGATACGGTCTCCATTGTGCCAGTTCAAGTCCTGGAATCCACCCTCGAAGAGCTGCTGCATTGGCATCAACCTAGGAGACAAGTTGGAAATCTCTTGAAACATCATTCAAGTACCAAGATGTACTAAGATGTACTAAGATGTACTAAGATGTACTAAGATGTACTAAGATGTACTAAGATGTACTAAGATGTACTAAGATGTACTAAGGACTGAAGCCTCATCACGCATTTGGGCTCTTCACAAGCCATGCCCGAAAGTGCTGGATTCGACCCCTCCTCCTACTGCAACTTTCACTTGCTCAACTTGCTCTCTTCTCGTGGATCCATGTGGATCCTGTATGCGCTGTATGATCCAGTTGTGGATCCTGTGCTTCCACACAGACTCGGATCTGGCTCTGGTGTCAGCTCGTGCAAAGAGAGGAGCTGCTTGTTCTGCCCAAACTCTGGCTGAGAGAAATTACTGTAGATACAGAAAGGACCCGAAAGGACCCAAGCAAATCAGGGGTTCCAATGATTCAAGATTCGATGAGGTTCGTCAAGTAAGACGTGCTAAAGACTATGACTAAAGCAAGTGGTCAAAGCTGTGCCTCATTGGTTCCATTTTGCTGTACATCCTGCCACAGCGCACGTGTCAATAATTCCATTAAAGAATACCATGAGAGAGAGGTCAAAACCATGTTTCTGACAAGAGGAAACTACCTGCAAACGCATGTCGAAAGTGAAAACATCATTTTTGTGTTTATGCATGTATGATACTACCTACATACCTACCTACCTACCTACATACATACATTACATTACATTACATTCCGTTACGTTACGTTACATTACATTACATTACATTAATTACATACATACATTAATTACATACATACATACATACATACGTACGTACGTACGTACGTACGTACGTACGTACATACATACATACATACGTACGTACGTACGTACGTACATACGTACATACATACATACATACATACATTACATACATACATTAATTACACACATACATTAATTACATATATACATTAATACATACATACATTAATTACATACATACATTAACTACATACATACATACATTAATTACATACATGCATTAATTACATACATACATTAATTACATACATACATTAATTACATACATACATTAATTACATACATACATAACATAACATACATACATAACATAACATAACATACATAACATAACATAACATACATACATAACATAACATAACATAACATAACATAGCATAGCATAACATAACATAACATAACATACATATATATATATATGTGTATATAATCCCCTTGGAGATTTGGGGGGTACCCTGGAGCCCCTGATTTTATAGCTATAAAATGGTGGGGCACAGCCCCCCCATGACCCTGCCATCACTATAAAATCAAAGTGTTCAGCCCTACACAGGGGTGTGCAGAGCTATAAAATTTAAAAAGTATAGAGTTCCCCCCAATACTGCAAAATTGCTATAAAATTGGAACACAGCCTCGAGGATTTTCCCTTTTAAAGAAAAACATGAATCCCAAAGATCACTATAAAATTCAGGACTGGGTTACCTCATTTTGATGGCAGCTCTCTCATAGATTGTGAGCCGTATTTTTTGGTGGGCTACCAACCATGATTTTACAGCGGAGGGATCCCCTTGTGAATTTCAAGAGTCTTCCAGAGACCGCCATTATACCGCCATTTTATAGAGGTACCTGGTTTCCATTATAATGGAAAAGCAACGTCAACACGCGCAGTGCTCAAGCAAAACCTCTCTACAAATCTATAAAATCAAAAAAATCTTTGTTTGGGGGTCCTTCAAACCTGAACTGTCCATTTTGGAGTCCTGCTGTGCCTAACGATATGGACAGTGGCAAAGATGTTTGAGGCGTGTATTGACCAAAATTTGGAGTTAGAGGGCAAGAAGGCGGGAAACATATGAACAGAGTCCAGTTTCTGGAACTTTTTGATTTTATAGAGGCCGCATTCAAAGGCACAACCTTAAACAAAAGAACCAACAAAAAAAATAATGTTTTTTTGGGGGGGAAGGGCTCCCAAGAGGTACCTGAAACAATCTAGAACTAGTTTGAAACCATCTCTATCTATCCATCTGTCTGTTTCTCTTTCTCTCCCTCGCTCTCTCTATCATATCTATCTATCGATTATATTCTCACTATCTCTAAGATGTGGATCACCTCAACAACTATCGCATTAGTCAGCTGCTGTATTGGCAGCTTGTTAGACCCATTCCCCGTCGGTCTTGATCCAAATGTTGACGGGATGCGGAGATCGGTTACACAACAAATTTATCTCAAAAACCTTCCCTCTATTAAGTCAGGATCAGTGGGCCAACAAATCAGAACCATTCCAAAAAATAGCATCTCTATAAAGGTCAGGTGCCTGGGCCCCACTGAATTGGTCATAAGCCACATGTTGGCTTACAAATGGTTTACGAAAGGCCTTCTATGAAATCAGATTTTTTGTTTTGTATTCTTTTTGGACGCTTTGTGCAAAGACCTCATCTGACTAAAATTTCCATTTCAAACAATACCTGGGTACTACCATTAAATGTTTACATGTATATATGTGATTATATATGTATATAGGAAATAGAAAGGGGCATGCAGAGAGCATAAACACCATACGCCAAACAACAAAGAGGGTAGGCATTTTGATTTTATAGATAGTGGGCCATGATTTGATGTGATTTGCATTGCTTGCCTTGCTAACCAGCACCTCCTGGTCAACTTGCAGGCTTTTATTGGAGCCAACCAACCAACACCGTGTCAATAATATCAAAAACATTTGAAGACTATCAAATACTATCAAACAGCACCAGAGGAAACCTATAAAATTAAAACAGAAAAACAAGATCATCCATTTGTTAGCCCAAAATAAACCCACTATAAAATCATAACACACAGCCTCCTCCAGTTGCCCCCCAAAAAAAATACTATAAAATCAAAACACAACCTCCTCCAATCTGTTACTTCAAAAATAGATCCACTATAAAATCAAAACTTATGCCTTTGCATTCCTTGTTCACAATCTATTCTGTGAAATCAAAGTGTACAGACCCCACGAAAAACATGAGATGTTGAGTACTTGTTTTGTGACCACTTTTTGGACCAGGTGATTGCAATACTCTTATGATTATGGGGAACGCTTGCGCGCCTGATTTTATAGCTGAAATGCCCGAGGGGATATCAAAACAATCAGGCAATTATTGTTCTGACGTGTTAGTGCCAGCCAGGATGTTACATGAACTCTCAGGATATTTATCTAATGATATCTAATGTATTCTAACGTTGTGTGCATGATTCATTGAAGCATCATTGACAGTAATTTGATGGGATTTGCATAGATTTACATTGCTAACCAGCACCCCCTGGTCGGCTTGCAGGCTTTAATTTGAGCCAACCAACCACCACAGTGTCACAATGAGCCTATAATATCAAAAACATTTGAACACGATCAAACAACACCAAAGACAACCTATAAAATCAAAAAACAACAACACAATCATCCATTGTTACTCCACAAAACAAAACACTATAAAATCAAAACACACAGCCTCCTCCAATCTGTTACTCCAAAAATAGATCCACTATAAAATTAAAACTTCTTCCATTGCATTCCTTGTTCACAACGAATCACTGTATTCTATAAAATCAAAGTGTACAGCCCCCCACAAAAACATGAAATTTTGGAAGTTTGTTTTGTGACCACTTTTTGGGCCCGGTGACCGCTATAATTTTTTGATTATGGGGGACGCTAGCGTCCCTGATTTTATAGCAGAAATTTCCAGGGGGATTGTATATATATATATTATATCATCTGTAGATATCTGTAGTTGGACCACGGCTCATAATTCGGTGTGGTAAAATATGTGTTTATCACTTTTGGGTTTTGATGGGGCGGGGTGGGGTGGGGTGGGGTGAGGGGCCTAATAACGTTCTGTTGTTGCATCCGCACAGACGCGTCTTCTTACGGTATCATAGCTATGTCAAGGTACGCATGATGGTGCACATCTGCGGATGCTACGCTGGTACTACGTCTGCATGTTACGGATGCTACGTTACGGATGCTACGCTGCTACGCTGGTACCACGTTTGCGGATGCGACTGTGGAACAACGTCTGCTGCGTTCGCCGTGGTAAAACATGTAATTTTATCATTTTTTGGGGTTATGATGGGCTGGGGTGGGGTGGGGGGGACTAGTAACGAATAATAACATCCTGTTGTTGCATCCGCACAGAGGATCTTCTTACGGTATCATAGCTACGTCATGGTACTGGTACGCATGATGGTGTACGTCTGCGGGTGCTACGCTGGTACTACGTCTGCACACTGCGGATGCTACGCTGGTACCACGTATGCACGCTACGGATGTCCCTCATTCCCTTTTTCTCACGGCTTGGCGAAAAAACTTGGGACACTTGAATGCTGTTGCTTTGTTGCGCCACTTGGCAAAAATTTAGTGAAGATGCAACTACTGTAGTTTACTCGAATTTTGCATAGAACAAAAACATTTTTGCAGACATCGACAGCAGACGAATACTAGAAACCTATGCAATTGCTGTGATTTGACTGCAGCGTATAAATCATCAGAATGTCATTTTGACCCACGCCGAAATATGAGCCGTGAACTCCGTGAACCTAGTTTCTCAGAGAAAGACAAAGGAATAGGGAATCCACCCACGAGTTACTGACCTCCATTGGCCATTCGTAGGGCTGGCGACCTCCAAACAGGCGGAGATGACGTCGATATGAATGCGTATTAGTTGAGCAGGAAGAATGGCCACATGGTGAATACTACGACAATGTGATGATCAATGTGTATGGTATCATATTAATTCATATTATATATATATATTCACTTGATACAGTGCAATATTCATTTGAAACTGCTGGAATGAGCTGGGTCCGAAGGTGTCCATGGCTAGATGTCTCCACCGTGAAACAGTGCCCAAGTGTGCCTGGGCCAGCCAGAAGATCCTTGCAATCTTCAATGGTTCTGCCAAAAATCGACCAGCTGATTGGGCACATTGGGAGACAACAAGGATCAACTAGGATCAACTAATAAGTCCACGAGTCAACAATCACAACTGTTGTTGATCTCTGGTGACAAGACACTGCCTGCCTCAAAAATGGACCCATCAGTCCAGAATGTAGCATCCTTGGATTAAAAAAATAATACGCATGACAACCCACATTTGCAGAAGTGTCCATCTAGTTCAATGGGTCTAATTATGAATCTAAGCAGGAGAATTTCAGGAAGTTGTTGAAGCATCTGACCTCCAAAATCTTGGGTGCTTTGAACCAACAGTTGTTGGCTAACTTCGACGTAGATGATTGGACTCCATGACCAGAATCACGGTGATTCAGTTTTTGTCGGCAAAAATGCACGCATCTGTTTGTTGGCATGCATGACTTGAGAATCGATTCACAAATTGGATAGATACAGTTTTTCTCGCGATAGTGCAAAAGTGGCTACCTTTGCGATTTCATGCACTTGTTTTATCTTGTTGACCTGACTTGACCTGACTTGACCTGACTTGACCTGACTTGACCTGACTTGACCTGACTTGACCTGACTTGACCTGACATCTCAAAGGGATCATCTCTGTCCCTCCCCTGGGCGCACGGCCTGCACTGGGTCCAGCATGACTCACCTGCGGTTGTGCCGCGATAATGCGCACTGTGCCATGACTCCCAAAATCGGAACACTGTTGTAGCATGTTGTAGCCAACTCAAAGAGATGGATCGCCTGTAGGCACCTACACCTACCGTGGCAAGCCGCAGCAGGCGAGTGTGTGTCATAGCCAGGTTGAGCCAAAACTTGGCTCCAGGCGAATCATAGTTCTTCGTTAAGACTTGGGCAGGTACATGTAAAGTTAATTTCGAGAAGATTTCAAGAAGACTTCGAGATATTTCAAGTAGACTTCAAGAAGGTTTCAAGACGATTTCAAGTAGATGCAAGCAGATGCAAACAAGTACTTGTAGATGCAAGTGGCATGGTTCATGAATGCAGAAGGACCTTCAACGCTTCAGGTCAGCAAACTGCATTACTTACAATATCTCGGCTAAAAAGAAGGCAGCAAGCCCTTGCATCATCCATCCCAGCAAAAGCTCACAACTAGTAACTTATTTTACATATATACATAATATATATATATATATATACAATAGTACATATTGAATTTCCATGTAAATCCTCCATGCTTCCCCCGTCACTCACGGTCCATGATTCACGGCGGCGCTACGCTCAAAGCTATCACAATTACTCTAGATATCTCGTGATATCTCGTGATATCTCTAGGTCCAAGCGATACTGTCACACCGTCACGCAGCTTTTTGAACATTGGCTGAGTGGTGGCCCTATCTTTCGAGGACACTGCACTGTGCTTCTCCGTTTCTGAAACTTTGGAGCCGCCTTTCCCCTGCCTCTGGGCATTGATCAGTTCTTGATGCTTTGCTCAGTCGCAATGGTCCTGGTATGATCATGGTGAATGCTTCAAGCCTTACAGTAGCTCCTTCCAAATCCTTCCTGCCCGAAGCCAAGTTTGCACACCTCTTCGCTGGTTGGATTTGTTGCACGTCTTTAATTTGAGCTGCTTCAAGAACTGAAACTCCTACAATGAGATTGCTGATTCGTTTGCAGGGACACGCAAGGAAAGGGCCAATGCGAACTGAAAATAACAACAAATGATATAATGAGATAATATAGATGATAACTATAATTCAATATATAGTTATAATATACATCTATATATATATATATAAATGTTTCAACTGTCAGCTCAGTCAGTGGGAAATCATCTGCTACACTCTTGCCCGTAGGAATGGCTTTAACGAAATTGGAGTCCCTCTCCCAGACGTCAATTGGTGCCGTTGGAGATGGAGACCAGACTCGTTGGCTTGTTCTCATGAGGGCCGCTGAGCGAATTTGCTCAGCAGCTGAATGGTACAGAAAGCACATCTCAGCCAATGCAAAAGCAGGGCTGCATGCGAAGCTTCAAGAAAACAGGTGACCACCAGGTGACACTTCTGACCAGGTAGTTTTCAGAGACCCAAACACGTCAGAATGCTTCGCACAAATCTCCGCGAGCTGGATCACTTTCTGAAAACCTTGCGCCGAGAAAGTCGAGAAATGTGATCGGCCCACATCAGCAATTTCAAATCCTAGCCGACCTAAATCCCACCTAGATCGTTCAAATATCGTGTTGAAAATATGAATTGTGCAGCACAGCTGACCTAGCAACTTGGCTCCAACTCACAATCTATACCAATGATATGAAAAGCACTTTGGAACAATGCTTTCCAAAGTTCATCGCCACATGCTGCATTCAAATCTGTAGAGTGGGAACATGTTCAGATGCAAATATTCAAAACCCCAACACTGTCCATCATTAGAAGCAATAAGAGCACATGCTTTGTGATGCGGTTCACCCCCTGCCAGTACAAACCAAGTCTGAAGCCAGCTTCTCCAATGGTGAGATCTGCGGCACATAGCAGAGTGCAGGAAACTGTTCTTGATGAACAAGGCAAGCGACATAGTGATGACTGCATTGTAACCAAATGTTGTTAACAGTTGTTAACATTTGTTAACTAGCTATCTGATATTCTGACAGTGAATTGCTGGAGTCATCTACCATGTGCCCCAGGAACAGTTGTCGTTGCGACAGTTGTTCTGATTGCTGGCGACTATCAAACAAGAGAAGTTCCAAACTTTTCCATCGCTCCAGTCCAAAGAAACGCTCCCCTTGCTTTGCTCCCAGAAGGTAATCCGAATTGTATCCAGGTATACAGTAGAGTCCTTGCTGTACTCAAAGTTCCAAACTGCAACTGAAAAATAATTACAATTAATTACATGTTATCCTGGTTTGGTATACCTCTGCAGCACTACAGTCTTGACTGAATGGGTCCCTAAAACGATCCGCTGGGGCCATTGACCCTCTAAAAATCAAAAGCACGGAACCCCTTGGCATCCGAGCATGTTGGCATCCGGTGTCCATGGCTTCACCGAAAGCCTCCAACAGTACTTTGCACAGCAGTCCCTTTAGGAGATTGAACATTGAAACATGTTGAAACGCTCGAGAATATCTTATGAACTAGAGAGAGAGAGAGAGCATGAGAGCATGAGAGCATGAGAGCACTTTTGAAGCTGCAATGTTCCGTGATTTCCGGTCAATCAGAGATCACCGGATTACAAAGGAAAGCTGGGATACTGTAAGGCTTGGCTGCCTCTTGGCTGCCGCTTGGCCGGCTTCAACTGCAGTTCTTTCCACTCTGTGCCTGCTTTAGGCTCCCGCCCGTGATTCAGGCAGTGCCTCAGCCGCCGATCCAACTGTCAGAGTGAAGGGTATTGCCGGGTATCCCCGGGCTATTGGAGGGACTCGAAACGGTTTGGTTCGAACAGCATCAAAACTTTGCTGTTTGACACCTCATGTTTTTTTGCCGCAAAAACAGCAGTACCTCTGGGTCACGGTTCATTTGATCAGGACTGACTTTGAAGGATGTCTTTTGGTCTTGAAATACCAGGAGCGAAGATCGAAGCCGCTAGACATTAGAGTCGCTCTGAAAAGGCATGGAAGTCAGGATATCCTCCAGCGCACTTCCAGGTTCGGACTGTGGCACCATGCCGCTCGGATCGGTGAGGCTTTGACTGCAAGGGGCTCCTGGAACCGGAGACCCGATGTGACTAGCGCTGAGGCATGCTTAGTATGGAATCGTGCTGGGTCAGAAGTGGATCACTACATGTCGGACATATCACTACAATATACTACAATAATCTACAATATACTATAATAAACTACAGTCACTACAAAGATGTACAAGTACCAAAAAATATTGATCGATCCCCCTGGTACAAGGAGAATTGCTCGTGTTGGTCTAACATGTCAGACCCAGGCTGAAGGAGCTTCCACAACATTCCATAACTCAGTGGAGTGGAATGACAGAGCTTCGACTCGGCCCACAAGTGTGTAGATGCCAGTGGTTTGATCGCAAACGTAGAAGTCCAGTATGTCCAACCAAGCTTCCAACCAAGCTGCTCAAGCTACTCAAGCTGCCAACTGCTGTCTAAAAGGTTCCCTTCGGACTTCTAGCCTTGGCCTGCCCTTGTCGCAGAACCATCACTTGAGGAGCCACCTGAAGTTGAAGAGTTCGCATGAGGTCCAACAGAGTGCAACAAAATCAGTGGAAATTATGCCAATGTCAACGTCCACATATTTATAGTCAAGAAGACTGGGTCTGTTTCCTTACACCTGTCCAAAATTGTACAATACACTCTTGAGCTGATCCCCAATCCGCAGCGAGCTGCAACCAGCAGCTAACTTAACACAATGACATGACAAGATATGCCGAAAGAAAACCAGACACCGGAAACTTCGGAAACCGCATTTCTCAGGGTCAGCTGCAGGTACCAAGATGGGCTGCACATTGTGAACGGGCCCAACCTCAGTCTTATAGCATGCCTTCAGACGCTTAAGCCTTGTTAGTTTTGTAAGCTCACCGAAGTCATGGCTGGCCAAGTACGATGTCTATTGCCGAGTAAACGAGCGAACCATATGCTATACACATCTATACAAATCAAAACAAAGGTAAACACGTTATGCTTTGGTCTGAGATGGAGAAAATCCATTAGGACCTGAATTTCTCCACGCCACCAAGGCACAGTGGGATAAATGACTTTTGCCAATGGCTGTAGCTGAGCTTCTCGATCACGACCTCTCTCTGGAGAGTTCGTGAGTGGTTCTCGAACCACAACCTCAGAGGATGGTACTCTTTCGGTTTACCATGGTTTACCATGGTTTACCAGTGGACCTACCCCTCAAATCTTTCAGGGCCGCAAGGGATCAGAAATTCTGAGATTTGGTCACAGCCAAATACCAAACTGTCCACTATTGAGAGACAAGATGTCTTTGTCACTGTGAAGGTAGCATGTTCTCAAAAATGCTCAACAAAAATATATCAACATACAATACATATCATGTATTAAATATTATTAAATTGAATAAATCATGATTCTATATCATTCTATGATTTTCCCAGAAATTCTCAGGGCCCCACTTGTTGCCTCTCGAGTTTCTCAGGAGAGACGCTGTGCTGTCGAGCCGACTCCGTGGCGACAGAAACCATCGGACCAGGCCCTCGTGGCGACCACAGCTCTCTGGCAGAGACCATATGGACCGGTGCCACCGGTGCCACCGGTGCCACCGGTGCCACGGAGGTAGCCACGGAGGTAAGCACTGCCTGGAGCTGACATTCCGCGCTGAAAGGATTCTGTAATTGACATTGTAAGATGTGTAAGGGTAGTTGGGAAACATATTGGAAACTTATGGAAACATTGACTCATATTGACTCATATTGACTCATATTGACTCATATTGACTCATTCTTTCAACTTTGAACAGGGCTTCTTTGCGCTGTCAATTGCTTTCTGTTTGCTTAAAGGCACCTCCGGAGGCGGGGCCCTCGGTGGAGGTTTGGATTGTGGCAAGTGAATAAGCAAAGGACATGCTGTGATGGCATGTGCAAGGACACATGGGATTAATGACATCACTGTCCAGCAGGTCAGACACAAGGAGCGAGCAATTTTCAATGGTTGATATACAGTGACATAGCGAATGGTTTGCTTTGGTCTTGCTCATTCAGGAATGCATGTTTACAATCACTTCAGCACAATCTCGTACTCCTCCCTCTCTCAATCTGAGAGATATGTCCACTCGTATGACATATCGCAACCATAGGAACCACTGGGGGGCACACATGAACGGTCTGGCCTAAGCAGAACACCGTGCAGCTTCATCGAGCAGCACATCAGATGTGTGGGGAACTGTAGAGACCCTTTTGTGGAGCAGCGCCAACATCCAACTAGCGGCACTCTGTGCTCACTCCATCAGCTCGCACTGCGTTCACTACATGGCCAGGGCCCTGGCTTCCCGAGCAGACATGGAGCGCACTGCTCCAGTGCTGACACATGGCCTGCAGGGCAGATGATGTTGCCTTGACATCCCCTTTCTCTGTTCAAACCACACAACTCAATACCAGACAACTCAGTAGTGCTATTTAATCTACCATGATCTTGAGAACAATGACTCTGATCGAGAAAGGAAGACTTTGGAGCAATCTCTCATGACAGATTTCTGGCACTCAGGGTTCAAGGTGAAGGCTAGAACTATACATAGCAACGCCCCACAGAAGAAGGGGTCAGTCACATGAGTCAATCAGCATGTTTGGTTGATGTAAAGCCTACCACATCTAAAGTTACCAACGTTATGCCTCTCTGGAATCGCTGTTCGGGATAATGTCTTGAGTCTTGAAATCGTTCCTGTCCTTGGTCCAAAGAAGGTTGTCGCTGCCTGAGTAGTTCCGCGAGATACACTCAAATGCAGGGCATTGCAGGGCACTAGGCATGGCAAGGCACGGAAACTTGTGAATTCAGGTGCACGTGGGCAAAGCAACGTGCTGTGGGAAGATAAAAGAAAGACTGCAATCAACTCATCAACTCTAATTTAACTATTGGTCTCGAAAACATTGACTATTGGTTTCAAAAAGCCTGATCTTAACATGTTTCAAGTCGGCCTATGCCCTGCTTCCTCGCATCCATCAGGTGTCAAGAATTGCAATGAGCGCAGCTTGAAATGGACTGGACTAGTTTGCCCGAGCTGTAAAAAGCTCCACCTGCTCCAGGTGGCGAAGGGTGGCCAATGGCCAGTCTGAGTGTCCCGGACAGCTGATATCCCAGAAACTTCTGACGTCCGTGGCTCATGAGACGGACTGGCCATGGGAGAAACGGAGTCAGAAGCCAAGGAACACTGCGACAAGTTGCCAAAGGAAGAATATGAAGAATGACTCACAGGAAAACCACGGAAAACCACTAAGAGCTCCGCAGAACCAGGATTCCACATTGACGTCATCCGCAAAGCGCCATTCGCAAACGCAAACATATGCAAACCACATCAAAGATCATCAAAGTGTCGTTTTCATTCTTTTTCCCTCATAACGTGCCACTGTGCAGATTTGTCCAACACTAATTGCGCTTGTCAGCAAGCCCTCCAGCACTGGCCAAGTGGTGCGGTGATTCGGTGAAATCAACAGCGAATGCGAAATATGACATGGTGGGCACCCGCTAAGCCTGTCAGAGCTTCTTAGAGCTTCTTAGAGCTTCTTGAGTTTTCGCATAACAAATGATTTCTAAATGATTTCTTATATTTCTTTCCAAAAACACTTGGCATCAGGCAGCCGCATCAAACAGTGATAATGCTCAGTGTGACACAGCTCTCGTTGCTCACCGCCCTTGCTTTGATCCACTGGCACCTCACAAGGGAATTTTATGTTTTTGAAGGAAAATGCAGGCTTTCAAAACTTTCAGCATCATCCAACCTTCTGCACGGTTTCATACGGTTTTTGTACTCCTTTTGTTATTGTTGTTTCTATTGCAGTAATGCAGAAACAGAACAAAAAAACAGCTGTTATCCCTTGACTCTATTCAGCCAGAACGGGACTGGAGATGCTTGGCAAGTGCTCTTCAAAATGATCCTATGCTTTCTAATCCAGTATATAGTATTATATAGTCAAAAGACTAGTCCATCTCATCGATGTCTATCCTACATGTCTATAGATGTCTTACATTTTCACAAAGGTGAAGACCTTCGCGCTGCTACTAGGTCTTCACAAAGCCTCTCCAAAGCTACAGAAATCCCAGTCCCAGGACATGTCTCAGGACATCTTCATCTCGAATCATGTTCAAATACTTTCAGTCACACTTCCATACATTTCCAGCCATGTTCAGCCAATGCCAGCAAGTCCGGCCATTTCCACATACTTCGATCATTCCATCATATCATCTCTATTGCATGTACATGTGTATATACGTAGTTACATATACAATCATAAACACATATATATATTATAACATATATAATACGTATATACCATTCTTATAGTTCCATTGTGGCGCCTTGAGCCTCAGCGCCGTGACCGCGACCTGGACCGCGATGCATAGCGGCCACGGTCACGGCCACCATCGCGGCCGTCGCGGTCTCGACCGTCACGACCTCCTCGGCCGCCGTCACGATCTCCGCGATCTCCACGGCCGCTGCCCTTCTTTTGGTCCAAGGCATTGTTGACCTTGGGAAGAAAAGAAAACCCAAACATATACAGTGCATGTGTATATATATACATTTATGTGTATATGTATATATATATATACACATTTATATATATATATGTATACACAATATAATACATACATTGACATACAATGTATATGAATGAAGTCAAATGAAGATATGCAAAACCTTTTTCGGGGCTTCAAAGCATGGGTGACTTGAAGTGCGAAACGTGAGAAGCATCCGGGATACTCTCCTGCAGTTTCGCCAATCATGCTTACACACTAATCTTGACAAGGCGCAGCTTTCATGATAAAGGCTGATGGATTTCGAATGTTTCCTGTCTCCAGGTTGCCTTGCAGCCATCAAAAGCTTCTTTGGCAGAAGGACATCATTTCAACATCATTTCAACATGATCAACATGTTTCAATGTTAATATCTGCAGGTTAATTGGAAATCCAAGATTCGAAGAAGCGTGTCTGCTTGTTCCGGGGGCAACATTCCTAGCTTCCGCTGCGCTGCTTCATCTACATTGTAGCGGTCCTTGCGTCAAAACTTGCAGTGTGCCAAGATGTGCCAAGTCCATCTACACAATTGTATCAATTGTACAACACATTCAATAATATCAGATATCGTGCCAGGAGAAATGTTCTGAAGCTATTCCAGAACTTGCAAAGTTCTTGTTGAAAGAGCAGAGAGAGCCACAGCAAAATCAGCCAAATTTTGCACCAAGAATGTTGTAGTGCAATATAATATACTAAATATACATAGCTATACGTAGCTAATCGTAGCTAGTATAGTGCATGTCTAGAGTCATACATCTTTTGTTGCCAGCTTCTTCCACCTCGTGAGTCTGACCTCCACAGGGTGCAGAACATGGGAGCCATCAGGTGAGCCATTCACAAGGGAATCGTCCACAGTGCTGCTAGATTTGAATTGGAAACTTTCCAAACAAAGACAAAAATTTCTAGTCATGGAGAGTCTGCTTTTGGGAATACAGTGAAAATTGTTTTTACATGTGAATCTTGCATCTAAATACATCGTCGACTGTCCGACCATCAAGCCAAATGCACAACTCAAGCTAAAGGAGACAATCTTCGAGAATATCGCAACTCATTAAGAGTTCTTTTCTGATCAAAATCACAGAGACCCAACAATTTTCCGCTGTCACTTGTACATCTCCACTGACTCCACTGGTCCAGTCGCCTGCCGCGTCCTCGGTCTCGGCCTCGCACACAGAAAACACAACTCTGACGACTCTGCATAATATCTCATCCTCCGTAGCACTACCCGTCACTACGCGATCCACACGCAGCATCAGACACTGGCAATACAAACCCACGTTACAGATACTTTGAACATCTTTGAACAAGAAGCCGATGATGCTATCACAATATGATGTTTTAGTTGTACAAGAGTATGAATCCTTGTCACTCTTGCTGATGGGAGCGCGTCTTTGGGATTTCTCGGCCGAGCATCTATCTCGCCGGCGGCTATCATCTCGTCTTGGTGGTGGCTTCCTACGGCGATCAACACTTCCTCAGCTTGGGCTCAGCTTCGACTCCAATGGGATTCAGCAAAGGTTGAAATACATCGAAATGATCCAAAAAATACTGCTCAAAGATTCGGCTATCACTGCGCGGCATTGAGCTGTGCCCACCTCAGAGGGGTAAAGCGTGAAGGATCCCTGTCACTTCGCTGCTAAAAGGATCGAGATTTGGATCGTCCAAACTAAGCAAAGCACCACGACAGGGTGCGGTCAGACTAAATTGCGACAAGGTGCCCTCTGGATTAAACCCAATTGCTTAAGAATACTGACATGCTGAATCGTGGGACGTGTCAATGCTTATCTGGAATGCTGCTGTCTAGTCTTTCAATTGTGCTCCTGCTTTGCACTCTTAAAAAATGTGTAGTGTCTGAACTGTGTATGCGAAGGCATTCGATATCGAAGATGTTAAGCTAGGGCACATGTTTTAATGAAAATGTACGGTTCAGAAATAGCTTGTGATCAACTCCTTCACCATTCCATTTGGTGCAAAGCCCCACATCTTTATGCATACACCTGCCAAACAGTTCGTGCCTGAGGTACAGAATCTGAAAGGGGCTTGAGCTTTCAAATGTAAATGCGGAAGCAGCTCCGATGCATACAGTGATTGCCCTGGGTGTTCCTTCCGATAGGGTGAAGGTGAGTATGAGAGTCTTCACAATTTCTTATATTTAATTCGAACCATTTGGTAGATATTGTAATCTGAGACGTTATTAGTAGACGTTACAGAATGTCGTTAGAAACAAAACACATGCATCACTTCTTTGCAAGACCAGTTCATCAATGTCATCAACTTGGTAAGATGAAGGACACGGATGAGGCAAAAAGGAAGATGGAACAGCCAAGGCGGAACAGGTCACGACCTATCCATTCGGGTCTTAGCATAGTGTCACAAACAGGATATATGTCCATGCATCAGCCACCAGACATCAGACATATTCAGACATCACATAATTTGTTGGTGCTGACTCCAGTATCATGGTGACAAGACTGCTCCAGATGCCTTGAACTTCTGGCTCTTGCACAGACTCTCGGAGAGCGTTCAGCCGCCTGAACCTATTGTCAAAGCTGTACATTGTCAATGCTGTCAATGCCAACACTAACAAAGCGTTCGTCCAAAGAAGTTACATAAGAGCCAGAATCATGACATCGGCAAATGGTAACACAAGTGAGATATTTATTTTTGCATCTGTGCATCTGCTAAGCTTGGCTAAGGTTGTGACCCCAGCAGTGCGATAGAGGTCGATCTGCTGCTGCAAGTAGTCTATCCTGAACGTTGGCCGAGATCTTTCGTTGCAAATAGAGGCTTGTGGAACAAAGTCCATATGGTCACAGAGACACTACAAAGGGTTGATGCCCGGCGACCTTTGAGTTTAGGCCTCAGGCAATGTCTTACACTGCAGCATTTACAAGTGCTACATGTGCTATTCAAGGCTTGCCTGAGGCGATACAACTCCTCTTTCTCGCTTTTGTCTCGCAGTTGCGCCTCGATGACTAGTAGGCAAAGGGATACGTCACCATTGGATACATGGAGGGAACAGGATAGATTGATACATGGATGCACAAACAAATGCATGAAGACAATTCCTTCAATATCATAGAGTTGATTTCACAAGACCCTGATTGGGTGGACTGGATCCGCATTGGTTTCGGTGGATAAAGACAAATCAGATTTTCAATCTAGATATACATACAATTGGAGTGAGAGTAAAGTTGATAGTTGGTATATAGATCACAAAGGTGGCGGAGTCAGTGCTCACCTCATTGATTGAGAGATGCATGAGTGGATTGGTGAATTAATAGATACATATATATATATATTATAGATGTATATATATATATATACAATAGGTTTCATAGAATTCTCAGAATACATGAGATAACTAAGTGAAACTGGATGAAACTCGCATTGAAAGCCAGAGCAGCACTCCCCACAGGGCCTTCAAAGAGTCGCTCAGCTCCGCCTGGCCATTGACAAAGCAAAGACTGACACATAGATTCGACATAGCTGCATACATTATATGTACATACGAATATGTATATATAACATGTATGTGTATATATATATATATATTTGTACATATAGGTATATGTTCGTATAAAGTCTATAAATATGTATAATGTGTGCGTGTTACATAATACATAATATTATATTTATATATATATATATATTCAGGTGGCTACAGGCAACGAACTCCTCCTCTTCTCCATGGAGCTCCTCTTTTCCTTGGCTTGTGTGCAAGGTTTCGGTGTCTTTGAACATCCTCAAGAACCTGACGACGAGACAAGGCCTTCCATATGGAGATTGGCGATGACTCGATTGCTGATGCGATTTCCCGGCGTTGAGCTCATCGACCTAGCACAAGGGCTCCTTGGCGCGTGGTCTCCGAAGCCGACGCGCTTGCTGACGCTGAATTTGCCCACACTGCAGGCACAGCTGCGGGAGCACCAGATCTCCAAAGAGCTACCAAAGCGTAGCGCAATTGGAAAAGGGTCAGACGGATCCTGGAAGACGTCGCCCTTAAAAGAGTATCCCCCTGCAATGAACAGGGCACTCGCTTTTTCCTTTTGTCAGTGGTTCCACGCCCATCCATCTTGCGCAGACGAGGATATGGACCCTGACTTTTATGCCCGGTGCTGTTCGATGATTTCTCGAGCTTTTGGCACCACCATTGGCCCTGACTAATTATGGCAAGTGACCAACTCAGGGGAATTCAAGCAGCTCGCAGCGACGTCTGTCACAAAGAGCCGTGGAAAAAATATATAATCAATTTTACAATTATACTCAGGTATATAGATATGTTCAATTATATTCGTACATAGCTGTACAATGTTCTAGAGCTATATTATATGTGTGGTGCGTATAGATTCTAGATGCATATGGTACATACATACCCAGGCACAGAGCTTGAAACACATTTTGGTGGAATGGCTCCGATTGATCCCAATGACTTGGTCAGGGTACGCTCATCTCTCGTCCCCTTGTGGCTTACAATTCGCTTTTGACCCGCTGTATCATGTCGACCTCAACTTTGAAGGTCCAGTCCACAGCACGTGTTTGAAATGCTAAAGAGAAGGATCCTCTGGATTTCAGCAAAGGCTGCCAAGTAGCAGCGGTAGATCTCAGTGTTGGTGGCAATTCGAGTCCCGGGTACCCATTGGTCGACTCATCAAACCTGCAACTTTCCAGGAAATCTTCAGCACTGGAACGCAGCTGCTCCACAACGGTCTCAGCCTTGAAAATGTGGACTTTGGGAGATCCAAATGCAATGGGAAGCCATAAACCAAAGATGGGCCATGGCATCAAGCTTTTTGTCGGCTGAGTCTCGACCAAAGTGACCAAACTCAGCCGCGAAGGTGGTGGAAGCAAGGACAGTTGGCCAATGCCCAAAACATCGTGGTCGATGTCAGCAGGTCCAAGTGCTCGGCCACGAACAAAGAGAGATGTGCCACAGAGACAAGCGATCCACTCTTCATAGCTGTTGGGGAGTTTCAGGAGCGGTTGGATATACAGCTGTAGCAATGCAATGATTACCGATAGATTTCGGATGTTCAGCCAGAATGCCACCTGAGCTGACACAAGCCAAAACAATCAAAACATGGAAAAGGAACTTGCAATGGATAAGGAACTTGCAGCTGTCATTGCAGCTGTCATGGAAACAAACATCGTGTGGATTCTTGTGGATGTTTATAATGTTTGGTATCATTGAGCATTGAGCATTGAGCATCGCCACCAACAAGCAACAAGCAGCATTGCTACACATACAGCGTCAACTGCTTGGTTCGGTGCCATTGGGCCATGCATCTGTCATATCTGTCATATCTGTCATATCTGTCATATCTGTCATATTCTTTTGGCACTGAAACTGCAGAAACAGTGAATCCTTCACTAAAATCCAACTGAACCACGATCTGCCAAGGCGAGAGACCGCTTCACTGGGAGATGTGATCGCTTCAAGTTTCAAGGCATCCAAGGCAGTGCATCTACGATGAAACTGTGTCACTGCTTCGATGGTTGGAGTTTCCATGCACATGATGCTGAGTCCTGTGGGAGCATATTGCGACAAGAGGATACGAGAGGCACCAATGAATTGACATGAAATTCATGAAATCGCGTCTCATGGAAGACTTGAAGGGAAATCAAAATGTCAACAAAAAACAAAAAAAACGAAAGATCAGGAAGCGCTCCCTCCTTCCGTCAACAAATGAATGCTGATCTCTTCCGGTGAGGTAGCCGGCGCAGATCTCGGATACCATGCCACCCGATGGTCAAAAAGATGGGCTTGGGACCATCCTTGGTTCTGTTCTTTCACTGGTCAAACTGGTGATTCTCTGAAATCTCTGGTTCACTCAACAAAACCAAATCTAGCAGCACCTTGCTCAAAAAAAGTGTGACTAGGAAAATGCCTAGATAGTTACCGTATGTATAATTTAATATAGATGCACAGGAGGCCCACATAAGTTTCACAGGGGTCAGAGAGAATAGGGCAACTTGGTGCTGCACTCTGTTGTCATCTTCCTTTGTGCCAGACTTGAGATGAGGCTGCTCTTGCAAGGTGACTGCGGGTTCTATATGGTTGTTGCCACGCATGTAGCATTGCTAGAGTATGAACTAGACGTGATCATCCAAAACGCAATCTAGCAGCTCGCGGACCTCGTTGTGAACATGCTGCTCCTGCTCTTGCAACTGCTCCGGACTAGGGTCTTGTCAGACTTTTGTGATAGAGTGTTGCCAACAGGCAGGGATGGAACCTTGCCAACGGTCAGCGATGGAACCTTGCCAACGGTCAGCGACGGAACCTTGCCAACAGGCTTCTCGTGAGCGTCGGTAAAGCTGCCGCTTTTTAGAAGTTCCTGCCGACTCATCACATGCTGCCGCCAAATACGCTGAATGCGCCTTGCAGCAGACTCTTCTTTCCGTCCGACATCTTTTAGCTCTTCCAGCACACTTCCTGCCACTGTTGCCCAGGTTGACTTGAAGCGGGAATCTTGTCGCAGTCTTCGAAGGATTGCTTGCCAAGCTTCTGGAAACTCCGAACATTTGGATGCTCCCAACAAAAAATCACGCACGCATTTGGCATCCTTCTCTTCAAGAAGGATTTCCTGCTCTGAGTCTAAGATCTTTGCAGCATCCTGGGTCAGATCTTCCAACCTCCGCTTTGAAAGTTCGTCGTTGTCCATGTAGAGATCAGTGATTTGCGTCTTACAGGTCAAGACTGCATCCCAGGCCTCAGGCTTTTTGTGTCAGGAGTTCTACAATTCCATCAGAGTTCAAAACACGTGGCTCACATGCCAACAGGTTCGGTGGTTTGCGACCACAAAGGGTCCGTAAGCTTTGGACCATTTATTTGGAACTATAGACAAGAAATTACACAAACGCCTCACCACGCCCCATGTAACAAGGCACATCAATACATAATCAATACATAATCAATACATAATCAATACATAATCAAGACTCATCTCTATTTAAAGCTCATCACTCATCAAGATTTCGGATCTCATCACTCCGTTTCGACTCCAATCCAGTGGATTTCCAGGGGATTTCCAGGCCTCCATGACACAGGTGAGGTGCTTCTCTGCCTCCTCCACGATGCTCTCTGGCACCTGCGCAATCTTCGCGCAGCTGGGCATGGCCGAGGCAAAGAGCTCTGCCAAGTCGCTGCTAAAATGACCTGACTCAGCTGACCCAGCTGACGGGGGTAGCAATGGACCCATGTGGACCCATGTGGACCCACAAAATTCTTCAATGTTCATCAAGATTGTCACTTTATGTCACTTTATCTCATTTTGGGATATGTGTGGTATGAAACGTCCTGACTATATGTTTTGTGTGAAACATAATGAAACCATCCATTTGGAGAAGTTGAGAAATTTTGACCCATGCTGACATAACAAGCTTCATGGATTCATAGTGACACACCATGGACTGGGTGATCTCAAAGGAGACGAGGATACGAAGATGGTCAAGGTCACTGATGGTCAGCGTTTTCATCCAACAAGCAGCAGATTTGGTGTTGCCAACCAAATCATCTGCCCAATGATTGTAGTTATTGAATGTTATTGATAGTTATTGTATGTTTTTGTTCTCAAATGTTTTGACCTTCAAACAAGTCATTCAGAAGGTCTTGGCAGTTCTTGGCAGTTCTTGGCAGTTCTTGGCAGTTCTTGGTTTCACTGGCCTTGCAGTTCGTTGCGACGCTCCTTACCGAGAACCACAGTGGCACCGTCGGAACCAACGCACAGCTCTCGTGCTGACAGGCGAGCTTCAAATCCTTGCAACGCCTCAGGGTGCAAAGTAGACCAAGAAACTCCTAACAAGTGCATGCCAGTGATGCCAGTGCTTATGGCTAGTGAGATGCGTGAGATGCTTTCTTCAAACATCTTTCATTCTCAACATTCCAAATCCTCTCAAAGTCATTTGCACCATGGCCTCCCACAAGCATCGAAGGCCACCTCGCAGGGCGATGTATGCAGAGCGCCAACGTTCCGCGCTTGCCTCCACAGTCGTCCTCAAGTGAAGCCATGATTTGGTGAGAAGAAGCACTTGCAGCTAAAAGTCTGTGCTTTTGCATTGGTTCAGACAGATTGCAGTTCCCTCAGATGGGGTGACCAGCCACAATCCCTTGAAATGATTGGTCGCATACATCCGCGCAACTCCCGGTCCATGTTGTCAAGGTCACAAGTACCCTATATCACCCATCCACCTTGATGCTTCCCCTGCCGTTGACAGCAACATCTGCCATAGCTCATGTTCGAAACAGAGGGCCATCTCCTGCGCACCACGGCCATGAAAAGGCAAAGTGGGTGGAGTCTTGACAGCGCTCGATGCATTCACCATCACTACAGCGGAAGACCTTAAATAGATTTAAATATCATGGAATCATGACAAATGCTTTGATTGGAGGAACGGCTGAGAGTTAGAGACTGCCTTAATGTCTTTGTACCACGGGAGACTAAAGGACACACAAGAGCATCTGAGAACTTGAAGCACCGATGTGCAGATTCCAAAAGCATGACGGAGGAATTCAAACCTTTGATATTACAAGAAGCAGAAGCAGGTTTCTACAGGAAGGAGTGGCTTTTGCAACAAACAAATCCCTCCTGAGGTAGTAAGGCATCAATCCGCGCAGGTAGGCACCTGCAACCATTGATACTTTGTATGTGCAGTATTTCACTGTATCACCAATAAGCCAACCAAACGCAGCGCTTTCCTTTAGGCTTAAGCTTTGGTGGGGTAATTCACATTTCACAGTCAAATGTTCAGGTGCGTCAGAGCCGTATGCCATCAAATCGACATAGGTAATGTACATCACATTCCCCATTTTTTGCCCAGTCACCTACGAACCATCTCCGAATCTTCCTTTTCCTGCTGTGCAGCTCGTGCAATTTCGCTGATGCTCTGCCCAGTGCTGCCCATTTGCTTCGCAATGGCCAGTGCCCATTGTCCATGAGCAACGAGGAGCTACCATGGAAAATAAAAATTGGTCTGTGGTTTCTGTTATTTTTTGTTCGGCTGGTGTTTAATCAAAGACACAGAGGACTTCTGCCGGATGCTACAGGAGCATGCAACAGAGACAGAGAGAGAGGGAGAGAGAGAGGAACTGGGAGAGAGATCTCGTCAATAGAGCAATTTTGCCTTTCAGAAATGCCCGAATCCAATGATTCTGCTGATGCAATCAAGCAATCTTGTGCCCATTACATGCGACTAGATGGCTGCACGTAGGAAGAGACGTGGTGCAAAAGTGCTGTGATCAAGCGCTTTCATCCTGCCACCACTCCTGTACTATACCGCCTTGTCCCATCATGCAACCCCGTTTAAATCACCTTGAAACTGCCATTGATCGTCTGGTTCTTGTTGGAAATGTTGACGCTGGAAACATTGTCCTGCACCTGTTCAGCACATTTCAACGCAAGGTCAATGAGTACCAAGATACTTTGCAAAGTCTTGATGTGGGTGTATCTGTATGTGCATGTGTGTGTGTGTGCCAATAAAACCTGGATTGAAAGAACCATGTAACATGCATGTATGACTAGGTCTAGGTGAATTTGATGCACACCCTCTTTGAGTGCACATTTAAAATTGGAGAATGGAGAAGATAAGAATGATTTGCAAAGCAGCGCAGCCTCGTTACATGCAAGGGAGCTAACAGTCTGGTCTGGCATGGCATTCTATGGAAAATTACATGTAAAGCTTGTCGAGTTCACTGTCGTGCCAAACCATCGCACTGCACTGCGGTGGCCCCTGAACCTCTCCGCACCCGGGCCTTGTCAAGCTCATCGTCCATGTCAAACCTAAAGACCAACAGTTTGACTTGGTAGGCTCCATCTCATTGACCGATCCCATTGAGATTGGCCATGTTCTAAGCATGGAATTGCTCAACTCTCAATGGCAGAGTTGGGCTTCAAATGTTTGCAAACTTATGGACGCTTCCGGATCGGTTCCATCAATGGCCAAACCCCAGAGCTGTGACTTTAGCCGGGCAAGACCTGCCTACCGCAGGTTGAGATTGGAAGTGGCTAGTGGCTTAAGAGGCTGATGCAATGCTGTGTGGATCTGTATGCATCTGCATGTTCTGTTCCGTTGCAGTCAAGGAGCGACGCCAGTCGATCTGGTCGCAGCAGCCGTCTTGGGGGATCCTCCTTGGGTCTTCCAGCAAGATCTTCAGACGATCGATCTGATTTGGATCGGAAGTCTGGGTACAGAATATCACTAAAGCATACTAAAGCATGGAAAAGCCTTCCACCAGAACAAGCTTTAGCCGTGGCCGTGGCCATTCTTCAAGAGTTTCTACATATTCCGAATATTCCCATACCCTCCGAAGGCCCTTTGCCATTCAGGTCTGAGCGACCGAAACCACTGGCACTTTTGCCGTGCTCGATGTACTGGGCGCCCGGGGCACCTGGCAACAAGGAAAAAATTGAAAAAATGCCACATCATACTGTACATCATGTCACATGCACTTTATGACTGAGAAGATTTCCTGAAACCTGTCCAGCACTGTCCAGCATATTCGCGTTGACTTTCTGTATTCTTTCACTTTGGATGCATTGTTAGCTGGATTTAGGAAGCCTTGCTTCAGCTTCATGAACCTCTCTAGATGAAAGTTCTCTCTACTGCGGAGCCCTGGCAAAGACTGGTGACTAGTGGACACTGTGGCAATGTTGCTGCCCAACTGTGCATGCAAGCTTCTTTGGATCTCTGACTAGTTCCTTTCAGCTGTAGAAGGCGTGCACTAGTTTTTCCCCCGTCACGGCCTTTGGCCCCGGGGTGGGCCCAGTCATCTCAATACCTGAGAGTTACAGTATATGGAAAGGGATTGAATGTTACGTCTGGCTTGAGCAGGAGACTCGGGACGCAGGAATCAGCCAATGGATTGCAAATGGAGACCATGATCATCCATGATCACTGATCACTGATCACTGATCGACCATTATTGGCCCTTGGGGCTGTGCCGAAAATAAAGCCAACAAGAAATGACAAGAATCGATGCGGCTATCACCCAGGATGAAGTCCTGTGACTGACTGGTTGGTGACTGTTGAGCTACTCCACACTTGGATCAGCCATGTGATGCTGCGAGCGCACAGTCATTTTGTTTTCAAAATTAACCAAATAACAAACATCCAACCAGTTCAAATAATCCCTAATGTTGCCTATGTTTCTTGAGAATATTCTGTGGTTTGCCAAGGTGCCCTTTGGAGCCACACGCCGCCCCAAAGTCTGCTGCGGTTTCACCTCTCAAGCTTTCACAAAGCAATAAAATTTGAAAAAGATCTCATCTGATCTGAGACTCTCTCTCTCTCTCTCGCAGTCGATAATCATCAGGAGATGCAAGAGAAAGTAATATAAATCAATATGATATGATAAAATCTCCAGAACATCACGTAGCAATGGAGGATACCCGAAACGCATCTCATCTTGATGCCGCCTTGATCAGTTCTCTACTGCTTTGGTTGTTGGAACTGTTCGGAGTTGCGGCCGAAAAGATTGAAGCCTCCCAAGCACAGGCACTTCTGACGGCGAAATTCAATTGAAAATTGGCTTGAGGCTTTAAGTTTCCGTGGTTCTGCATAGCTCGTGATGTACAGACACCACTGCAGTGTAAAAAACATCAAAAGCTCTGGGCAGAGAAGGCCGAAACCGAGGGGCAGCGCACACAGAATTTCGGATGAGGCCAAGAGCCTGCCTTCACTACGTTCGATGCTTTCGGGAAATTAGTAATTTGGCCGTATTCTACAAAGCATCATGGCCTTCTGTAGCACCAGCAACCTCGAAAACACGAGGCCTTGGAACCAAAGCGTACTTGGCCAGGGTGAGTCGAAACTGCCTGCTAACAGTTTCCGAGTCGAGCAGGCTATTCACTGAGAACCATCACAGCATATCACAGCAATAACAAATCAAAAAATCAAATGCATCCAACGCATCATTTGACATTGCCTTCACCAGTTTGTCCTTTTCCCGTGGCGAAACCGGAAGGCTGGGAATGGTGGCTTTGCTGGCATTCCTGCACCAGAGCTACGTTTTCAATGGGAAGTGCCTCCGCCTACCAAAAAAGCCGAAAAATCGGATGCAAAAGAATGGTGGCCCTGCTCGTAAGAAGTGTCAGCTGTTAATTTTGCATTCTGTTTCCAGACTGGAGCAAGATTGAGCGCTGGAGCACTCAGATTCATACGATTCATCAAGGTCGTGCCACTGGTCGTGCCACTGGTCGTGCCACTAGCACTAGCAGTCACTAGCATGACATCTTGTTTCACTTTCTCGACCATTTCACCAGGATTCCTCCGCTTTGACTCGGCATCCACATGGGCAATGAGCCGTTGCCTCGGAGCAGTAGAAACCTCTTATATAAATATAATACCTACTGGGATGGCAGCAGCATCTTCTGCAAACAGTGGCAGGTCACAAAGAACTGAAGAACAACTGAGAAATGTCAAATGATATGATACAGTATCCTGGTATCCTCCAAACAAAGAGGGGGAAAAGATGACACATGCTGTGTCCCCTACTCATAGGTCTCATAGTCCCCCAGCACAGAAGAGATCTGAACCAACATCTACAATATTCTACAATCGTCTATATGTATTTCCAGTCTGCTGTCCCGTCCCAGCAATTGGCCCCCAGGCCGCAACTCCACGATTGATGTTTCCATCCATGGATCGCGTAGGCAGTCGCCGCTTCCACTCCACCTATGCAATCAGTCAGACGCAACTATGGACAAGCAAGGTTCACTTCAATAACTCAAGCTGAAATCCCCTACAAATACATGACGTCTAATTTACTGATCTGCAAGTCCTGCTGTATATCTGCTTTGTTGTCCCCACCTTCCATGCCTCTGCTTCTCATCAAAGCAGTCGCGCATTTGGTCAAGCCGGGCCTTGTGCCGAACAAGGTCCAACTGCCAAACACAAGCTGCTATGACTGTTCAGTGAGCTCACCTCTGTCAACACCAAAATGTTGGGGCAGCACGGGCAGCACCCAACTTTCAGAAACATTCAGAAACCTGAACAGCCCTTGCCCACCTTGAACTTCAGCAGAGTCCAATATGTCACTGCCTGAAGATCTGCGATAGAAAAGGCTAAAGCCACGTCTTTCAGAAAGAAACGAAATTACAGAGAGAATCCAAACTTCTCAAAAAGCATCTGCCAACAGCTTGGAGCTCCCAACCACATTCTCTTGCTCACTGTTCTGGGAGGCAGGGGACTTGTCCTTGTGGCAAGACTACACCAGCGAAAACCAACAGCACAGCTTGGTCTCATGTTGTCTGTCTGCCTGTGTCTTTGCCGGTCGTTGCCTGAATACCGCTGTCATTCGCTGTCCGTCTGTGTCTGCAAGGGCAGGTTTTCCATGAGTGTCAACCCACTGATTGTAAGCAAACATGATTTGTTGTGGGATTTCAGATGTTTTTCGCCTGTGCCAAAAAAGGTTGTATTTCTGATAACTGAAAGTGTGTGTCTTGCATTGGCTCGCTATATTTTTGCTTGGGTAAAGGACTGTTGCAGTAACAGCTGGCCCAATCCAAAGCTGCCGGTGAGTATTCAGCGTGAAAACACACAGCAGCAAGTTTCTCCTCATCGTTCTCCGCCAACTCTTTCGCCCTAAGTAGCAGGCAGATTCACCCCTGTCACATACGGTGGTAAATTGTTGCTGCGTAATGACCTTGCAAAGAGCTTGTCACATTTCAGAAGAGTTTTAGCCCCCGAAATGGCATTAAATGCACTTGTTGCAGCCAATCTCTGCTTGGATCTCTGACTTCATGAGACGGATCACCACAATGTCTGTCGCAGCACCCGCCCTGTGGATGTCCCAAACGAGCTCCACCTCACAACCAGAGACCACGGATGACCACGGATGACCACCGTGGCACATGGTGGCACTACACGCAGGGAAGAGACCTGCTCTCATTGGAGAAGACCTGCTGCACTGCTCTCCCTTAATCTTCATCTCCCTCAGCTCGTCTGGTATTCCTTACCTTGAGCTCGGTGGATCTTCACACCCGAGGAGCCCTGGCCTCGAATTTCATCTTCTCTTCCTTGACTGCCGCAGTGATTTCGTTGGCCTCCCATTGTACAAAGCATGAAAGTGATAAATGATAAACGTATATAAATTATAGATGTCACATGATGTGACTGCGTGTTGAGGTCAAGACTCAACCCTCCAAAAACTCTAATAGGATTGGCTTCAGGACAGTATGTTTTTTGGGGAATATTATTGTGGAAGTCGTCAATAAATGTGCAGAAAGACTCCTGATTCCTGATGCATCTTTTGTCTATTGAAGGAAACTCACAAGTTTTTACTGATTGAATCTGGCTTTGCCCTCCAATCTCCAGCCTCATCCACAAGATTGGACGCTTCCAATAAGGTCTGGAAGACCCTGAAACAGAAAACACTGAGGCAGAGACGTTCTGGCTCTGTCCAAGACTGGAAGATGTCTTAAAGTTCGCATCTATGATTTTCTGGTATAGGTTTGGGTAGAACGTTCCCAAGTCTCTGTCGCTAGCTAGTGCCACGCAAATGGTGACAAAGGCAGTAGGAAAGAAAAAAGCCATTGGCCGACTGATACAGTAATTGGATTGGAATCAAACCATCCAAACCAATAGGTTTGAGCTGCCAGGATGGGAAAGGACAGATGACTAAGATGGACTAAGTGTCAAGCTCTGCTCCAGACTCTTCACCCAGTCTTGACCGCAGATCCTGCCGTGCACTGTCGTGCTGGGCCCAGGTTTTCAGAGGTCTCAGTAGCCATGGTGCCGAAAATCAACCAGTCTCAGTAGCACTATTGTCCCAAACAGATCCGAACATTCCGAACTCTGGCCCTTCATACTATCAAATCATATACAATCTCTGTGCCCAATTGCCTGTCTCTGCGTGACAAAGTGTTATGTGCCAGTGCGCAACAAACAGAGTAGCTCGCGTAGCTCGTCTGCTGGATGTATCCAGAGCTTTGGCACTGCACCTCCAAGCGAAGATGAAGATCTGCCCAGGCTCTGCTGTCCTCAGGGCACTGTTCAGTGCTCATTTGGCCAAGAATGGCAAGTTCAAAGAAAAATATGAAAAATTAAAAATGTGAAAAAAAATATGGAAAAAAACAAAAAGGACAAGAAAGGTCGAACCGTCTTCCTTTCGGCTGTCATTAAGAGCAGAATGCTTCTGACCGGACCTCTCCAGACTCTGACTCTCTTCCGGAGCTCGCAACTGGGGGCAGCACCTCTGGGATCACTGCACGGAGCAGCTCTGCATCCTGTCAACTCTGTCAAGTCTGTTGTAAATGGTTGGATGTATCGGATGTATTGAATGTATTGATGTATTGATGTATTGGATGTGTGGATGTGGTAGGTGTGTTGATGCGGTCCGTATATTTACCACGCAGACAGTGGCTGATTTCCGCCAGTGGCTGATTTCCGTCTCAAGATTCTCAAGTGGGCAAGACGCCCTGAACGGTCCTGCTCGCGCTCAGGCAAGGCAGACCCGGCCTGCAAGAAAATGAGATACGCACCCTGTCAGTCCAATCATAAATGACCCCACAACTCTTTAGTCCTCCCATTCGTTGATTCAACCAGCAATGGATGCCCCAAACTAGATCCAAACTGTTCGACTCAAGTGTAGCAAAGTTTCTGTAAACGCAATCCAGTTTGCTCATATGTTCCAGCATCAACTACAGTGAGAAAGTTGCGAGAACTGAGAATTATCGATGGAACTTCCTGCCCGGATCTTCTGACCATTTCCTTTCCACTCTTGCAGCCACCCCCTCTCTTTCAAGCTATGACGCTGCAGCACTTTGCCTGGCCCAGCGACCTTACCGCCTCGGTTGCAGCAACGCCATGTGAGTCTGTTCAGGATCTACATGAATTGGCCTCAAAATGCCTCAAATGTGTGCGTTTCAAATTTCAAACCAAGGCAGGAAGCAATCGATCCGGACTCCCTGCTGTTCAGGCACCTCCGGGACAATCAGCCGTACTGCAGAGACTCGGCCAAGGAAGAGCTTGTCGTTGTGCTGCGCAGGGATCGTGAAAATGCGCAAGAATGTCAGCTGGCTTTTTTTCAAGGTGGCGTTGGTAATGGGCATGGTAGAATCATGGTAGAATCATGGTAGAATCATCTGAAAGACTGAAATGAGAGGATCCGTCGGCCAGACTATGCGCGCAACAACGCGCAACCATTTTGTCCCCCAGGCCATTGCAGGTGTAGGCAAACAGCCATACCCAAATGCAAACACGGTCATTTCCGCCCCCAGTCAGCCAGTTGTTCTGCAAACCACTGGAAAACCTGAAACGGGTTTGTTGAAAGGATGCTTCGAAACGACACAATTGACTTCGCGGACCATGTTGCATGTCCTAACTGCTGTGCAAAGTGCGCAGCGCCAGAGCAAGGACCCTAGGCTGCACCCTAGCTAAAGATCTATCGAATTAGTGCAGCGAAACCAAGTTTCGCGTTCAACGAGATATCAGCGAGTCAACAAGTGCCGCTGCCGCAAAGGTTCAATTTCCCGGCTATGTCTTTGGGATTCTGATGCAAGGCACACTAGCACAAGCATGAACTTTGACCACAATTTTGTCAAAGTCGTGGACACTCAAGTGCATTTTCTCTCTTCAGCTCGGAGGCGTAGGGAAATGTAAACTAACATAGATGCGGAAAACCCACCACTTTTAGACCATTTTCCAGGGAAACCCTGGGTTTTCCACAGCTACGTTAGGTTACTCCAGGGTACGGTCCGGCGCTTTTTCTTTGGCGTACCTTTGTCAAGTCAAGTTAGCTGGCCATGGGGGTGAGGACTTGGTGTCATTATGTCACTGGATCACAGTGGGCGCCTCTCACACATCTCCAATTATCTTAAATCATCTTAAATCCATAGTATCCCTCGTACTGTAAAAATGAAGATTCCGGCTCACTCGATCGACATGGTTGTCTTGAGTACCCGTTCCGAAACAATCCAAAATAGAGATTCTATACTTTGCCCCTCAGCGTTGGCTACAAAACCAACTTGAGTCTTGCCTGCCAATTTGGTCAAGGCGCGGCCTAAAATTTCACCATGTGAAAAGCTGCGGAATCTTCGTGTTCTGAACGACTCTGTTTACAAGTCTCACTCCCGTGGCTGCAGCCCAGCGGCCTGATCCAGGGCTTCTCGGCCGTGCTACCCCTGGGCTACAGGGCACAACACGATGAAAAACAAGTTCAACGGAAGATTATGGAAGATTGATATCCAAAAAAATCATGTTCCACCGAATTGACTGAAGAAGCTGATTTCAGACCTGTCTTGAAATTCAAAAATCCTTGGCCTTGCAATTGGCGTGCAGTTACAAAGCTCCCACCGGCTTGGTCAGAGCCTGTGAGGACGAAGCATCCCACCGACGTTTGAAGTGACACGTTCTGTGAGAAAAATCCAGGCATGTTGTAAGAGGGGAATCAAACAGCAACTGTACTGAGGATGTTAGTTGCAAAGAAGCAAAATTGCAAAGAAAAAACCTGACTCATTGCAAAGAATACGGTGCCTTGATGCACCAAAGGAAAGGCTTTGGACGCTGGTTGTAGACTCGGTAGTTCAGCAGGAATCCTCTGCCGTTCCCTGCGTTCTCTTGGAGTTGGAGACCTCCGGATTGTTAATCCCAGAAAGGCAATTGAACCAAGCTTTCAAGCTTTCCAAAGTGTTTGTTAGGTCGCTTTCATGCTACTTCAAAATCCACGGCAAAGCGTCTTCAACGGATTTTGCAGAAAGTGCCTCCTTCTTTCTACAGAAGTAGACAAGTTCTCAAGGCCCTTCAAAGAAGTCCCTGCTGCTTCCGCGCACCGGTCGCAGCAGGTGTCTGGTGCGTGCCACTCCTCGGCCATCAAGATATCCATCACCTCTGAACATGTCTGCTGCCTTTCAATAAACAAACATACATAAACAATTCATAAACATACACGAACCAGATCAAACTGATCAAACTGCCATCATCTCATTTCTATCTCATTTCTCTCGCCTTCCTTGGCTGTTTCAATCCTCCGTTTCTCATGATTTTCGGTTTTGCCTCTGTCCACCCTTGATGCAGCTGTGCTACTTTCACAGCATTGGCGCTTGGATCTCCAAAGTGTCTCAGCACAAGCCTGCGTCGACACTCCGTCGTGTTGAAGGAGAAGTCTTCCACCTAAGCTGGGATCTGCTGGATCTGCTGGATCTGCTGACTTCAAAACTTCAGGACCTGCAGTTTTGCATGTTGTGTTGTCAGGAGATTTCCAAAGGCTGCAGTGCATTTCTGTACATATGTCTATGTCATTGTATATATACATATATATGTTGTCACATCATCAGTGAAAGACTGAAAAGGTCCAAATAGACTGAAGAGACTTGCCATACCATGTCTGGGAACAGTAAAGGCCGCAGCCTAAAACACGTTCTACCACAACAGGACTGCACTGGACGTTTGTACCACAACAGGACTAAGTCTTTAAGACTCTTAGTAGCTATATCAGCTGCTCGTCTCAGGCACAGCTTGCAATTCTTGTAGAGCGATTTCGCTGGTGGCGCTGGCACCACTCCAGGCACCTCTTGATGTGATCAGCTGCCTTGATTCCAAGTTGGGTTCGATGGGAGTCTGTCATAGTCTGTCCATTTCAGATTGCTTCTTCATTCTCCCAGATGTGTTTTCTCCAACATCATGTTCGGCACAACTGGCGACAGTTCTGTGCACAAATCTAATTCAGCGGCGGTTTCGAAACTGCGGAGATGTTTGCAGATTTCAGTGGTTTGGGAGAAAAGATGAGCCCAGGAGGAAGACTGCGCAATGTTTTGTTGAGACTTCAACAGTTATGGTGTTTCGTGGCATTATGTACATGAGTGAAAGAAATCCAGCCAGGAGCTGCAACAGGATGCGACCAAGCAGCTTTGCAACAGAGAAATCATTCTCAGTGAAGAACATCACGCAGAGTGCAGGTTTTCCATCCCTTCCTGCTCTCCCACTCTCCTGGTAATAGGCACTCAGTGATTTCGGCGGCGCCGCGTGGAAGACGAAACGCACGTCTGCCTTATCAACTCCCATGCCAAAGGCAATCGTGGCCACCAAGACACGAACCTTCTCCGGCGAAGTCTCAGTCTTGGCATTCTTTGCCTTCCCATTCCTTGCGGTCTTGTCTTCGAAGGGCTTCCTTGCAGAGATGAACTCCGTCAAGGTATTTCTATTCAGTGTTTCTGCAAATGGTCCAAACATCAACGAATCTAGTTACATCTATTTACATCTAATTGCCAGAAAAAATGTATTTAAAAACTGATCGCGAAGGAATCTTCGGGCTACGAATTCAGAAAAGCTTCCCAATGAAGGCTTCAAAAGCAGCCCTCTTCCTGTTCTTGCAAAGGCCAGCATGAAAGGGCATAGCGGAAATTCCATTCTCCTGCGAAATGAAAGATGCATTGGCTAGCAGCAGCTTGCTACCTCTGAATCTGCAAAGTAGAACAGGTGCAAACTGGCCTTGAGCTTTGCTATTCGATATCATTCACTATTGATTATCATTCCATATCTACTAGGATGCGATGCCGTGGCGCCATACGAATAGTGCTTGGTGCTCGCCATAAGCCCAGTGCCAGGTGCAATCCCACCATTCAAATGTCCTGCAACAATTCGGCAACATGTTCCTCGGTGGACAAAGTCAAGACGTTTCAGAATCTCAACAATAGCTGAAAGCAACTCTTTGTTGCAGCAGAAGGATATTGCCTAGGATTCATGCCAACGAAAAGTAATAAATGAGGTGCGTTGAACATGAGTAGCAATTGTATGCACTTGTACGCAATTGTTGTGAGGATGGCCTGAAACATGCTAAAACAGTTGGCAGGGTAGACTCGGGTAGACACGTTGAGCAACATTTTTCAGATACCAACTCAGGTTTTCACAGCAAAGCCTCGCAGTCTTTCTGCCGCTGGCAGTAGATGATGCCACTGCTGTCCGGTGGCTGGGATGAAGTCAAAGTGATCAAGTCCTCAACAGATGTTGGGATAGGCCCGATAGGCTCACATAATGTGATTCGTGCGAATTCCCATCCAAATACAGGAACCCCTTCAACATCCTTCAACTAGGAAGCTTGTCCGGAAACAATTCAGCAGGGCTCTTCACTTGCCAAGACACTGCATAGGCTGGTTGTGTGTACTTGCTATCTTCTCTCCTCCCAAAATGCTTCACATGGTTTTGCTTCTGGCTTCCGACCTTTGCAAGCCTGTCTCAACTGTAGACATGGATGAACAGGGTACAATCTCAAGCAAACTAAGCAAGCAATTCAAAAAATATCAGAAGAAAACATCACCTTCTTGATTCTTGGCATGGCCGCATCTCTGCTTCCGCCCATGTTCCAATGTCCTCTGGATGACTCCGTAGCGGAGGTTCTGTCGATCAAAGGGCAACAAGACCTGCCGGCGTCGCAACATGAAACGCTTCCGGATGCTCTGGGCATCCCCAGGTGGCGCCTCTCTCAAAGGGCTGCCTTTGAGCCCCAGATTTTCGGCGACATCACTTCTCACCTGCACAGCTGCGCAGCCTGTCTTGAAAGAAACGTTTTTTGACATTCGTCGATAGTTCCAACCCCAAAGGCACTTTGTTTTGGACACCACGGAAACGATCGAACAGGATTGAGGCAGGAGGGTGCACAGTGCACATTTCCAACACGGAAATCACACTGGGGTGCCTTTGCAGTTGCAGTCGCTGTGCAAGCTGCCCAAGGGATGTTTGTAGGCAGCAGAGATCGAACTTGGTGTAAGTTGCGATAACCTTGCTGCAGCAGTAAAGTCAGGACATTCTACAGAGCTGTCACATTCATAGCATCAGTCACATGCCTTCTCTTGATTATGACATAGTAAAACATATTCTGGCGTACTGTAATTGAAGTGAACCCAAGAAGGATCGAAAACGCTTTACATGTATGCTTGAGATTGCTTGAGATTGCTTGAGATTGCTTGAGATTGCTTGAGATTGCTTGAGATTGCTTGAGATTGCTTCAGTTCTTGTTGAGTCTTCGGCCTCACCCAGCCAATTTGGCTGCCGATAAATGCTGATCAACTCATGTCCGAAAATTGCAACACTGTGTGCTTGCTTCAGTTCGTAGCTATCCAAATGACTGAACACCGAAATGCGAAGTACGCAAACAAGTGGCATGGCCGGAAATCATGGCCCCACTTGCTGACACAATGCCTGGGCGACTCAGGATATCAGCACAAAAGCTACGACATCCTGTTTGGAATTCCAATCGTCGTGTGGTTGATTCAACGCTAAAAGTCTGTGTCGAAGAAATCTGTGAAGAAAATATGCGGCAAGTGAGTGTGAGAAGTTGCAGACTTTTATTTGATTCCCCACCATCCGCTGTAAGATACATGGCTGAGCTAGAAAGTGCCCTGGCATTGCGTGGCTCGACTTAGTCAAGATCAAACACGCGAAGGAGAGCATTATGCCGAGACATCCCAAGACTCAAGACTCAGCAACACTGCAGTGAGCTGCAAAAGAAAATGCAATACCTTATCTTTTTGCTGATGTGCTAAAAATGCATGGATGTGCCTCATGGGGTTAACAGAAATCTAGTTATTTAACCATCCCTACTAGTCATAGAGTCATAGATCATCTTGCACATGACCCATCAGAGCACAACAAATCCACCAAGATTGGATTTGTTTTTCGCCAATCACTTGTCGCTGCCAGGTGGCGCTTCATCAATGGCCACCAATGCTATTTGCGCCGACCAAAGACGCAAGTATTCCTGTGCCCAGACCGCGATGGCATCGATAGATCGAGTTTGATCATAGGATGAAGCAGACTCGCATGAAAACTTCTGAACAACACTATGTCGCTCTGTAGTGCCCTACCAAACCATCTCATTCACCCAAAAACAGCATGGTCCAAGAGTTGAGCTCTATACAATGTTTCCCAAATCTCTATATACAGTAAGCATTCACCCAATCCTGTGAGGAGCCTTGGAACAGGTTGATTCGGTTTGAGTGTTTTCTGTGAGTTTCACTTTCAGTTGGCCCCATTAAAATCTTCAGCTCAGATACTGAAAAGTTCGAAGATGTTGCCAACCTCAGAAGCAACATCTCAAAAATCATCTCAGGTCCACAGGTGAAGAATCAGAACGATGCATTCGTCGAGAAGCTCTGCTGCCGCAGAGCTGCAGTGATCGTAAAGTCACAGGCTGATTCGGACTAGTTGAAGAGTCCTTTTGAAATGTTGTCTTGTCATTCCCGAGACTGAAATCATAGATTCTGTCATTGTTTTGAACTAGTATCAGTTCTTGATGCAGGGAGCGTCTCCGTCAAAAGCATTTCTATCAAATACATTAAAACACGGAAAGTCGGTGGAATTTGTTGCAAGTGACTCCGGAGATAAATAGACCAGTTTGGGTGCATTGGCCGACTGCGTGAAGAATCCTGACAAAACACAGAATGGCACACGGGTGCTGGCAGAAGTGAGGTGCTTGGTCAGCATGATGCAGGTTGTCGGACCAGTCCTTTCAATTCTCTTGGTCGCTGTTGTTGTCCAATGGCTGCAAGAATGTCCTCAGCTAGCAGCTAATTTTGGCAGCACCTCCCCATCTGCATTGAGTTGAAAACTAAGCTAGATGGTTCTTGCAACTTTAGACAGGCTATCCAACAAATGCATTCCACACTACTGGCCTTTTGCATTTTAAAGCATGTTGTAACATCAATGTATATTTTCTTTCAGTGTTTG